TAGATCCCTAGCAACACTGACATACATGAGAAGTTCGACCGAAAGTAGTAGTATTTATCGAGATTTAAGTAGGAAATACAGTACACTTACCAGACCATAATTCGATTATAAGTATCTAGAGGAAATGCCGAGGTAACTAGCGCTTGTGCCTTCGGCTTGGCTTCAACAGGCAAAAGCTAAAGGTGGTGAGTCCCTTAAACACGGTTGCTTACCTCGATTTAGGTCGTAGCCTCTGTTCATAACAACACTAGAACCGAAATGTGTTGATTTAATCTCAGTCATATTTGCCTTCGGGAGATAAAAATCAGTCCATAGCATTCAAGCTAGACTAGCTCTAGTGGATAATTGTGGACTGACACCCCTTAGTCCGCATCCTTCAGCTCGTGGTTCATCCATAATATTAACAGTTCTGGGTCATCACCAGCAGCACTATCATGATTTCGCTTGATTCTGTAACCCCTTTTGATGAGAATCGGCATTGCCAGGATCCTCGGAATAACCCGAAAGGTTATCGAATTGGTTCTCCGACTTGCGGTCAGAGGACTTGGGAGTCATGCTGTAGGTGTAGTACAGTTGATGGGGGTTGGTAAGCTAGCGCTTGGGGGAAATAAGTGTGTAATAAAAGATATAAACAAAGATAGATATTAATATGTAAAAACTTTTCCGTCTGCTTCCATGGCAATGGACAGAGGATACAGCATGCAGTCCGAGTAACAAAACTCCGAGACTTGCAGTCGTGAGACGGAAATGGTGATTTGGCTGCGACAAATCACGTGGCGCGATAACGATGCCACCACATTTACAGTTCAAATCACAGTGAATCATTTCGTACATTACTAACCTCACTATGTCGCGATCGAACTATACCGCATCATATCCCACATCAAAGCAATCTAGCCCAAAATACTCTCATTTCTTAATTAAATTGGTAATCAAAATTCTCGTTTACAAAGTGCGTTCATCATCGACGCATCTCGTGAACTCACCAATGGAGAAATTCAACGAGAGAATTTCATGACGAGATTCAATTTTGACCAAAAGCTTAATGATTGAACCCAGCAAGCCAACAACTGTAGTATTGGGATTCAAGCTCAACGCAAGCATCGTCAGCTTCATCAATTGCATGTGTTGATCGTATAACAAGCGGAAAAGACCTGAGTATTCCTCCACGATAGAGTCGAGTTCTTGGTGGCCTTGAAGAGAATGTTTCACTACTTTCAAAAAGGTTCGACGTTTGTCCAAAAGTTTCAAGTCGAATGACAAAAGCGTTTCCTGGGTCTCGATTACCTGCTCGGGTTGGAGGTGTCTGTGGCTAGCAGTTTGCGGAGTTACTTTGTTCATAAACGTCAGTTCCTCGTAGAAGGCCATTATGCGTTCGTATGATTCCAACTGCTTGGACGTGAGATTTGAAGCATTCAACAACTTGTCGCCAGCTTCAACAGCACAGCTACGCTTGGCCTTCTCAGATTCTCTCGGCATTGCAATGTAGTTAGTCACACAGCGACGATCTTGAGAAGAAGGGAGCAGACTCAAGAACCGCCCAATGGCAGACTGTCCAGGTTGCTGTACAGACATGGCGGGAGTTTTCAAGAGCGCTGAGCTTGGATGACGTCGACTAATAAAGGATGGGCAACTGATCTTAATATTAAAATAATCTGGAAAATGCTCTGTATACCGTGTATGCAGACTGCAGACAAGGATTTATCTCCCGTCACTCATTTCCTCTTTTAAGAAGCTATACGCTTTACGAATTACTGACGAGGCAGTTCGAGGATCACCAGCTACAAAGCAGTAATATTTACTTTTACGGTAAAGGTAACATGCGTTTGATACTCTCCCACAGTAACAATTTGCTTTGGTATCTATTATATGGCTTCAAATCAATTGTAAAGAGCATTAACCCGCATTTGAGCAACTCAGGTAAAGCCACAGGTTATTACTTTATGCATCAAAATTCCATAATGACTTCGTGGCCAAGCTGGTTAAGGCGTGCGACTGTTAATCGCAAGATCGTGAGTTCAATCCTCACCGAGGTCGACCAATTGTTTTTTTTCCTTATACAAGTAAACTTCCAATGATATTTGTTCCCAGTATATACCTTCACCGATCCACCCACCGGCTTTTAGCAATGTCAGCTACTAATTCACGCCTTGGCGTGCCTCTTCCTTCACGCGGCTGTGAATTCACGTTTGCGCGCACTAAGCTTGACTACCATCAGGGTAACCATAATGGCGTACGTCAACGAGTTCTTCACCACGGTGGGGGATCTTGGCGGCATTGACGACCATATCGCCAAGTTGAGTGATGAGTGTCTGGACATAGAGGCCATAGCAGAGCAGAAGGCGGCGTCGCGGCCACGAGGACTGGTGTCGCTGACGAGCTCGAGCCGGTCCACCGATCGCTACAATAAGGCGGTCGACGACGTGATCCAGCAAGTGAAACTGCTTGAGGGGGGCACGACTGAGCTGATGATCAGTGGCATCGACGACATTTGTCAGAAATGGGGCAGCATCGACGTGTTGCTCGCATTGAAGCAAATGTTGATCAAAAAGCAGAAGATGGCCGATTCCATCAAATACTTGAATCGGGTGAGTGACGTGGAAACGTTGCTTGGTGACGTGGTGGGTAGTGCTGGCGTGATCAGAGACAAATTGCTGGCATTGAGGGAGGAACCGGAATTGGTCCCCGAAGCCATCCCCATCCTCAACCAAAGCATTGCCGAAGCCGTGGCTAAGGCTCGTGAGGAGTTGAGCCAACAACTCCGTCCTCTCATTCCGCTGAAGTGGCCAGCAAAGATTGGTCCTGAAGACCATAAAAAGATTGTTAATCTCATGAGCCAGCTCAACCTGATTCAAGCGATTGACCAAACACCAACTTACCCCAATGGCTGGTGGTCGGTTGATCTTCTTGTTGAGCCCTACGTGGACCGGTTCATGTACCATTTCACTACTCCAGGAATCGAAACCAACAAGATCTCCAAACCCGAGTGGGCGCTCGAGTTTGTCGAGCAGATTTTGACCGACCACTTGGACGTGATCAACATGGCATTTGCGACGGTGTTGCCTGACCGGATCTTTGCCATGGAAGTCATTACGTCCTTGCTCGTGCCGGTGAGGGCGAAGATGAAGGTGTCGGTGGAAGCCATCAATAAGCTTCTCGCTCAAGAGGAAGAGGTCGCTACTGAACGGGAGAAAACTGGTCGCTTATTATCGCATTTGATCTATGAACTATCCGCATTCGACCAGCGGTTACGCCAGCAGTTCAAATATAACCCCTACGCCACCCCGAAGTCGGCCCCTAGCGAAAGATGGCTGGGACTCGTGGGCGATGTGTTGCTTGCCGATAAGGAAGCCGTCAACAACTGGCTCACGTTTGAGTACGAATTGGCGTCAAAACGGTTCACCTCGGAAATCTTGGGGTTGCCCGATGCCTATGCCATCGACTTTGAGTACCGTCACAACGACAAATCCCGTGGAGTGCAACCAACGTACTCCGCCTACAACATGTCGAAACTTTTGGCCAATTTGACGAGTCACTTCGCCCCGATCCTGGCAGTGAAGTACCAGCTTAAGTTTGTGCTGAATGTTGAAATTAAGCTTTTGGAGTTATATTTGGCGGAGTTGAACAAGAAATTCCGCGAGTTCACCAAGCTATTCGCCTCAAAGCTGATGCTCAGCTTTTTGCCTAAAGCAGTGGCGGTAGCGGCGTCCGCTTCCGAAGCGGAACGACGGCAACAACTTGAGCAGAACTCGGTAGAAAACGGCCTCAAGGCTTTGGAAATGGCCACCGGGGTGTTGTGCAGTGCTCAGTTCATCAGCGACACCCTCACCAAAGCGCTGAGCCAGTTGATCTACGTCCAGTTGCTGGAGTTCTACTACACTCACCAAGGGGGCACGGGGCTGGTATTTGACGCCACCATCGCCAAATACGACGACCTCGTCACCAAAGTGCTCGCTGTGTACGGTGATTTCTTCTCCCGGGAGCTCAAAAACCGCATGAAGGCGTACATCAACCAGACGGCGTGGGACATCGACCACGCTGCTGATGACGCCAACCCTCAGCTCGTGCCGCTCGTGGAGGCGCTCCACCAGTACATCCACTTTATCCGCCGCGGCTTGCTGGCAGGTCTAGCTAACATCGTGCTGGATACGGTGCTTCTGGCGTTGTGCAATCTTTACTACGAGTACGTCGTCGATAACAACGGCTTCACTACCGCCGGGGTCAAACAACTACGCCTCGACTTGAAGTACTTGTATACTCGCCTCGAAGACAATATGGCTTTGGAGGTGAACGCTGCGACCAATGGCAGTTATCAAAAATTACAACTGGCGGTGGTGGTGCTTTCCATTGGTCCGTCACAGGCCCAGGCATACAGTAGCGGCGAGCGGCCTTTAAGTGACTTACGGAGCCAGTTTGACGACCAGTTGGCGCCATTGACCTCGCACCAACTCATGGGCCTCCTCCCAAGAATCATGTAATCATCAATCACCCAAACTCTTTGGTCAATAAACAATCCAAATTGTAGTTCAGTAAGTCACATAAGCATCGGTATTTCCGCTGCTAATTTCAAGGCAATGTCACAGTTTTCTTACAGCCGCAAGTATATTTCAGCATGCATTAACTTTGAGTAGATGCAAAAAGAGAAGCTCTTTGGCGGGGAATCGAACCCCGATCTCCCGCGGGTTGCCTTTAGCTTGACAAGCGGAAATACTAACCGTTATACTACCAAAGAGGACGGTGAAGTCACGAGACCGTAAATATATGACACAAAGCCATGGGAATACTCAGTAAACGGGATATAAGCCTTAGAATAATCCGATTTGGCTGAAAAACTGCTCTGTAGAACCTATTTCTACATATATGAGTGTTTGTACGTTCATACCGTTGGATGCCAGCTGACATCTCCGAAATTTGGTAGTAATCTATATTACCTCTTTGGAGCGTACAACACAGTCTACGTGAGTGCCTAGTTTCAAAAACCACATATAATTTGGAGAATTGAAATGAGTGACCACTTTACTATCCCCCCGCCGTGTTTCCTTGGTTTACTTCAATTAGAAGGCTCGCAACTTACTAACGGCCTCCTTGGGAAAAAAACATTACCAGATTTTCAAAATCATGATTTCATCTGAAATTCAATTCATTCCCGGGTGAATTCGCTTGAGTCATAAAAGGAGGATGAAAATCCAGCTTGTTCTTAAGTATAAGAAATTGTTCATGATGGTCTATGACTACGAAACTGTTTTAGAATTTACTACTTGTAGCTTAAACCCGACACTCTATGAGCCTGACTGTGGTTGGCTGCAAATTCAATTCTTCATACAGGTTTATAGGCACGGCCAATTGTTTCCGAAAAATTCGGGTTTTCTCGCTTTTGCCGCCATTGTTTATACTTGGATTCGCAAACCTAAATTTCAACTGCGATTGTTTATAATCGCTCCACGCGCCTGGCGATCGGGACGCGACTGTCGAGTACACAACCACTACCCACAACAATGTCTCTTCGGAGGAAAGTAAGTACTGAAATCGGTTTTTGATCTTGTCATAAGTCCCAGGCCTGTTGACTAACCGTTAGATCCACACCGAGCTTGGGGTGTGGCGCAAAAACGCCAAATACTCGCTCGTGGCCCGGCTCATCTCGGTGAAGACCGGCAACCTTCTCAGCATCCCCCGGAACCCTAACGGCATCATCATTGGGCGACTGCTGCTGTGTGACCTCAAGATCAACGGCTCCGACGTCTCGTCCCGCCACTGCCGCATGGTGATTCTGTATAGCGACGGCAAGGAGTATGTCACCGTGGTCGACATGCTGCTGAACGGCTTATTTGTCAACGGTGAGAAGCTAGGACTTAACGGCAAACGGGTGCTTCAAAGTGGCGATAAGCTTGAGTTTGCCAAAGCTGGTGGTGTCTATATTTTTCGATATATCCGTGACGCCGAGGCGGAGACGAAAGCGACGTTCTTTGACGATTATATCTTGGGCGACCAGCTCGGTCTGGGCCACTACGCCGTGGTGAAAGAAGCCCGCGAGCGGGCGACGGGGGAAGTGGTGGCGGTAAAGATTTTCCACCCAAAGAAGCAGCTGCTAAACCAAGAGTCCGACCAAAACGACCAGCGGCTCGACCAGGAAATGGAGTTACTTTTGCTGATCTGCCACCCCAACATCGTCAAGTTTAAGGGTCGCTACGTGGAGCCGATCAGCGATACTGCCGTCACCAACTATTTGGTGCTTGAGAAGATGAATCTGGGGGAGTTGTTCCAGCGCATCATCAACAAGGGGAAATTGGGTCAGCTGGAGACTCGGGAAATCTTCAAGCAGATCCTCTCGGGACTCCATTACCTCCACACTAATCACATCATCCACAGAGACATCAAGCCGGAAAACATCCTCTTGGATATCACCCCCACCACCCATCCTGACCAGCGGCCCCATGGACCTTGGGATGAAGGCGAACTCGACGTCAAGGTGAAGATTGCTGATTTTGGTCTTGCAAAATTCATTGGCGAGCTCCAATTTACTCATACGCTATGTGGCACTCCTGCCTACGTGGCGCCCGAAGTGCTCACCAAGAACCGCAACTATACCACTAAAGTCGACGTGTGGCTGGCTGGGGTGCTTCTCTACGTATGTCTCTGTGGGTTCCCGCCGTTCTCGGAGGAGTTAGCGCCACCGTCGATGCGGGAGCAAATTACTTCCGGACGTTTCAACTTTTACAGTCCTTACTGGGACGAAATCCACGACTACGCCCTCGACGTCATTGCCAAGATGCTTGTGGTTGACAGCGACTCCCGCTATACCGTTGAGGACGTCCAGCACCACGCGTGGTTTGCCGACGACCTCGAGCTGGACGAGTCACAGCTCCAGATACCCAGCTCATTAGAAATGAGCCAGACACAATCGGAAACCAGTCAGGGGGATAGCCACGGCCGCCGCATCGCTACCCGCCACGACTCGGTGCCCATCACGTTGAAGGAACGAGCAGAGTCGCTCATCTCTGCCAATAACTGACGCTAAACACTGCATAAACACTAACTAATACCATTTATACGTATAATGAAACACTCACTAGATATTTCAGCTTCTAAAACGTGATCTCGCCCTCGCTGAACCAAAACTCGACGAAATTTCGTCAGTAAAAGAGCAGCAGTTCCAATATCAAAAGGAAGGTCGGTAATCGACGTAGTATGTCGCTCACCTTTGATTTCGGCGTCTATGTTTGCCTCGAGGAAGTTTCGCTTTCGCAATGTGGGAATCACCTCCAGCATACTAATGATCTCTTGTATCCAATGTTATTTAAGCTTTGCTTGCCTACTCCTTAGTGATTGTAATTCACAAGCTACAATGGATTTTACTGAAATGCAATCAAGTATACTAGCATCAGATGCACATCACAAGTTAGCCATCATGATGAAAACATCGCGTATATGTAGTGGATTATGATGGCTTTCTGTGGACTCACGGAGAGCCATGGACTCACGAATGGATGCAAATGCAGGTTTTCAGAGCCTGGTTTGGTTCTAGCATCAACGCCCAAGCTTCTTATATTCATTATTTCAGGATAGCTATCTCGTGTTGGTAAACTGTGGTCGCTACAACTTTGGATTAATAGGGCCGAGTATCGGAATAGTATAATGACTAGCAGTATCCACACAAGTATATATCACTGGTTCTTAGTCGTACTAGCACTGTTGATGGGTGACATGAAAAGCTGGGGAGAATTTCAGGAATGGTTCTTCTTATCAATGGGAAGGAGGACCAATCGACCCAATCCAAGGCGTCAATATGTCGAGGGCGACAATCAGAGTTAATGCAAATTGAATGACACATCTCGTGGTTGATGGATTCATCATTTCACTGCTATAGATCGTCTCAGCCACAACCAAGCTTAGTTGTCGATATTTAGTCTATGGTAAAGATATCAGAGTCTAACGTCAGAGTTTGGAACTAAATCAAAAAGAGCTGCTGAAGCCTTTGTTTATGGATTGTGGTCTACACTATTGTTTACGCATGAATTGATGTGATATTTGGAAATGAAGTGAGGGGGGGGGGCCATTAAGTGTCGTCAGCAACACTGATCTATATATATACAAGTTTCTCCACACCCCAGCTACTTCTTGGGTTTGGTCTCCGCCTTGTTGTACAACAACGGCTCCTGGCGCTGGGGGACCCAGTCACGCTCCCGCAACCGTCTTTGGTCCTCGCGAAGGAACTTGCCCGGGTAGACGATGCGCTCGTCGACGGGGTCCAAGTCCGACTGCGGGTTGGGCTTGTCCTTGATGATGCCGAGGTCACGCTTCTTCCCCTTCAAGAAAGCCTTAATCTCGGCGAAGCAGTGCATGCACATGAAGTGGGACCGCTTCACGTGGCCACAGGCGGGACAGCGGACGATGTTGTTGAGCGGCTGGATCTGCTTGTTGCCCGGAGCATAGAGCTTGACCCGGTGTCGGCGGTACGACATCTTCTTCTTGGGAGCAGCCCGCAAGATCATGCCGTTGTCGAACATGAACGGCGGCTCTTCGCAGTGGTGGTGCTCCAAGTGGTCGCGGAGAGCTTCGAGTCTGGGGTCTGTTTCTTTGGCGGTGGAGTGGCCAAGCCGGGGGAAGAGGCCAGCCAATACCTCGGGGATCAGCGGGAGGCGCAACGCTCCCTGGAGTCTGAGGGAGAGCGACATGATGATGGTTCCCTTGAAATTTTTCGTCCCGGTCGAAGTACGGTGCGCATGGTAAAATTGGTAGTAAAATGTATCCCCAGGAATCGAACTGATATTTTGTCGTCTTTCAGCTGGCGTGGAGCTCGTCAAAAAAAAAAAAAAGATTGATTCAGGTACCGCGACGCGACGTGTATATCAGAATAGGCCACGAGTATACAACCATACGCCATCGACTCGGTTGATATGAATGGATACTATGCCACCTACGCTTCTTCTCGTTAACTATATGCGTTTATTCAGTTGTATACCTCTTTCTAGTCCCCTTAATCCCTCCCTTTTGGAGTGAGGCGCATTCTCGGAGGGGGTGCCATATGCAGACCACAAATCGTGTCCTCACCACTCCACGAAAACAAACACGCACTATCTCAAAGAACCCATCATCAACCACCACCAATGCTGATTGTCATGGACCTGGAAGTGAGTCAGCCCCAGAAGTACGTGGGGTTCGACACCATCACCACCCAGATCGAAAACCGCTTGCTCAAACGCGGGTTTCAGTTTAACATTATGTGTGTGGGGCGGCTGGGGCTCGGCAAGCTGACGTTGGTCAACACGTTGTTCTCGCTGAAACTCGCCGAATCGAGCGGCCGCAAGCTGTGTGAGGCCCCCATCGAGAAGACGACCGAGATCAGCGTGTCGTCGCACGTCCTCGTCGAAAACAACGTCAGATTGCACATCAACGTCATCGACACCCCGGGGTTCGCCGACCAGATCAACAACGAGAAGTGCTGGGAGCCGTTGGTGAAGTACATCAAGGAACAGCACTCGCAGTACTTGCGCAAGGAGTTGACGGCGACGCGAGAACGGTTCATCCCCGACACGCGGGTCCACTGTATTCTCTACTTCATCCTGCCCAACATCAAGAAGTTGCTGCCCCTCGACGTCACCGCCCTCAAGAAGTTGTCGGAGATTGCCAATGTGGTCCCGGTGATCGCGAAGCTGGACTCGTTGACCCTTGAGGAACGCGCCGAGTTCAAGAAGTTGTTGCAGCACGAGTTCATGAAGCACCAATTCAACATCTACCCTTATGACCTGGAAGACCTTTACGAAGAAGAACGCCAGTTGAACGCCGATATCACCTCGCTCATCCCCTTCGCCATCGCTGGGTCTGAGAAGGAAATCAACATCAACGGCGAGATGGTTCGCGGCAGAAAGACCCGCTGGGGGGCCATTAACATCGAAGATGTGTCCCAATGTGAATTCGTGTTCTTGAGAGACTTTTTGACGAGAACCCACTTGCAAGATTTGATTGAAACGACGGCATTGGTCCACTACGAAACCTTCAGATCGAAGCAGTTGATCGCGTTGAAGGAAAACGCGTCTCGTCCGCAATAGGTACACTACCCTCCTCCCCCAATATACGTAATTGATGATTGACTATACTTATTCTCTATTCTCCGCGACCTAAGTTTGGCTAACAATTCGTAGTTAAATGTTCGAATCGAGGACGTTCAAGCAGTCAAGCCAGTTGCTTGTTAAATCATCCAATTGGCAAAATGGCCTTATGTCCATATAGTATTCTAATATAGTATCTCAAAAGATGTTACTAATCCATAATTAAACACTATCTCTGACATTACTCTAGGTTGTCTTGTTTCTCTTAACGTCCAGTGCCATAAATATCATGTGACCGTCGCATTAGCCCTGCGAAAACGGTAAACACAGTGGGGAGAGCGCCATTACCCAAGTCTCGATTTTGGCCTTCATATAGAGGATATTATGACACAGTTGCCTCGTCAACCAACTATCCTTTTGCCAAGCCACCCAACAATGCCATTGCATTCAATACCGTCGTTTTTTTAATTTTGAAGGATTTTCAGAAAAATAATGTCGCCCCTCGGAAATTTGCTTGTCGCAGAAATCAAAATTTGAATTTCGTACCCTCGACAAGATGAATTTCGTATCTTGGTGTCGCGTTTCGGAAAATCTGGATGGCGTAGAAATGGGACTGGTCGCTGTCGCGAACGACCGACTATACATGTCGCCTTTTTCAAAGTGCGACGTCATAATTCGATGTCATATAAATCAATAGTTTTGTCGCATGAAGATGTCACATTTCCAGCAAATTGATGTCGCCTTCTTAGCAAACTGATGACACTTCAAAATGACGCGCTTCTTTGATGGCACCATGTCACTTTAGAACCGCGAAGTGTCACATTTTCTGTTATTTTAGTCACCTAAGTTGACGTCAATGACATCATAAAAACTCCAGTTGTCGTGTTTCTTCCACCTCCGGATGTCGTGTTTCTTCATGTAGCAACATATGTGAATTGATCTACAAAGCGGCCCATAATCGGGCGCTAATTCGTTGACCTTATTGAACTCTAATATGAACGATCTCGGCAGCTTTTCTATCACTACCCACTGCCTAGAATACCTCGATCAACTTCTCCCTCTTAGCATCTTCGCCAACCATGGTACTTGCTCTCTGCTTTTTGTCAGGCTTTTGTTTAGCCGTGTCAGATACATCGATATCCATCGCGTTGGATGCAGCCTTGCTTGCAATCTTCGCCATCTCGTCAGATTAAAGATCATTGGAGCTAATTGCGTTGATGTGGCAGGAGTCGGGGGGTCACAATGGGACATATCTAACCATCTCCAGGTGAGAGACGATGAGGCTGATTGTATGACGTCGAATTCCGCAGCGCGATATCAATGCTCCCAGAGAGACGACAACAGGGGTAACACTAATGCGACGTCAGTGTTTCCAAAAAAGCGTCACCCGAGGATTCAGGGTGCGACAACGTGGTTTCACACATAGCGAAATCTCAGAGCGACTTCTTAATTTCGTTTATGTGACATCTATGAGTTGCCAGGGGCGACATCATAATGTGACATCCAGCTTTCACGGTATGCGACATCTCCAAAAATGAATATGCGACAAGCTCGTCCTCAAAGTGCGCCATCTACAAGTTAAATCTCGCGCCATTAGCGACTTACAAGAAGCGCCATTCCGAACTTCCAGGTGCGACTTCCGGGTGCGACATTATTTTTCTGAGAATCCTTCAAAATTAATAAAACGACGGTAATGGCATCCTCCGGCGTTGTCAAGATGGTGAACTCAAAGTCAGCTTTAGAAGAGCCTGCCACGATTTGAGAAGCTAGAGGAGACAAGTACTACTGCTACCGAATGTATTAGTCCCCTAAGGATCTCGATTGGACCTCCTTTTCATCTCCATTGCCACCATATGCGTGATAAGGGAATGTTAGACGATGATCCCAATTCGGAAGTGGAACCGGTGACCAGACGACAATGCGAACAATGACCACTGCAGTGAACCTTGACCACCTCTGTTGAATGAGCCATTATAGTTAATCTCTTGAGGATTGAATGAGAGGAAGGAAATTGGGACATCTGTTTCTTGTTACCCACCGACCGTATTCGTGCGCCATGGATCTCGATTAGATCTCCCTATCATCGCCGTTGCCACCACTTCACAATCGCGCGATTAGGGAACCCTGGGCATTGCACGCAATCTGGGCTGGGCCGTTGACAAGACGACAATGAGAACAATAACGACTGCGGAATGTTGAGCCCGCCTTTGCCCCTAGAGTCTTTGTCGTCAACCTGAACATTTATTCCCGAAAGTCTTGCCGAACAGCATAAATAGCGAGCTTTTTCTTCTATCCTCTCCTCACAATTTCAAGCTTGGTCATGGCTACTTCTCTACTAGAGTATGGTGGCTTGGTTGCCTCTGACATGGCTGTTGCTGACACGATCCCGACAGTGCTTTCATTTTGTTGCGTCCCTCTGAAGTCGGCGTGCACTCTGCTGGAGATCCTCGTGGTCTCTCTGGTAGCAGGGTTGTGACCCCAGTCCTCATGGCGCACTTTGCAATGTTGTACTCGGCAATCAGTTCAGGACAGCCATAGAAGAGACAACTGGGTCACCTTACGCTAATAGAAGAGCAGTCGCGGCTACGATAATCATTAACTCTCTCCTAGATTGATACTAATCATGGGCATCAGCACCAATAACGGAGCCCAATGCTATGTCGCGACGGTCCTGGAGCGCTTGGTGGTGAGAATATCAACTCTTCGTGTCTCTATTGTATCGCATGGACTGAGCTTTGGAGCTTGGCATTAGGTATTGCTCACTAGGTGGAGAACCATTTGTATGCCTTTGGTTTGGGCCGGCAGTAGGTCTTAGCGGCTGGTCGTGGTCAAACCGCTTGATTTCTTCAATGGAGTCATTTCAATAGGCATCGACGGCACCAACTGTATGAGCTTCAATTTGTGCCTTAGTCTGTTGAAGGAACTGGGCAATGGGTTCAGCGATAGGTTGACGTTCCTCGAGGAAGCGGCAATGATCTGGGGACTGGAGTGGTCGTCGCCAGATTCGATAGTCGGCTCAGCCAGTTCCAGAGCCATTAGTTCTAGTAGTTCCAGCAGTTAGATGGGCGATTCAAGAGCTGACTCAGCTGTCGATTCAAGGACCAGTTCGAGGCCAGTTCCGGAGCCAGCTCAGGAATCAGCTTAGAGTGTAGTGAGGGGGGGTGGACCGAAATGGTGATTTGACTGCGACAAATCAAATGGCGAAATAATGGAGTCACAACATAGAATAACTCAGAAAGCTTTCATCTTTTGTTGGAAATACTATTTGCATCGTATAATAAACAGTGGTGTTGTCGAATCTATTCTAGAGTGTGTGCAGGCATGAAAGTTGCAAGCATGTCAGATGTGTCAGTAATCGTGTTAGCCCCTAGATAAATTGTCAAACCATATAGACATGCTCATGCATTGTAATGATGTTAAGTAAATACCGCTGAGAATTCTGGTACTTCGTGTTACAACTCAAAGTATGGTCTTCCGCAGCTCTCATGCTGCACCTGCATACCAACACCTACCTAGACGAGGACTTGAACTACTCTCATCACTGCCACAAGCATCACAGGTCAGTTTCAATGCTCACTAGATCTAATAGACTACGCCACAGACTCAGAGTAGTTCAGAAAGAAATGCAAAAAAAAAAAAAAGTTTTTCAGAAATTTCAGCTATGTGGTATCAGTCATAGATCCACCGATTTTGACGTGAACTTGCCCAAATATTTATCTACCTTACTTCTGGCGCGAAAGAATTTTATGGAACAAACGGATTGATGTTATCAATTTCTCCTGATTTTATATCACATTTTGAAGTTTTTCTTAACGAAATTCAGAAAAATCCCATTTGCTGTTGTAAATTGAATTTGCACCGTATACATTACAGTGGTGTAGTTTGTTTCTTTCTTCAGTTCAATATAGACGATGAAGGACATCACTGAAAATTCACGAGTGCTATGCACATGCAAAGCTTATGTGCAGAACCCCAAACTTGTAGGCGTGGTGTAAGTGTCAGCCACTGTGGCAACACCTACCCAAACCCCCCAACTAATATAAACATGCCACCAGATTACAAATGTGCTTGTTAAAATGGGCTGGCCATACTGTAAGTGTGTGGTTTAGCTCAACTTGTTTTGTCTTGCATATTAGTCGCTGTACCTGCATACAAACACTTACCTAGACGAGGTGTTAAACCTATCCCATCACTTCTACAAGCGTCGCGGTTCAGTTTGAATGCTCCCCAGATGTAATAGACTACGCCACAAATTCAAAGTCGTCCAAAAAAAAAATTCCAGAATAAAAAAAGTTTTTTTATTGACCATTAAACTCACATGGAGACGCCAATTTTAGAGGCAACTCACCCAAAATTACATCAAATATACTTCCGGTGGCAACAAATTTTATGGAGCAAACGGATTGATTTTAGCAATTCTTCCTGATTTTATAGCACACTTTTTAGTTTTTCCATGAGAAATACAGAATATTTTTATTTGTTGTAGTAAGTACTATTTGAACAGTGTACATTACGATGATGCTATCCGTTTATCTTCAGAGTCTCATTTAAGTCATGGAAAGACTTAGGTGGAGTTTTCATGTTACTAGTCTGGAATCATGTGCCGGACTGTATGGCAGTATACAGGATACAGTGCCAGTGCACAGATAAAGACCTCAGCCTACAAGTGCTTCGACACGGAAGCACACCGTGGTTGAGCACTGTGTACGTCACACGGAGTCCGGTAAGCTTAATGGCCGCTTTGCGTAGACTCAGGCTTATGGGGGATGTCAGAGCAGTGGCAGAGAATATTGGAAGTCAACTGTTCGAGTCGCATCCGTGCCATTTCTTATTTTTGTGTGCATGCTGCATGAGCTTTAACGGTCTTTATTCACCAATAACACCCAAGACACAAGGGGGAATGACAAAGCAGTCATAAACCCCATACTGCATTTCCTTTGTGGAATATCAATCAGGCGTCACTAACCGTGGCCTCGTTGACCTTGACGGTGTTGATGTTTGGTCGTGCTGGAGTGATATTGCCCTCGCAACTCCTCAGTGTTAGCCATGGGAGTCGGTGTTATTGTCGACGCCAAAGGTGATGTATTTGTAGTCGTAGCGTCGCATATCGGCATATTTGCCGCCACTCGAATAGTGTTCAAAGTCCACTAAGATATCGTTTTGAAGTCTGATATTACAACAAGCCAACAAGGGGACTACCATCACATCCCTCAGTATAAAGTGCTACATGTGTCATTGAAAGATAATCACTAAAAACCAACGAGATCTTCAACTGGCCACTAGCTGGTACAGTCTATGACAACGTAATTCATGCGAAATTTATGCCAATTCAAGCAAAGCCAATACGTGTTTTACGGTGAAGCAGGATAGCTCATGTTCAATCGTTTCGCTATTGCCTTTAACTACTAGTTTTTTGCACCCAGTCGCGTCCATCGCCTCTTCGCTAAAGACGCGTGAACGCGTCGCACCGAACTTTGCCACACTACACCATGGGGGTTAAAGGGCTCAATCAATTGATTAAAGAACACGCTCCTGATGCGTTTAAAGAATTCCAACTAAAGAATCTTTTTGGCCGCAAGGTGGCGATCGATGCCCTGATGTGTTTGTACCAATTTTTGATCGCCGTCCGCCAGCTGGACGGGCAGCAGCTCACGCTGGATAGCGGCGAGACCACCTCCCACTTGCTGGGGCTCTTCTACCGGACCATCCGCTTAGTGGAGAACAATATCAAGCCGGTGTACGTGTTTGATGGCAAGCCGCCCGTGCTTAAAGGTGGCGAGCTTGAGAAACGGTTGAAGCGGCGAGAGGAGGCGGAGAAGGCGCTTGAAACCGCCAAAGAGACTGGTGACGTCACCGAGACGATGAAGTTTGAAAAACGGATGGTAAGAGTGTCAAGAGAACAAAACGCCGAGGCTAAAAAGCTCTTGGAATTAATGGGGATCCCCATCGTCGAGGCCCCTTGTGAAGCTGAGGCTCAGTGTGCTGAGTTAGCCGCTGGGGGGAAAGTGTTCGCTGCTGCCTCGGAAGATATGGACACGTTGTGTTATAAGCCGCCGTTCTTGTTGCGTCACTTGACGTTCTCTGAGGCCCGTAAGATGCCCATCGACCAATTGGAGTATACCGAGGCAATCGCTGGGCTCGACTTGACTCACGAACAGTTTATCGATATGTGTATTCTCCTTGGCTGTGACTACTGTGAGACAATTAAAGGGGTGGGGCCGGTGACGGCGTATAAGCTCATTAAGGAGCACGGGCTGTTAGACGCGATTGTCGAGCACATTGAGGCGAACCCGGAAAAGACAAAGTACAAGGTACCTCCCAACTGGCCGTATAAGGAAGCGAGACAGTTGTTCATGCTGCCGGAAGTGACCCCATCGAAGGATATTACTATCAAGTGGAACGAGCCTGACGTCGAGGGTTTAATTGAGTATATGGTTAAAGAGAAAGGGTTTTCCGAAGATAGAATCCGTTCTGGTGCTGAGAAGTTAAAGAAAGGTTTAAAACTGGGGGTACAGGGCCGCCTCGACGGCTTCTTTACCGTGGTGAAAAAGCTGCCGGAGAAGGAGAAACCTCTGGGGAAGCGGAAGCTGCTGGCGAAGGAGCTGAAGGCGAAGCGGGCGAAGAAGTAGCCGCTGTTAATGACGATACGATAGAAACAATACATATAATTACATTTGCATTAGCAGTGGCCGTTGTCTCATAGTTCATGGAGCCGTGCGAAAATTCGGCAGTGATTGTGCGAACGTGCCGTGCCACTTTTCGCACAGAGATAGCCAGTGTAAAGACGAGAGGAAATTAGCAAATACTGTTAAGACCCTAAAGGATACAGTACTACAAATCAAATGATAGTTCCAGTGGCGTATGCAAGCTGCTGTCAAGGGGATGCACGATGTAGGTGTCACGGGATATGACGGCGGACACTCTAGCTAGGTCTGGTTAACTGTGGCTTAGCTGCGGCGGGCCATGTGGGTGGCTACGATCGCTCATCGCGCTCTAACCAGAAGCGACTACCACTAGCACAGCCATGTCCGACCTTAGCGCCCTCCAACAGGAACTTAAGCAAAACCTCAAGCAGTTCCCCAACTTCCCCAAGGAAGGCATCTTGTTCGAGGACTTTTTGCCCATTTTCGCCAAGCCCGCCGTGTTCCAAAAATTGATCGACGCGTTCAAGCTCCACCTCGAGCAATCGCTTAAGGGGGCTAAAGTCGACTACGTCATCGGCTTGGAGTCTCGGGGTTTCCTCTTTGGCCCTACGCTCGCCCTCAGCATTGGCGCCGGCTTCATCCCCGTGAGAAAGCCCGGCAAGTTGCCTGGCGACACCTACACCGTCGAGTTCCAAAAGGAGTACGGTCTGGACAAGTTTGAGATCCAGAAGGATGTCATTCCCAAGGGGGCCAACGTGATTATCGTTGACGACATTTTGGCTACTGGTGGTCTGGCCTTTGCCGCCGGTGAGTTGGCCAAGGTGTCGGGGGCCGAGATCTTGGAGTACCTTTTCGTCATGGAGCTCGACTTCTTGAAGGGGAGAGACAAGCTCGGCAAGCCCGTGTTCACGTTGCTTTCGGGCCAGGACGAAGCGTTGAAGAACTAGACGATAATACGACAATACTAGACGGTGTATTATTGAACTGAGATATGCTATATTAAGGTTAGCCGCTTTTAAATAACAAAAACGACAAGTCGCCGATGCAGAAGTAGATGAACCACCCTTGCTCGTGGGTGACGTAGGAGCCAAACAGCTTGCCGACGATGGCGTGCCAGGTGGGCCCGTACTGCTGGTCCATCTCCTTCTTCAAGAAAGTGGCGATGTCCTTTTCGATCGAGTACTTGAGCAGTTGTTGCGCCAAGTCGAACACTTTGGCTTGCACTTCTTCGGGCAAGTCCGAGGCCTTGAGGGTCGCTAGCGGTTAGTATAAGTCTTGTCATGAAACACCAGCGATGGGTTGGTGGGGGGAGGGCGACATACGCGTTTGTTTCTCCATGGCGGGCAATCAATCAACTGTGTGGAGACAGGGGGGTGATGAATTCGATCCGCACGCGCCAGCGGAATGTGGATCGCCACTAACCGAGGCGCGGGTCAAGGCTAAATGGAGATAGAGAAAAAAGGTTAAATAAAGTTATCGTACCCCGTGTGGCTTTATTTGTGATAACGTTATACGAGCCTAGGAGGGATACGATCAACGAAGAATTCTCTACGAGGCTACGAGGTCTATTTTAAGCCACGAAGCTAGAGGTGTGTTTGTTTGTGTAGCTTTTTCCCCTCGCGTGTTACAGTGAGCTACGAAAATCGCACCACCGCTAACAAATTTGCCACGGCTAACAAAATTGTATCACCGCTAACAAAATTGTGCCACTACTCGCACCTTAACGGCTAACACTCTCGAACCATTCTCTACAATACCATCACCAATTAAACCACCAGTTCCCTCACCAATTACACCATTAATTCATCACCAGAATTACCACCATCTCCAATCACACCGACACCTTCACCATCTTTAATTACAACACCATCACCATCTCCACTTGCACCTCAATTACAACACCAACACCACAAATTACACCATTAGTACAACACCATCCTCTTCAATTACCCCAATTACAACACCACCATCTCCAATTATGTCTCCATCTCCAAACACTTTTCCGTTTGGCATTCTCTGATTCACTAAATACAACATTTTCCTTTTTTTACAACTTTTCGTAGGCCAACTTGTTGGCTAATACGTCCTCCCTGAACTTGTCGACGCCCAACTTCGACGTGTGCCCCCACGGCTTGTGCTTATTCTCGTTGTCGATGGAGCCGGCGAAGCACTGGAGCCACCCCTTACGGGAATAGGCCTTGTTGACGGCGTCAAGAGTATCCTTGTGGATCAATTCCGGGTTCAAACCAACGTTATCCAAGATGGTACAGATCTGGATAATCAAACCCAACGTGGTGATGAACCCCAGGTCGCCAAGGTCCTGGTGGCGGATGATGGCTTCGCACACGGCATCGGCATAATCACGGTCGCCGGTGTGCTCGGTGACAAGCTTGTGGGCTAAGAAGCCACCGTAGAACTCAAACAGCATCTTGGTAGCGTCCATACACTCTTTGATTTGGCCGATATCGTGGAGCATCGCCGTGACGTATAATACCTCATCGTCCAAGTTCCACTGGGGGAATTGGTCAGCGATGATCGCCTTCAGGTACAAGTAGACTCTGATCAGGTGGTTAAACGTTTCCAGAGGCAACTTCTCCTTGGTGTAGTCGGTGATGAACTTGGCAAGCTTGGTAGTGGGGAGATCGGTATCCAAGTGAGGAGTAGGCAGTTTGGGGTTAGGGATCGCCTGCTTCACGTCTCTGGGGACAGCAACAAAACCGTACTTCGACATCTTTGAAGTTTATTTCAAATTGAGAGTTGGTGGGTTAAGAAATGAAGAAATATCTGGGTCTTATAGCTAAGAGCAAGCCAAACGCCATTTTGTGGGGTACGGGGTGTGTGCGGATCGAACATTTGTCAGCACTTTCCAAGAAATGAGGTAATCTCGCTGAGTAAATGGGATATCTCGGATATTCCCAGCCCTTAACGCCGAAATTTACCAAAACCCGACGGTGGTGGTAGTTGTTATCCCTCTGTTATCGCCTGGAGGTCATATCAAATCCCTTCTCTATCATACCGCCAATTTCGATAAATTGGGGGTTGGTGCGACTACGGTGCGGGACCGGATGTCGGACGTGGTACTTCGGATTGCGCACCGGGAGTCGGAAAAAAGGCAGCGTCTGTTTGGTTCTAGCATCAGCGCTCTTGTCGTTTTTCCGACATCAGTGCGACAACAGAGGCGTGAAAATCCGAAATTCGTTTTCCGAGGGTCCGAAAATAGACCCGACAGTTGAATTTGAGGATGCGACAAGCTAGTGCTCAAAATCCCCAATAATGCAAAAATTGGCGGTATTTCTCTGATCCTGTGGTCTTCTCGGTAATTAGCGGCAAAAATGCTTGCGATTTCCGGTTAGCCACTTGGTGTCGTGTCCCTACCAAATCATACCAAACGGTCAAATAGCCACTTTACACCAATTGCAAAATTATATATAGACAATGCACTCGAACGGGTCACACTTTGACACCAGTACGAAAGCAACTGCCCTTGGGTGTGACCACAAAAACGTAGGCGTCTACTTGCGGGTGCGCCGCCACTGACTTCACCCAATTCGGCGCAAAGCCAAACAGGCCGCGACCTCGCTCGGCGACGATTTTGACAAAAAACTAAACAACCTCATTTCAGGAGGGCACACCTCCGGATAATAATAACGTGCTTGCGTCGCGATGCAATCGATTGCTGTGGACCTGCCGGCAGCCTCAAAAACGAGGCCCCTCCTACATCGGCGTGACTTATATAGCCGTTTGCCCCCACTCCACCGCCGTCGTCCCTGGTTGTGCTATACTGTCGTTACCGCTCGATTGCCTACTGCGAGTTTTTCCTCTGCGAGCGTGCTACTGCCCGGTGACCTTTGATCTCGCGCGCCCTGCGAATTATTTCTCCATCCACACACCACCTAGCAGTGTCCAATTTTTAACGCCCCGTCGATATCCCGGGAACGACTGCTCCGATCGGCGCCAGACCACCACCAGTGAACTCCCCAAATCAATAAGGTGGCGAAAACGCGTCTGTTTAGTGCTATTTCCCCCCCAGTGGCCGCCAATTCTTTCCCCCCTTGGCCCCAGCGCATTTAGGGTTGCCCTCGCACTCACCCCCCAAGTCGCACACCGCGTTCGCCAACACGCTCCCGGCCTCTTCGCCCGCGCGCACTCAGCAAAAAACCCACCCCCCGAGTGCTGGCGACGACCGCTCACAAAGTCCCCCGCCGGAGCTTTTGTATGATCCCTTCCGCGGAGCCCGAGATGGCGCTGAGCGTCCTCCACGACGTGCTGAACGTGCCCAAGCCGCGAACAGCCAAGGACGACGCCGGTGCCTCCACCAATCCCACCAACCCCCCGCCGCCGGCGGCGGCCGCCAAGCCGCAAGCGGCTGCTTCCACCACCACTACCAATACATCCAATAACCACAAGCCCAAGTTCTCCATCCCCCACACCCTGATCACCGCGCTGAGTTGCACCGGTTGCAACACCAGCCGCGAGTGTAAGTGCGACAAGGAAAACCGCGTCGGGGCGCCCCCGGCGTTGGTGCCGCTGAGAATGCCCCAGAAACGGCTGGCGACGGAGCTGCTGACGAACTTGGTCGACCAGATCCACGAGCCCAAGAAGCTGAAGCTCACCAACTATGACTGGCAGGACTTGGACGAAGAGGACGCCGACGACCCCTTGATGTGTCTGGAGTACGTCAACGAGATCTTCCTCTACTTCTACGAGTTGGAGCAGCGGATGTTGCCCCTGGGCACCTACCTCACCACCCAGAAACACCTAAAACCGAAGATGCGGCTGATTTTGGTCGACTGGTTGGTGGAGATGCACTTGAAGTTCCGGCTATTGCCGGAGCTGTTGTTTCTTGCCATCAACATCATGGACCGCTTCATGCTGGTCGAGGTCGTCCAGGTCGACAAGTTGCAGTTGCTCGCCACGGGGCTGCTTTTCATCGCCGCAAAGTACGAGGAAGTGTTCCTGCCCTCAGTAAAGAACTACGCCTACTTCACCGACGGGCTGTACACCGAACAGGAGATTTTGGACGCGGAAAAGTACATATTGAAGGTGCTCCGCTTCGACCTCAACTACCCCAACCCGATGAACTTTTTGCGCCGCATCTCCAAAGCCGACGACTACGACGTCCAGCTGAGAACGTTGGGCAAATACTTGCTTGAGGTGACGGTGGTCGACCACCGGTTCATCGGCTTCAAGCCGTCGCTATGCTGTGCCGCCGCCATGTACTTGGCCCGGCTCATCTTGGGGAAAAACCCCGTGTGGAACGGCAACCTCATCCACTACCTGGGCGGCTACCGCGTCGCCGACCTCCGCCAGACGGTCGAGATGATGGTCGAGTACTTGGTCGCCCCCGTCGAACACGACGAGTTCTTCAAAAAATACGCCACCAAGAAATTCATGAAGGCGCTGATGTTGTGTCGCCTGTGGGGCAAGCGCTGGGTCGCCGACGACAAGGACTTGTTCGACGACCGCTTCAGCACAAACAAGGTAGCATAGTATAGCATAATCACATCACAATCTACAATGACGTCATCGATTTTTGTTTCTACCGAAGCCGCGAGCAAATTTCACCCGCAAAAATAGCTCCGGATGAAATTTCAAACACCACCAACCAAAACGCAGAGGCCTTGGCGTGGTTACTTTTTAATTCGCTAGCCCTTGGAGGCTTTTTTCGCTTTCAAATTTAGCGAGCCTGGCTTAGTGATCTGGGGTTCAGGGATTCATCATGGTGGTGGTGGCTAATTAGGAGTATGTAACGGTCCCAGGGGTAAATTTGACCGGATGTTTTGGACCCTGCCGACACGGTGGTGGTGTCAACGAAGGGCGAGTGTCTGCTGATAGGCCTGGAAACGCCGCCGAACGATTGTAACGGCCCCATTCAGCTTTACATATGTGTGACGTACATGATGCGTCGTCACGGTGGGAAAAAAAATAAACATCGTGCGACAAATGTCCATCGAAATAAACACCCCGACAATAACATTGCTCAAGCAGCGACAAACTTTCCAGCGGATACGAAGGGGACGGGATAATAGTCGTTTACTGACGTAATATGTCTGCCTACAGCCAAGGGTTGCAGGGTATGTTTATTTAGGTTTTCTCAGCCGTGGGCCCCGGCCGCAGCGGAGAACGTCTTCATACATTTACACGCTATGCACAGTCATCGTGGCAGCAGAGTCGCCGCGTGGGGAGGAGGGCGTGGTTGTTTATGCTTTGGGATCGCCCGCTCGACGGCAAACAATCTTCTCTGAAGCGATTCGGTGACGCCGGACACCGCCCTGATTTTAATTGAGAGAGATAAGTAGTTTCACAGACGACCCCTTATTTCGTTTAGTTCATGTCATCTGCGATGAGCAGGGCCACCAAAACAACGCAATTATGATTTGGCTCGCCTTACTGAATTTTTTGAAGAGTTGTAGTCGTCTCAATTTCTTGGAAGGTCGTAATTTACGATCAGGCCACGGCTGCCTCGTGGATAGTGTTAGTAATGTGGCGTGGGGCTTAACAAAAGGACAATGACTTTGTGTTAGCGAAGGTGGCTTGTGTCGCTTCAGTGGCCGTTTCACCGGCGGCATCTTTAGTAAATGAATGGAAGCCGCCAATGTTGTGGCCGGGATGCAAACCACCGATGGCGATGGCGTGTCTGTTGATATTCTGCGGAACTTTTGTTCGTTTATGAGTTGTCAACAAACTGAGCCGGGCGTGGCGATTATGTTCATCGGAAACGTGAAATCAGTCGACATTATGAAATTGATGCTATGTAGAACATGTGGCGGATAATTTCTCATCAGTCGACTGGAAATTTCACCCGATGAGTTTGGTGAATAGTAGTGTGCGATATTATCATTGATATTTCACTGTGTAGACCATTTGAGAAAGCAAAACTGAATATATCAACTCACCTAGAGCGAAATATTAGCATGGTGCTACTACAGCTGTCTAAAAACGCCAAAAAAGAAAAGCTATTTCATTCGTATTGTCTGATACCACAAACCCACTTTCGCAATTTTCGCAAGAACCTCTCGATAGCTTAGCTGGTAGAGCGTGAGACTGTAATGGAATTGTCATCTCAAGGTCGCGTGTTCGACTCACGCTCGGGAGATCTTCTTTTTGTAAACGTCATTGGATGATGAATTTTTTTTTAATGTCGTGTATATATTTACAAAGCTAAATGTCATTAATTCTCTCTCTTCTTTAGTCTCATGAAAGCACCACTTTCCAGATGCGGAACAACGCGATGAAAAGCACCCCGCCCAATGCCATCATCAAGTACGTCAACACCTCGACGTCCATCGGCAACTTAGATTGCGCCTGTTCCGTGAGCGGGATCAGCACCACTTGTTCAGCCGCCAGGAAACAGACGTTACGGCGTCGGATCAACAGACACTCGGCGGCGTCCACCTCTCTTTTCAAGATGCCTTTGCCCAAAATCACTTGGGAGTAGCGTACAAGCAGGTTGTCGACCAACCGGAACATCGTCTCGAGGTACTGCGCTTGTTTCTGTACTTGTACGGTGAGGGTATCGATGTTTTGGAGGTGTTCCAATGCCTCGGGAGTAGGGGTATCGGGGAGCCACTGGGGGATGCTATCGACATCAATAGCCAATGAAAAGGCGGTACGAGCCGTGGTAAACGTCAGCTCAAGCTGAGTCGTCATGTGGTGGGCGTAGGGGATAAGAAGTTTCTCCAAATTATTGAAAGGTTCAAAGAACAGCGAGATAATTGCCATTGTATCCTGAGCCAATTTAAACGCCTTGATCGTAGCTTCAGTCAATAATAGTGCCGCCATTCTCACCTCACTATAAGGTCGATTTTCCCAGCTTAAGCCGCCGCCACTTAAAACGGCGGCGACATCAGTTTCAAGCGCTAGCATCGCTCGCCGAGTGCGGTTCGTACACTCGGCGACTTCGTCGAAGTTGGGCACTTTCGCTAATAGCGTCAGGTATATTATAAGGGCGTCCAGGTAGAGCTGGACGACCTGTTCGACTTTGGAGACGTAGACAAACACGGTGGAGTTGAGCACCTGGGCGAACACGTGCGGGTACTGGTGGAGGAGGTGCCAGTCGCCGGGGCGCAACCGGGCTAGCAGGACGTCGCGGGGGCCGATGGTGTAGGGCATGGGCCAGCTCCGCTTAGCGTTAATGCGCGCTGATTACCAGTGACAATTTAATGGCACACTAGTGAGGGATGGCGGCGATAAAGATGAGGTATGAGACTAGTGAAGAGTTTCAAGATTATTGGGAGTTTGATTAAATCGTTATATGTTTCAGGTCATTCATTCTGTCTAGTATTTACCTCTTACATTTGTGGTATTTGTGGTACTAGTGTTGGTGATGGTCGCGGATCGGTGATTGTCAGCAGAAAACGTCACTAAAATTCTGTGTGGTAACCGTAGCCCCACCAACTCCCCTCACCCCTGACTAGACCACAATAAGATCAAAATGAACTACGTAACTAGGCTTTTCGATTAGTGAAAGAGAAAATTGGTTAACATCCCTATTTTGTATAAATGGTCGTGGCAATCGATGATGCTCACGGTGTGATCTGCTGCGCGCGCCCCCTCTCTCCCCGCGCCACCATAGACAAAGGCCAAATTGCTAATTGAGAATTTCAATTAAGACTTTGAGTGAATTAATTTTAATTTACCATCAGCTGATCTACGTGTCAAGCAGTGTTTCAAGTAGTGTTTCAAAAGCTGTTTCAAGAAAGATAGTCATTTTTTTTTTTTTTCATATTTAATTGCCATCTTGTGCTAACAACCAAACTTGCGCGCACCATACACCACACTGTCGATGGCGGTGTTTGGTTTCTTCAAGAAAGGGTTCGACCCCGAGGTGTACGAGCGCGAGTTGACGGTGCTCACCGAGCTGATCCTGGCCACCCAGCAGCAGGTCGGCTTGCTTGAGCGCCGCTACCGCGACGTCCGCCGGGTGTGGGTCCAGTGGCTGGTGATGCTCTACGTGGTGCTCACCGCCTACAATTGGATGCAACTCCCCAATACGACGCCGGGGGCCAATCACCTTCAACGGTACTTTCGGGGATTGCTGCAACGCCAGTGGGTGGCGGTATTAGCGTTCCCGATAGCGCTGTGGGCGACGTTGAAAGTAATCCACTGGTTGTTTAATTACTTGATCCGCCGCCGCCAAAACAGGTTGAAACTGCTTCAAAACAAACACACTGCCAAGATTGACGAGTTGAAACAGATTACCAATTTCAACACTACGTCGAAATTGTTGAAAAAATACTCTAAGGAGTCCGAGCCGCAACCAGCGGCAGCGGCAGCTAGCGGTCGGCGAGCGCCGCCATCAGCGCCCCGAGGCGCTCCGGGAGCCGGCCCGGCGCCGGCAGGAGCACACCAGCTACCGCCCACGGCTAATGTCGCCCGTCCTCGTAACCCTACTGAGGAGAAGATTCGTCGTCAATTGAACTTGGACATCGATGTGCTTGAAGCACCATTAGCTTCATCATTGCAAGCGCCATCAGCGCAAGCGCCACACGCGCTGTCGCCGGCGCCCGGCGCCGGCGCTTCGCTGCCTGCGGTCGACGGCCTTATCCAGCGCCGCCTACAAGAACAGCAGCACCAGCGGCTGTGGGGGGACCGTGTCCTTGACTTGTTACTCGGGCTGGAGCACAACGAGCTGGTGGAGAACCGCTACGCGTTAGTGTGCCACAACTGTTTCGCCCACAACGGGTTGGCGCCTCCCGGGTGCGCCAACCCGTTACAGGTGAAGTATGTGTGTTTTAAGTGTGGCGCGTTGAACGGCGACTTCAGTAACGTCGCCCCTGTTTCTGAGACAGCCACTGCTGCTGAAACAAGTGATGATGCTACCGATCACGCCACCCCCGTTTCAGAATAAGCTAATGTGAAACACGAGTAATTTGGATAGATATTGGTTGGAGAGAGAGTATTTAGGAATATATGAGACTATTTCGCATCAATTAACTATAGATACCAATTGTTTACGAGAGTTCCATGATGGCGTTGACCATGTCACCCTTGTGCTTTCTCAACGCCTTGGCGGCCTTACCGCGCGACACTTGAGTTTGTTCGACGATAATGTCGATGTCCTTAGCGTCCAAGCCGGTTTCGTCGACGGCTTCGTCGTCGTCTTCGACTTCCTCAATCTTGTTGTCTTGAAGAGAAGCGGCTTCCAAGTCGGCGGTGATCGCTTCCGGCGACTTGTCGACAGTCTCACCCGAGGCGGCGGCGGCGGCCTTAGCCAATTCCTGTTGTTGGGCTTGTTGGGCTTGAGCTTCCATCATTCTCTTGTTCAAGTCGTCGACCTTGGCTTCGCCAAACACGACGTACAGGCCGCCAACGGACTTGTACACTTCGGGGGCGTCGATGGCGTAGATCAAGTTGCCGCGCTGCTTGAAGGTGACGCGGGTGATGCCCTTGATCTGCTTGAGGCCAGTCTTCTTGATGAGCTCTCTCGCCTTCTTTTCGTTCTTGGAGATGATTTGCACGTTAGCGCCTTCAGGAATGGTAGCCATGATTAGTGTGTGGTAGTGGGGACTAGATCGGTGGAGAATTTTTCACCGTCGACGTTGGTGCGACGGAGTGCACATAGTTGCAATTGGTAGCGCCGAGTATGATCAGATCTTAATGGCACTCGACAATGAATTGATTGAGTCTATCCAGTCAATCATCGTATATTTTGTTATCAACCAGGTAGATAAAAGTGGTAGCAATGTCAGATTTAGCTGCACGGAGCTCGTAAACTATTGGCGAGGGTGGGTGGGGCGATTAAAATCAGACCCAATATCCCCTTGATTTGAACCAATGACTCTATGATTTTAATGATTAATTAACCCAATGGCATTTATGTCTTTGGCTTGACCGACAATTGCAGCTGAATCTTGAAGAATTTGAGAGTATATAGAGTTGGTCCGTTAAAGCACGTGACCAAACCATCTTACCCTATAAATCACTTCCTGTAGTTATTGTCAAAGAACCCTCCAATTTACCCTCCACATTTATATAGCTTTTCTCAAGGACTACCTCAGCAATAATTTCAAAACATCCTCCTTTTATAATTATACCAAGTCCAAGAGTTTGGTGACCATCATGACGAACAGATCTAATGGGAACTCCAATCTAACAAAATAGAATAACATGCCATCTCTAGCAAAATTCACTCAATGGCTAACAAAACATTTTGTACCTCCAGGAAACTCTAAAATAGTAGTTAATGGTTTCCCTTACCATTTAGCCTAGCTCCATCAGATAAGTTACTTTCATTTACAAAATCTTCTGAATATATAGGCTAACGCCGAAAAACTTAAAAGATAAAGGAGAAATCTGAAACTTCCGCAACTTTTTTTTAAAACATGACAATTTAAATTCCATCCGTATCATTCGTGTTGGAGCAACCGTGGCTTGCTAAATTCCGAAAGTGGTGGTGGTCGCACGGAGAAATGGAACGCCAGCTGCTATCATGGGCATTAATCTCCGCCCCGCCCCTCCCCATTCACCGCCTACAGCACGTGGACAGAATTTGTGGCTTCATGCTCTAATGTGGTTTTTTTCCCCTCTCAGGATCTAGCAGAACGCATATCACTCAGCGTTATTGCCGTTATCACCCGTATACGCTAATCTACCCCCTGATGAAAGATACGACGACAACGGCGATACCCTTAGATACTGAAACTCGTAGTTGTGAAACTGAACCTGTAACACGTTTCAATTCCTGTTTCACAATTGTGTTACCTAGACTCCAACAACATTGCTTTCTCGCCTTTTTGCCACTGGCCCGGGAATCGCCTAGGCCTCAGGTACATGACGTGCCGTCCGGGGTAGTCCGGAACGACAAAATGTTTTGTGTGTTTTTTTTTTTTTGCTAATCTCGGTCCCCGCTAAAGCCGTGTACACACGCCCAAACGACGTCACCCGGGACGATATATAAGTAAGCAGCGTCCCCTGCCACCCCTGTAACAAAAACTCTACGGCCCCCCTGTTTTATGTGCTCTCCTCGATGCTGCTGCCGTAAAAGCGAGCTGTGCCAGTACAGCACCATTTGCAAGTGTGGCAAAGTCGCCAACAAGTGCGGCAGCTGTTTAGGGATTATCGAACATTTGGACTAGGTCTTGGTAATGATTGGATTCAGGGTGTGTTTTGTATTATAATGAAACGTCTGGTTACGGTATGTGAAGCGTGTGTAGCACAGTGGGGGGTCATATAACCCATAACCACGACCTACCCCGGTGAACTTCGGAACAATTACTGGCGGCTAATCTGGGGGAAGGTTTACCCGGGCTCATAATTGGGGTCTCGGAACAACCGTGGTGCTGGCTTGGGCTTGGCTGTACGTACTGCCGGCGTGGCGGCACCCGCTGCCCGGCATTGCGTCAGGCATAATCTATATCCAATCGGCCACCCGGCACCGTTGCCAAACCGCCGGGACGCGCGCGCGCTCTCGCGCGGGCGCCGCCACCCGCACCAGCGCCGCCGTTAGTTTAGGGTTTTCGCGCGCGCTCATCGCGCCCATCGCGAACCAGCGACTGAGTTACCCGGACATCAGCGGAGTGGGGGCGACGGCGCCACCGCCGCGCGCACTATAAAAGGGCGCCTTCCCCCCCCTCACCCTCTTTTTTTCTTTTCTTTGTCGACGTACTTCATAGGATCATTTCTATAGTATACGTCTCTCTTTGACTCTATTAATGAGCCATCGTTTCCAACTTGGAAGATGAGAGAACTACCCCGCAGCCCTCAAAGTGAGATGTGTTTTGCTTGTCCGTGGTTCTTAGCAGCCCGGCCATCTTTACTTGCCGAGCATCACGGTTACCTTCTGGGTACACCGGTCTCGGAGCAATGATCTTTACCCCTTTGACTACGCCTTTTCGGAGGACAGTCGCTGGGGTGGGCGGCGGCGGTTGTCTGACAAGTTTTCTTTTAACGATAAAGAGAGGTGGTGTCGACCCCAGACGGTAATGTCTTAGACCGGCGGTTGAATGGCTTTAACCCTCGAGCTAACACAGTGCTGCCTAAACTAGGTTTGATAAGATTTGCTCTACATTAAAGTGAGATATCCCTCGATCTTTGATAAATTCTTTGTGTTAAATCATACCCACAAAGGTTACTTTTCGTATGGAGTCACCGTAGTTTGAATATTATAAAGCCAAAACCATATTGTTTTCAATCAATAGAGGTCTAGTGAAAAAGGATTGGCAAGTGTGGTTTACAGTCTCGTTGGTGGATCAAATTTACAGCGTTCATCATTCATTAGATAGATTCACGGCGATTTAAGGTTTTTGGCATATTTTGGTTTGTATATACCCGTAAATAATGATTATTCTTCCCTGATGGATTCAGGTCGCCTATTCCTGGCGTGACACCCCGCTCCTTAGATTCTCCAGGTCATGTTTGACGAGTTTGCGTGGTCATAAGCCCAGGTTATATTTGGCGGGTGATGAGAAATTTAGAAATTTTGAAAATGAGCTTGAGGGGTCCAAAACCGGCGGTTGCCAAAACCATGGGACCTCAATATGGTACCTGTGACGAGCCGCTAAGCTAGATGTCTTCTTTACACTCGTAGGAGGAACTTTTGTTAGTACACTTGATGCCAGATCTGGCTTGATCACGAGATATTCGAGGTGCAAGTGTCGGTGATTAGGGTATGATTGCCGAGGGGGGTGATCTATACCCAAATAGGACACATCGCCAAGAGTATCAGGCACACGCTGACCCCCTGATGCACGGACGAAACACACATCAAACGACTAAGTAAATTAAAACTCTATAGCAATCAATTTGATTTCAAATTTCTTCGATTTGTGCGCTTTTCAAATTTTGCGGTGGCAAATATTTGTATGTTATTTCCGATGCATTGAGAACGTTGCCCGCATGGTTATGTGCAGGACATTAACCCGACAGAAAAACGAAAAAAATTGCGAAAGCTACACCTGGTGCCAGAACTTTACCATAAATCAAATGGAATGAATTTGGTTATCATTAAGCTAAAAGATGTTCTGTAGTTTGTCTTTCACGAGAAACTGAACCTGTTTGCACGATGTTTATGACGTCACCATTGGGAGACATAACCGTTACCTAATACCAATACAATACAGCCGAGTAAAGCTCAATTATAACAGGTGTCCACTATTTACGACTCGTCCATAAAACACATGTTTTGCTCACTCAGCCGCCTCTCTTTCCCAAAGTAAAAGTGTCGTTTATTAGGAGTGAACTCATTCAAACTAAATTAAGGAAACACGACAGTGGCCAAAATATGGTAGACATAACAGTTCTCCAAGTTGTCAGTGGTTCTTTCGACACTAGACTTTCCCCAGAGCGTGTCGTACGCTTCCAGAACCAATCCAGATAGTCCAAACAAGCTTGAAACTTCGACCAATCTTCAGTAACAGCACCAACAGGAAAATGGTTGATTTTCCAGTGAAGGGTACAACCTGGGAAACAAAGTTGTCAACTGGATCAGCCTTCAGTTGTAAATATTTTACATTGACTTGCTAATCGGAGATGGTCGCATTTTACTACAGTACGACGTCTAGTGTATGTTGAAGAAGTGATGTAAACACACCAAGAACACCTTGGTGTTTTGTCCTAACTTGTTCAAAATACAAACAGACTAGCGGGGACAAGTGGTTCGTGCCATGTCCTCCCTGGATTACTATATATAGAGCACTATTCACATAGTAATCCTTAGCTTGAATATACAGATGGAAGCACTTCAATAATGTCAACTAGCACCCACTCCTTTATCACAGAGGAGAAGTCTGCGCTAGTCAAACAAGTTCATCAACATAAAAACCAGTCCACATTTAATAGTATGAACGTACAAACACTCAGAGATGTAGAAATAGGTTCTACAGGGCAGGTATTCAGCATATATGAGTTATTTTAGGGCTTGTATCCCGCTCCTTAGGTCTAACTATGGCTTTGTGTCATATATTTACGGTCTCGTGACTTCACCGTCCTCTTTGGTAGTATAACGGTTAGTATTTCCGCTTGTCAAGCAAAAGGCAACCCGCGGGAGATCGGGGTTCGATTCCCCGCCAAAGAGCTTCTCTTTTTGCGTCCACTGCTAATGCATGCCGAAGTATACTTGCAGTAAGTATTTTAGATTGCAATGACTGTAACTGTAGGAAGAGTAAAGTCCTTAAGAATAACAGTGTAAATACTGAAAGAGATGCTTGGATTTTTTACTTAACTCCACTTCGTTTTATTGTTGATTGGCAAAATCACCCATTTCCATATCAATGTTTATTGGCAATCTAAGACTCATATTACCTGGTCAACTGTCATATATAAGATGAATTCCTGTTTCATAAAAGTGAATACAATAATCTTATCTACATCATCACCTTGTCTACATGGAGCTTACCCCTTCTGCGCGCGCCTGCTTTTACTACAGTAAACCCTAATGTCCCTAATGGAAACCTACCTTCTGCTGCTGTAAGTCACTTAAAATTACCGTTAATTGATTCCTAAACTCCTAATGCTATCGTCATTCATACCTAAGCCCAAAGGCTTAGCCTTCGTAGGCTTAACCTTCATAGGCTAAACCAGGCTAGAGATCTACACAAACTGGGCGATCTCGGCGTACCTGTCTTGCAAGTAGTCCGGGTCGTTCAAGTCCTTCAAGTCCTCGACAGGCCGCTCCCCTTGGGGGCTGAGGCGGAACGCGTGGCGGACGACGGGGGTGTCCCAGTCGATCACTGCCAGGTGGACGGTGCGGCGGTTGTCCCACAACACCACGGTGTTGGGCTCCCAGTTGGCCCGCAACTGCAAGTCGTGGGCCTGCTCGACGTGGCGGAACAAGAACTCCAACAAGTTGTCCAGTTCCTCTTGTTTCAACTCGATGATCCGCCGGCCAAACTCGCGGTTTAAGAACAAGAACTTTTCGCCGGTTACGGGGTGGGTTCTCACCAACGGGTGGATATTTGAAACGGCCTCGCGGCGGGTGATGCCGCCAGCCGACTTGTTGGCGTGGGCCTGGTCGGCTGAGGTGTGCAATACGTGTAAACCTTCAATCATCTTTTGCATGGCGGGACTTAAACGCTTGTATGCTTCGACGGTATCGGCGAAAATGGTATCTCCACCCAGTTCGGGGCCTTGGAGGACGGTGAAGAAAGTGATTTGCGGCGGGTTGAGCTCGTAGGACACGTCGGAGTGCCACCCGATGTTGTTGTTGCGCGTGGCAAACGCCTTGTCCAATTCCAGCTTGGAGGCGCCTCTGAACGTGACGTGGAGCTCGGGGTAACCTTCGGGAGTACCCAGGGTCGGGTGGACATGGAGAGGACCAAAATAGGACCCGAACTCGCGGGCAAACTCGGGCCCTCGCGAGGCAAAGTCCTGGTCCCGGAACACGACCACCCCTCGTTGTGCGACCAAGAGGGCCAAATCATTCTTAGCATCATCATCAAGCTCGGAAAGTTGTAACCCTCTCAATTCGGTACCGAATTTAGGGGTGATACGGCGGTTTTTGAAAGCATCGCCGTCAGCATACTTCAACAAGTGCTTAAACTCAGCGTCGCCCAACGCCCCTTTATCGAAATGAGAGAAATACTCAAGGGGAGCAAACTTCTGCAGCGGGTTCCAAGTGGGTAAGAATTCCGGGTACTTCGCCACCTGCTGGTTCTGCTTATTGACAGTTAACGCTCCCGAGGCGGTGCGGCTGTTGTGTTCTTCGTTGTATTGCGAAGGATCGTACAAAGTAGCGGTGGGAGCCATTGATTTTGAATTGATAGAGAAGAAACATTTACTCTTGGGGTTGGCTGGTCTATATATACTGTGGAGCATCGGGTGGTGGCGAGAGACGCCACAGTTTTGGTTGTGGCGTGGGAGCCCTGGCATACTGTCAAAAACGCGCATAGCGGGAAATCTAGGATCTGGGGTTTTTTTTTCAATGGCGATTGTGGCGGGTTATCAGTGACTAAACGAATTCGGGATTTCACGGTAACCCCTCAAAGGGAGATAAAGAAGCGACTAGTATAGTTTTTAATTTGAAAGTTGTCGTACTAGTGGTGTCCATGACTACAACGACGGGGTGGCAATATTGGATGATCGAGCCACAATTGTCGATAGCACCCAAAAGCTTTGGCCTCCTCACGTGCGCGCCACAATCTCCCAGTGGGGTCCCCCAGCAACCATTTGTCAGAAACAGTCACGGTAAGCGGAAACTGCTTACGGAGCAAGCAGCAACGGCAATCAAGTGTATAACTGGCACGTGGCTTGTACCAACTATTTGCTCTCATCTCTCATAATTTGCTGAGGCCAATTCCGCGCCTCATTCCGTGAGGCATTTGCAGCCGGCGATAGGGAACGGAGTGCTAGCTCCGAACCCGCACACGACGGGGCGACGGAGATTACTCGCGGTGCTACTCCTTTAGGAACGAGTGTTTAGAGTTTAGGGCAAATTAAAGTTCAGAGGGAAAAGGATGTCTCAAGGGTTCTTTCCCATATTCATAACACACTAGCGATGAACACGGCATGCTTCACATGGAAAATATGTATCTCGAAGTCACTCTCGGACCGGCGTATCAGTAGCCCTCCCATGAGAAAATCGTCGACAATGTAATTGTCAACGGGGAGTGCCACTTTCTTTACCAGTCCCTCCACGCCACCGTGCCCTCAAAAGAAGACACGAATGGTGTGGGTGTAAAGAGAAGAGCGAGAAAGAATTTGATCGCGTTTTTACGATGGGCTCATAAATTGTATGCAGGAGAGTTACACAATTTTAGGTTTCAAACTTGTTGAAACAAAACAACCACGGATAAAGATTCATTAATATTTCCCATTTCGTTTCCGTGTATTTTCCTTAATCTATCAGTGTACCTGTATCCCAATAAATCTAAGTGGCGGCAGCCAACGCCTGTTCGACGTCGCGGATCAAGTCGTCCGTGTCCTCAATACCCACCGACAATCTGATCAAGTCGTCAAACACACCCACCAGCTCTCTCTGTTGTTGAGGAATGCCGCCGTGGGTCATCACCGCGGGCACCTCGCACAACGACTCGATCCCGCCCAACGATTCGGCGAGAGTAAACAACTTCGTCAGCTGGCAGAACTTCAGCGCCGCGGCGGCGTTGCCGTTGATTCTGAACGAGATCATGCCCCCGCCAAGGCCGCCGCGGTGCTGCTTTTGCACCACGGCATGGTTGGGGTGGTCGGGCAAACCCGGGTAGTTGACGGCCTTGACGGCGGGGTGCGCCGCCAAAAACTCGGCCAACTTTTGCGCGGTGGCGCTCGCTTGGCGCACGCGCAAGTGCAACGTCTTCAACCCGCGGTGGGCCAACCACAGGTCGAACGGCGACGGGATGGCGCCGACGGCGTTCTGCAAGAAGCGGATCTTGTCGTGGAGCTCGGCAGAGTTGACGGCGACCACCCCCATCACCACGTCGGAGTGGCCGTTGAGGTACTTGGTGACCGAGTGCGACACGATGTCGGCGCCGTGCGCCAACGGGTTGGTGATGTACGGCGACGAGAAGGTGTTGTCGACGGCCAACAAAATGGGGTTGGCTCTGGCTTGGTTGAGCTCCTTGATTTGGGCAGAGACCAGCGCGATCGACGTCACCGCAAGCGTCGGGTTGGAAGGGGTTTCCAACCACACGAGCGCGGTGTTGTCCTTGACAGCGCTCTTCAAGTCGCGCTCGAGGTCGTTGACAAAAGTGGCGTCAACCCCGTGGGTGTTGGCGACCTTGGTGAAGTATCTGTGGGTACCACCGTAAACATCACCGCCAGAGATGATGTGGGCGCCGACGGGCAACAGCTGGATCACCAACGCGGTGGCAGCAGAACCCGACGACACGGCGATGGCGTACTTCGCCTGCTCCAACGCGGCGACGGCGCGCTCAAAGTTCTGGCGGTTGGGGTTGTCCGAGCGCAGGTATTCAAACTCGCCCAACGGCTGGGCGGGCGCCAGCTGGGCGAAGGTGGTCAGGAGCGACACCGCCTCGATGACGGCGCCGGTGGTGGCGTCGATGGGCGCGCCCAGGTGGACGGCGTTGGTGCCGAAGGCGTAGGTTTCTTGCTGGTCCAAGGTCATGGGGGTGGTTGGTTTGCTTTGGGCGCAAAGTGTGGCGCGTTTAGCTGTTATATATACTGGCGCATCGCGCTCATCGCTGAGCGCTGGTACTGCAGGTAGCCGGGCGCCCCACCGCTACCAACTTACCCGTACGAGCGCCCCCAACGGTGTGGCGTTTTCGCAGTTTTCTCTGAACACCACGGCAAAAAGCAACGGGCTGACAAATACGGCAAAAAAAATAAAAGAAAAAAGAAAATAATTCGAATCAAAGCTCAATCGGTATAGCATTGAGATCAATTGACATCCCTACCTATTCTTTTTGAATTAATTGATGTTTGGTGTATCGGTTTGTTAGTTACTCGTATACGAGTCGGACTCATGAGTCCGAGGGTGTGGCGGGGTCACGTGGGGTCGCGCCATACCATACCCACCACAGCTTTCATACTAAGCATAACCACCACCCGCCAGTAACCGTTCTTTTAGGCAATGTTGCAAACCCCGGGTTTGTCAGCGGCAGTGGCCATATGGCGTGATGCCGCAACCACTAATTCCCGAGGGGTAGCCATCCGCCATTGCGGGCCCTTCGCAATAGGTAACCACCAGTGGCCTTGGTTTATTCTATCGAACGCCGCTTCGTAGTCATCCCAAGCGAATTGGTTAGCGTCAGCTAAATAGACTGCTGTCCAGGCATCGCCGTTTGTAGGGTCAGCGTCAATCGCCCGTTTCCACCACTCTAGAGCCTTCTGCGGTTTCTTCTGTCGCCAGAAATCAAGACCCACCACCACTAATATCTCACTGGAATTGTCACACGCCTTAAGTGCCTCCACTAGCGCTGGTTTCCGCTTTTTCGGGTCTAGTAGATCAAACTGGATCGACCAAATAAGACCACTAGAGGGACACGCCTGAAGAGCCCGAGCCACCAATTGCCTCGCCTCCACTTTATTATTCTGAGACAATTGTAATATAATGGCATCGTACCATATTCCAGGAATATTCCGCCATTTGGTGAGGGCATAGTCTAACGTAGACCGAGCCATCATCACGTTGTTTTGGTGGACATAGATTTGGGCAAGTAGTCGTTGCATTTCAGGAAACTTAGGGGCTGATTTAGCAGCAGTTTCTGCTTCAGCCCATTGACCATCGTCACATAACACTTGTACTTTCTGGAGCCATAAATTGTGGCTCAAGGGAAATTTGTTCAAACCATCATCAATCGTGTTTAGGATGAGGGTATCATCAACTTTGGCTCTCTCCAATACCTTTGCAGCACGAAGTAAATGGACATACTTGTACCATACTTTATCCAGCGGCTCCACCAACGACTGCTTACTCACTTCCAATGCTTTATCAAACTCGCCTTCCGATAACTCAAGTTTGATACGTGCTTTCCAGACCGATACTGCTGCTTCGGTATTAGCGGTGGTAATCGCAGCAAGAGTGGTTCTTGCAGCCTCGACATCACCGGCCAATTTCCATTGGTCCTTAGCCATCATCAACAGCAACACCACCTGTTGAGGGTGTTGACCTATAGCCCGTTTATAAGCCTTCCAAAGCTCTTCGTAGTTCCCACCCTGCTTACTCCTCTCCAATGCCAAAAGCTCAAGCCAGTCTTCCACCAGGGTCAGCGACTGGAGCTTCGTATCGTAATAAGCGCGAGCCATGATTGGGTAGCTCTCAACGTATTCATCCAAATCGGCATCAGGATTTTGAGTAAGAAAGGCTTTAGTGATGGCAGTCGCAGTCTGTAACAGTTGTTCACGTTCAGCTTGCTGGGCGAGGCTCAACCAATCGGCTTCCACCGTCACCGCTTTCTTAGCAAGCTTATCGAGCTTATCCTGGTGGTCTAGCTTCTCTTCAAGCTTCATTGCGATTAGCCAGATCTCGGCCTGGACGGTAGTATCATTTTTAAACTGTTTTCGAGCTTTGTTCAATAGATCTTTAGCCGCTTTCTCCTCCAGAGCGAGGATGACAATTTGCCAAAACGGCCAGTGACGAGGACACAACTCTCGAGCTTTAGCAGCAAATTTAGCTGTTTCAGTATCGGGGACAAATTCAAGTAATGCTTGCCATAATTTGATACTGGCGGGAATACTCTCTATCCCTTTCATCACCGCCACTTTCTTCTCCTGGCTAGTAGACTCCAATTTGACAGCTTCTAGCCAGATATCTTCACTTGTAGAAACTCTGTCTAATGCCAGGGCCACAACTGATCTCAATTGAGGCAGATTCTCATGAATACGGATCGCTTCAAGCCATATAGACTTATCACGAGGGAGTACCCTCGTTGCCTGAAGGATAATCAGTCTAGCCGCCGCCATCTGGTGGTGTTCCACCTCCAACTGAGCCAGTAGTAGCCACAGGCGAGCCAGATTAGGCTGAGTTTTGCGTAACGATGCCATAAGCGCTCGCAGTTTAGCCAAATCGCCTCGAGCCAGCTGAGCCTTCTGAGCTTCACTGATATCAGTTTCCGTCAATTTGACCGTCGAAGTAGCCGGAGCAAGCATGGCATCAAGCCTCAGCGAAAGCAATTGGTCACGAGCGGCATTGACACTATCAATATCGGTCTTCTTAGTAGTAGACTCCTCAACGATGGGGGCGTGTCCTTGAAGTTCTCTTTGAATAAGCGAATCGGGAGCAGCATAGAAACGTTGCTGGCTCTTCTCCAAGAGCCGCTGGCGCTTATTGCGCCGGGTAAAGTCCTGGGGCTCGGGTAACGCCGCCCATTCGGCCACAGAAACGTCGCCCAAACCTGATTTCAAATCAGAAAACTCGTCAGCAATCTTCGTAGTGGTTTCGGCAGGTTTTTCGGGTGTCAGTTGGCGTGGTTTGCGCCGGAGACGGGCCTCGATGGCCCTATAAGTCTCGTCCTCGACGTCGTCTTCGACGGGTATTTCTTGGGGTTTGCCGGAAAATGTGAGTCCCAGCGAGTCGGCATGGTTGGAGAACCCCACCGCACCACGACCAATGCCGGCTACATACCCTGGCGGCGGCTGCTGGTCGAGGAAAGCCGGTCTCGACGTCATCCTGGGTCACGTGGGAGGATAAGATGAGCCGCACCATCATCAAGTACTTAAGGGTTGACCATGACCACCAGTAAGGCGAAATTTGTACCAACTATTTTCGATTGAACTGTATTAGGAGTGTACGTCTCGTAAGTGTATTCTTTAATTGATGGCTGATTCCCCTTCAATGTGGTTATGCCATTGTCGCATTTATCTATGGTTTACTAGTACTCAACCATGATGCTGAACAAAACTTGTACTGAAACAAAACTTGTACTGAAACAAAACTTGTACTGAAACAAAACACCAAAAATTCAAACTATGATCTGTTAAGTTATTATAATCCTTTAGATACGCCCCACCCCCCCTCGTAAATATCTCGCCCCGGGTCGCGTCGCGACGCGCCGCACTGAATTTCAATTTTGATAACACCTTGTCCATAAAACCAAAGACATGACCAAGGCCACCGACACCCTCCTCATCTTTGCTGCTTTGGGAGCAGTGTACTTTGCCCTTAACGTCGGCGTGATCCCCTCGCCCCAGAAATTCCACGACGACATCTTGCCGTTCCTCCCCTGGTGGGGGCTCGTCACCTTCGGCGCCTACGCGTTGTCGTGGTTGGGGATTGGCATCTTGACGTTCAAGGACAAGAAGCAGAAGCACGACGAGTTGTTGCAGCAAATCGACGAGGCCCGGGCGTTCTACAAGTCCAAGGGCATCAACCTCGACTGAGCGACAAACGGTCAGCCAATTGGCGGATAACCTTTTACATTCATATCATGTACCATAATAATGACAATACGAAACTACCACAACTTCAATGGGCGTACATTTGTAGTATTTACCTAAGCTGGAATTCGCCTACTCCATGGATAGCATATCATAAATAACTGATTGAATCTTAGGTGGTAGCTGCCTTGGATCCGTGGCCAAATTCGTGCCCAAAACTCGTGCTATAATGAGGGGGTTACCGGTGACTGAAATCTCTCTGACCCTGAGCTCTCCACCACCCAAACAGACGAGTGTGGTTACCGTGGGATAATGGCTGCTCAAAGAGTGACCACACTGACCTTGAATCAATATGTGGAATTACTTCTGAGCCCCATGGCGTCGAACACATAATATAGTAAGTTCCGAGTCGTAAGGTAATGTGGTTGGTACCAGGGGAAGCACCTATCCCAATTATCGCAGAAAACACATGCTCATGGGCCACAATGATTTTGATCAGCTCATGATGAATGTGAGTGTCGATGCAATGGTGTGGGGAAGAAGTATACCATTAATCCAATGATGCTTTATCTAAACCAGTAATCGCAATTATTACTCATTCATGATTCCCCAAGCTGGCATCGGAAACTAACCAAGTGTCAATTCAGCATCAATCAAATTAGATGAATAGCGGCGCAACCACTGTCGCTAGGTATGGTCCATTTGGTGTCGGACGACATGATTTGCTGGTGATATGCTGTTGTCGTTGATATAATTATACAGGATGCTATGCGGTCAACGACTTGTAAAAATCGATCACTTCGGGCGACACTTTCACTTTGCGGGCATCAAAGTTGAGCACTTCGAGCGTATCCTTGTTGGTGGCCCGCGACAACGCCACGTAGATTTGGCCCATTTCAAAGATCTTGTGGAGATCAATGCGTAATCTCTCAATCGACTGGCCCTGACTCTTGTGGATAGACATCGCCCACGCTAAGATCAATGGGTACTGGGTGCGTACGACTTTGTTAGCGTTGGACGTCGAGTCAACGGTGAACTCAAGCGGCTCAATCAAATGGAGACTGGAACCCCGCGGCGTTCTGAACGCCACCACCGGCATCCGCTCGTTCAGGTCCACCACCGCGAGCGAGAGCAACACATCGACAATCCGTTTCGTCTCGCCACTGAGCAAATGGTAGTACTCGGTATCTTGAGGAGAAAACCGGTGTTTATCGCCAATTCTCTTCAGTACCAAACGCAACTCCTTTTGATGGCTCATAATATCGTCCTCGCTCCAGTATTCAAGCACTTTGTGCCATAAGGGAGCCGTCAAAAATACCACCACCGTACCCACCAGCCCGTTGACGATCTCGTCAGAGATGTTCTTGATGCACATTACCTGGGCGTCAGGTTTAAGCCGCAACACTTTCTCGGCCATAAAGTGCTCTAGTTGACCGGCCAACAGCGGGTGGGGCACGTAGTCCTGGGCGACGTACTCCTCCACGTCTCCTGGAAGCTGAGCCAAACGGGCCTGGTTGGCTCGGTGGACCTCTTGTCGGGTGGGGAAGAGCTCAGTGGGGCCAATACCGTCATCATAAACCACACGACGGGCCAACAGGGTAAACTTACGGGTGGTGGTGGCATCAACACGCCCCATTCTCACCGTGTTAAGCATCTCGATGAGTTCCAGGTCCCGCTGCCGCCAGATCTTGCGGAGGACAATCTTCTGCTTGATCACTTGCGGCCACGTCTCCGCCTGGAAACAAAACTTGGCCCGCTTATCCTTCAGCACCGGCGGCAACTGGAAGAAGTCACCCAGACACACCACCTGGATGCCGCCGAAGGGACGGTTGTTGCCTCTGACCACACGGGCCACCGCCTCAAGCTTATCAAACAAATCGCCATCAATCATCGATATTTCGTCGATAATCACCACTCTAAGCTTCTGCCAAGTAAGCCGAGAAAACCGGTTCTTCTGGATGCGGTTGGCAAGGTCGCCCACCAGCCCCAGGCCGGTGCCGATGCCAAAAAGCTTGTGGAGGGTCATGCCGCCAATATTGCACGCCGCCATCCCCGTCAGCGCACACACGCCTAAACCTTCGCCGAATTTGGACCGTAGCAGACTCACCAAGTGGCGGAGCACCACCGACTTCCCCGTGCCTGCGGAGCCCGTGTAGAATACCAGTACCCCGGAAAGCACTGCTTGCATCACCTGGTGCTGCTCCGGAGTGAGCAGAGTCATTGCCAGTGCTGCCAGTGCTGCCAATGGCGGCGAACCAGACCTTACCACGGGTTTGGGGCGCCGTTTTGCCACGGGTGTAAACCAGCTATCCATTGCCAGCAGCGTCCGTTTCACAGGAGCCGGGGGAGCATCAGTGGATGTTTGGAGTGCCTTTTGAAGCACGGCATCGCCACAGGTCACCAATTCCACCAGGGTATCGGCAAACCCGTCGTCGTCCTCTTCGAATCCCAGCGCTGACCCATAGCTTAATATGCTCAGCGTGCGAGGGTCGCGTCTGCTAGCGCGCGTAGCAGCTGGGTCCGGTTTAAGCGACGGCTTCGGTTTAACGGGCACATCCTCGTCGGTGTCGTCGTCAAGGGTGATCACTTCGGTTTTGGCGGACTTGCGGAAGAAGTCCTGGAGCAGTGACTGGCGCAGAGCCTTCATCAATGACGTGGATTGGAGCGAGATGGAAGGTTGGGGTAGGAGAAAGTAATTTCTGTGCGACTAAGATAGTAGCGAACACGCGTCGCGCGTACCGCCGGCACCGTCAGTTTGTTGGGAGCCTGTGCGAAAATTTCGCAGCCCTCGTACGAAGAAAGAACGAGAATTTGTAGCGGTGGAGGTCACCTGGTTGCCAACCGCGTGGCTCGGACAATCAAGTGAGATGTTCTTCCTGATCGCCAAAAGGTGGTACAATCTACTCGTCACCATTGAGATTAATCGAGGATGGCCACCACTAGATTAAATAAAAGGGCGTGAGCTCAGGGTTTCGAATTCTGGCCCATATACAGGGCCAGAGCAAAAATACCACCTGGTTTTGAGGTTTTGGTAGCGACAACCAACCGTGGCCCAATGCGGTTTACACCCAAGTGTTGTAGTGATTTTGAGTATGTCATGAATAGTGTCGAATCATGGTCATAATAGTAGAAGTCCTGAATTGCTCGGCTCCATACGGGGGGGCAATGTGTAGACTCAAAAAGGCAATTATGGCTTATATGGACATTCATTGTCAATAAACATTTAGGGTATGAGGAGCCATTATATAACTTCCTCATAGCAGCTAGGATTGATTTTTACCATGATCTAGTGGTCAGATAAGTATAGTAGGAGGACCCTGAGCAATAGCCTGCACAGGGTGGGGCGACGATCATCGATACGAGAGTGTATGGCGCTGAGATAATGTCAATTATTTCGTAAGCAATGACGTCTACATAAACCACTTGCGTGACCTTCCACTTCTCCTCTCTTCACTGGCCCAGCCATAGTCAACGCCAGATTCCCATAAGCTGCACCATGTCTTTTGGCAGCGCCACGTTGGCAGGTCTCCCGCTTGACATTGGCCAGATCATCTTCAATCATCTTGATGTGCATTCCTTGTGTCGGCTTGACATTGCGTATTCGCCGTTGCCTTATGCTACTGAGATTTTCCTGTCCATCAAACGGCGTCGAGTGGAAGTGACTGCTGAGTATGTGGTCACGAGTGACCTTTCACGAATTGATTTCGAAACTTTGGCTCGACTTCCTCATCTTGATATTCTGGTCGATTGTCCTGCATCTTATGCGGGTCCTACCTCAAAGTACCTTAGGGAGATCCCATTCAAACTGTTGGCCTTGACCCTTGGAAACAATGGGCTCTACTTATCGCCACAGCCAGAGCTTACGTTTTTGTGTCCCAAATTGACGAAGCTAAGCCTTCACGACTGTTATCTGCAAATTCATTCCTGAAAGCATCAAATCTCAACTCAAAGGTTGTGGAAGCCAAGGAGTTTTAAACTTTAAAGGGTTTAAGCATCTTGAAGAGGTTGTGGTGGAATTCTGCAAACTTAAAAAAGGTTTGGATATATCTCTGCTGATTACCAAAATCCATTATGATGCAATGGCTGGCTCTGCGCGATTAGTAGTGAGCCCCCTCTCGCATGTAAAGTATATCATGGGCCATATCACAAAAATCCCGGCGCCACAAGCTTCCCCTAATTCGACCGTCGAACTCGACATCAACCGCCTGGAAACTTCAGTTACGCAAATCGCAGACATAGTGATTCGACAATGGTTCAATTGATTGTGGACGAATCTCACCTCGAAACGATCTTGGGTAGAGTTCGCCGTGATCAGATGACAGCGTTTCGAGACATCAACGGTAAGTATCCACAATATAGAGGGATATTTCAATTCTCGAAAGTGTTGCACTGCCATCTCCTGGTCTCCCTCACTCGATTTTTCCCCTGGCCTCCTAACTTGCAAGAACTCTCAGTCAATACAAACCAGCCAGTGAGATACTTGCAACCTCAGGTTGAAATATTCCGGTGTTTCTCTGACGACTGCCAGTGCGGTCGAAATTGATCCGGGTTATCTTAAACGGTTGGAGGTGAGGCATTACCTGGAGTTGACCATCAATTGTCCCAGCCTTGTCCGTGTCAATTTGGCAGGCACCAGGTGTGATATTGTTGACGTAGATGCCCCCAACTTGGAAACCTTGAATTACTCTAGCCCTATGCCATTTCCATTCCTACGGGGTTTCCCTAAACTCTCTCGAGTCCACATTCTGAATCTGCTCCAGAATGTTATCTTCCACCATCACATGGAGTCAGTAGAGGTGAGTCGGATGAACCCCAAACAAATGACATTTTCAACGGCCTTCATGGGACTTCATAACTGTCACGTCCCAAAACAAGTCAATATTGAAGCTCGGGTCGTCAAATGCAATTCGTCATTAGTTGGCGTACGGGGCATTAACTGTCAGGAGTTGGATTGTCAAAAAATTGATGAGGTACCGGAGATGGTGGAGAAGTGCTCTCTCGTTTTATCAAAGAAACCAATTCAGAATGCAGACGGGAAGCTGATTATTTCTGAGTTGCAGGCATGTACTCGGCTCAAATCATTACGCATTTTCGGCAGTCTCCAGGGGTATGGTCACCGGTTTCCTGTTCCCTCGACAGTTACTCATCTCATGTTCAAACCAAAGATCAAAGACATGTTTGTCGAAATCTCTAATACGCTAGAGTATTTTGAGTGTGAGAAGGATATGGATCGTAAACGGTTACAGTTCAGTCACAAGCCGCATTGGGTTATCGTCAACAAAGTATGAGACTCATACCACTCGGAATCAAAGTAAGCAACATGGGGTCCGAATCGCCCGAACATTGTGGATCAGCAGGCTTTTTATCAACAGCTGGATCAAGGGTTGATACGAATGAGATAATAGTTGTATATTCCAAGATGACGTGAAGTTCCCGTACGGATATACGACGCCTGAGTGAGCGGCATGAGGACTCAGATTTAGGATTAGCAAGCCGTTAATTGTAATCAAACACATCAGAATGCACTTGGATTGTGTTGACTCTCGTGGCCAATGGCCTGCTAAACCGTCATTATCGGGGTAAACCCCACCGTGGCCTAGCTATCGTAGAGCACTTCATTCACCAATGTGATGGGAAGATCCATCACTTCTGCCAGCAGCTGGTGGATGTTGGCTCTCGAGGCAAACCTCGTGGTGTCGTCGACCACCTGGCGCACGTCGGCGAGCTTAAACTGTTTGATCTCGGTGTTGTATAACGCCACGTAGTAGTAGGTGAATGCCATCGCGATGAGCGACCACCCGGGGATCGCCACCGACCAGTACTTGTCTGGATAGTAAGAGATCCCCAAATAGTCCGATAAAAACCACGGGGGAAGGAGGGCCCACCCGATCCAGGTGGCGAGACAGAGCCCCGAGATGACGTAGATAAAGAACCCCTTGTACTCGGCGTGAGGGGTGATCGACAGCACGATCACGTCCAGTTCTCGGGCAAGACGGTCCAGCCCGTTGGCCGGCTCCTCCCGGGGCGAGCTGAGGGTGGCGCGGAGGTTAAGGAATGACATTGGAACCCGCACTGGCACCGGTGGTGGTGATGAATATTTGAAGTCCATCTCGAAACGTGACCTGAAACAAAACAATAAATGTCGTCTACAAATAGCTAAAATAGATTTTGTTGATTATGACTACACCAATTGCTTTCTCGACCCCTTGAAGAACAACTGGACGATGGCGATCTGCAACGCCGCCATCCCCACCATCAAGAGCACCTCGAACACCGAGAAGTAGAAGATTCTCAGCTCGGTCAGGCGCACGGTGGCCTGGTTGCGGGCGTTTCTCACCTTGTAGTAGCGCAACTGCTTCGTCAACTGGTCCAACTGGTTCTCGATCTCGTCGACGGTCTGCTGCATCGTCAGCACGTGGGCCATGGGCTTGGTGTTGGGCAGCACCGGCATCTGGGCGCGGTACTGCGGGCCCAGCTCGCCGTCGGCCTTGATCTCAAAGTCAATGATCTTGTCGGCGTACAGCGACATGCCGTTGCTGAAGCAGAACTCCCACTCGCCCACCTGGTTGGCGTTGAAGGTGAACTCCGATTGCGCCTCCTTGTTCTTGGAGTACTGGACGTGGCCGTCGGGGCGCTTGACGACGTAGTCGACGTCGAACGAACCCCCCAGTTGCACGGTGTAGTAGAACGAGATCTCGGTGTTGGGGCGGTCGGTCGACACGTACCAGCACAGCGTCTCCAGCGCCTTCAATTGGAAGGTGAACGGCGTCGCCGCCACCATCGCCAACACATAATAGTACACGATCCACAACATGGCGTCGTCAGTGTTTCGTTGGCACTTTTTTTTCACCGCGAGTGTGCGCCTGGCGCGGGGCGTGTCGTGGTGATCCGAAAGAGGTTGGGGGGAAAGAATCAGGCAAGGCTAGATAAATTATGGTGATTTTAAGGTGAAATTATAATTATAGTGCCCTTTTGAGTAGTATAGGGTGGTCAGATTGGGTGAATCCCCGCGTGGTCAGTGTCTACCCTTAGCTAGCATTAAAGGACACGAGACTCCAGCACGCGCGCCCTGTCGCGTGTACAGTATATGTCGGGGACGCTAATACTTTGGACCTGCTGTTAGGTGTGAACGTTGACCTTCACATCTTATACAATTCCAATGAATCTCCAACTACGTCTCTTACGGTTCACCTTGGCGAAAGACTTCTTACATTTGTGAATTTTGTTACTATTTGTGGTAAGCATCTTGTTGACCACTATCTGAAACTCGGTCTGACCATCATTATCTCGCGTTATATCACCTATTTGCCATCTTATCGATGTTGTGACCAAAGATGAGACGCTTACTCGAGCAGGGAGCTTCAAGATCCGAGAACGTTGACCTTGGCCTTAAGCCGAAGACACTCATCTTTGCTACCGATAACCTGATCTCATGCCTCATTTGATTTACTTATAAAGATAGTCGTCATGTCTTGACCTACTTCTTCTCTGAAAGATGTGACTCGACTTCCGACGGTGCCTCCGGAGACTCCAGCGACGCCTCCATCGGCTTCTCCTTACTCGGTTTACGTCTGAACCACGCCAACGTCGGCATCGCCGTCCCTTCTTCCCCATCCAACGACCGCTTATTGGCAAGGTAATTGTCCTTGATACACAATGCCGCAAACAACATCGGCGCCACAAGACACACCGCCACCACACAGAGCACCCACTGGACGTGGTCGTACGCCATCACCATGTTGTAGCGGACCTCGGTGCCCCAGGGGTGGTCCTTAATGAACTCAAACGGCAGCTTATACGCCTCTGCCGCGAGCTGGGGGTCGCCCAAGTGCTTGATGAGCTGTTTCTCCATCGTCTGCGTCCACACTGCCCCCAGAATCGACGACCCGATCCCCATACCGAAATAGTACATCAGAAGATGGAACGCCGTCACCATCGCCATGTCCTCGTGCTTCACGTACAGCTGCATCGCCGTGAGGGTCGAGTAGTGCATGAACCCAAGCCCCAACCCGAAAAGGATGGTACCACCAAGATAGCCGCCGTAGGCGTCAAGTCCAGTACGGTATCTCACTAAGAGACCGGCAGCGATAAACCACGTGCACACGCCAAAGATGATTAAAGGTTTGGTGTGGCGGTAGTACACCACAAAAAGACCCACCACCGTCCCGGTCAAGGTCGAGACAAAGAGGGTAAGTGACTGGATTCTCGTCGCCAGCTCGATCGACTGGTTAACGCCAATAATGAGGAGGGTGAACATATAGTCGGCGGGCATCCACAGGACGATGTTTTGGAGCATGGCAAGTACGGAACCTGCCCAGATACTGGGGATGGTCAAGATGCGGTGGGGCAAAAGCGGATATTTGGCAACCTTGAACTCATAAAGCATGACGAAGGGAATCATGGAGAACCCGATAATCATGGGAGCGAGAATCTTGGCTTTGCCCCATTGCAGTTTGGCACCCCCAGCAAGAGTGAACGGGGCGAGAATAAGACCAAACATCGCCATGGTGAGGATGGAGCCAATGATGTCGAGTCTCTCGGTGACGTCGACCAAGTACTCCCACCACACTTTGACCCACAGCTTCCCCGCGTTGCGTACTCGCTTAGCTTCATCGTATTGGCGCTGGAGTTCTTGCCACTCCTCGGTTCGCCGAGCTTTGATCTCCATGTACAACATTACGGCACCCAAGGGGACACAGGCCAAGGGTAAAATGAACGCCCACATCGCAATCCCCCACCGCCAGCGGGTGCCGATGGTGTCGGTGATGTTACCGGAAACCCAGGTATTGATGATCACAGACATATCGGGAATCAACGCACACGCCATCCGCCACTTCATCGTCGAGTTGTCCATGACCAAGAGCTGGGAGGTGGTCATCATCCCACTGATCCCCACTTGGTGGATTGCAGTCCCCACGGAGAAGTAGGCGATGTCGGTGGCTTGAGAACTGACGATATTGCCCACCAGGGCGATGATGATGGCGACGACAATCACCTGGAGCCGGCCAAACGTGTCTGACGTCCGCGCCACCACCAAGTTGATTGCGGCTGCCACCACGGAACGAATGACATTCACCGTCGACAGAAGCGAGTGGCTTCGGAGAGCCAGGGCGGCTGTCACCTGGAATACGTTTCTAAGCGTCAGCTCAAGCCCCCATGCGTAGCCGTAGCAGAACACGGTGAAAAAGAAGATTACCACCGCCACTTTGCCGTGGATCTGGCGGGAAAGGATCTCATTTTTCTTCACATTCACCAGGATGGGGTCGAGACCTTCAGGGTAGAAGTCCATGGCCGCGGCTGATGGTTTAGATAACACCTGAAAAAAAAAATTTTGCTAGGATTATATATGAAAATTCAAGGCGTAACAGGCGTCTAGGCTTATTAGCTGCCGCCGGCAGCAGGGGATCGCAGTGCAGGTCTGGCGTGTGCTAATTACTGATGGTTGCGAGAGAGCGTGGCGAATCACCAGCGAACGAGTCAATTTTGCGTCAGCCGATTTCGGACGACGTACTACGTAACGTGCTTCTTCTTTGAGGGGTTTTACCTGTGTCTGTCGTGGAGCCGGTGTGGTTTACGCAGCGGCTGGTTCTGTGGTTGTCGCAGTGTGCACGGCTGACACTGACAGTACGATAAACCCGCCAGACAAGTGGGAATTTGATGGTTGGACCTGGACAATAAATAGCCGGGACGATTATCTGATTAATCGCCGCTATCCAATTAGAAATTGGGGCTGAATAGGGCAATATCCGTGGCACGGAGCTTAGCTCCGTGTCATGCCCGCACATTTTTCGGCCACCTCGCATAGAACCCGCTGCAAGCAGACGCCTCACTTTGAGCCGTTGGTTGGTAAAGAACCAGCCACTGAACGGTTAACCCAAGGTAATAGCGGTTGGATTTAGTAGGAAAGATGATCGCTTTTGCTATGTGACTGAAGTGTGTGTTTCTTGGGCTTTTCCACAGAAATTTTGCGTACAAAAGTTGTTTTTTTTTTTGTAACTGAAGCGGATGAAGGCACGGGAAAAACGAGCTTTTACTCGATGTAAAAGTAGAAAAGCCCATAAATCTAGAGTTTTTATCTGATCCGATCAATAACCCTTATTTTTCTGTGTGTGTTATTGGGTCAACTTCTACTAATACCTATCGAAGAAACCTACGAGGGTTGTTTTAATTTGCTGTTATTCATATCAGGGTGTGAAATTAAGCAAATTTGTGTGAAGAATTGCCACGAGTTAATTCAAAAGATATTTTTCATCGGATTAAAGCTATTGGTCTTGAAGGGAACATATTCAAAGGGTGTTAAAATGGATTATCAAACCAAGAAACGTCTCAAGAAGTTATTGAGAATGGCAGAAGATATTTTTACGTCGGCCATTCCAGATGCACGCCGATAAACTCACGATTAAGCTTGTTAAACAGTTTGAACGAGAAAGCTTGGCCAGTCGGATAACATGTACCCTGCTATGAACTTAGTGCAAGTATTTCAAATGATCAATACTTGCTAAAGAATGATCAATACTTGCTAAAGCCGTCGAGTTGTAATGCTCAAATTACAAGCTAGCATATTGAGTTATCGGACGAAAGTTATGTCAAATTTAATGCTATATTGTTAATATGACTTGGCTTTCCACTTTTACGAGACCATCACCAATAGAAGCACAGAATGTTGAATTTGATATTTCAAATTATTTATCGGAGAACCAATTCTTTCTGTCAGCTCGTTTCAAGGCAAATGAAGTTAAGCAGGTCTATATGGCGCCTATTTGGCCCACTTTGAGCTAAGAGGACTACTGAGTACTGGAAACCACCGATTTGGAGTACGGCACCGAACAATCCGAAAGACTATTGCGAAAGTATAAATGACGTGTCGGCAGTCGCTTTGTGGTGGAGGTCAAGTGACACCGTCGATTGCTGGAGGCCCTGATGAAGGCATGTGCGGCGGTGCTTCGCTAGTGTCAGGAGTGCATAAGCCACACAATGGTTCCTAATTTTGACCGCCAAGGTGTATCAATGACAAGCTGATGGCCTTCATCCAGCCTCGAAATTGACTCGGCAATGTTGACAATCCCTTACCTATTTCCTATCAATTTGTATTCATTGATACTTTCACATCCTATGATATAGAAAGTGATGACGTCATAAGTGCTATAGTTCGATTCTAGTGTACAAAATTATCAAGAACGTGGACATTATAAATTGAAACGAATACCAAACATGAGCTCAAGGCTTCTTGATCTCTCTCATAATTCTCATAGAACCCTCAGAAAACTAGACGAGATACTCATATCCATGCCAATGAGTGTTTGCTTGTTAAATTCTGCCGTTTAGAGGTTTCTCTTCAAAACATTAGTTTGATTTTGATCTTCTCTTCAAACTTGTGGGGGATGTAGTCAAGATATCCTTGACCTCTCAAGTTGAGAAAACGATGAAGGTTATTGATCATGGAGGGTAGCTGTGTTACATTGTTAGAATCTAGTTAAGTGTTTTTTGATATTGTCAAAATGTCGTTAGTCATTAATTACTCAGATTATTTACGGTTGTTCAACGCGGCCTTAGCGGCGTTCAAGTCGTCCTCGCTAATGTCCTGGCGGGAGTCGACGGCTTCGATGCCTCTTAACAATTCATTGATTTCCGGTAACGTGAATTCGAACCCGTTATCAGCTAATTGACCAATGATCACTAAAGCCTTATCGACACAGCCGGCGTGAGCCCCGCCTTCAGTCAGATCTTGTAATACCGCCGTCAATAAATCAACCACTTTGGCCTTGTGTAAGAGGTCCAGTTTCGTCAGATCCAACCCCGTGCTCAAAATTGCCGACACAAGCGAAAGTGTCCGCAACATCACTTTTTTATCGGTAATATTGGTGGTAGCCAATAATTGCCACCCGTTAGCGTCCGCAAACTGTTTGTAGCCAGGTTCAAAGTGGCGGATGTACAGAGTGATGGCGAACAAAGCCTTCAATTGACAGGCAGAGCTCAGCTTGTCTGTGGCCATCACCACAAGCGATCCAAGCCCTTCCAGGTCATGGAACGCCTGCTGGGACTGGGGGTTGTTTTGGGTGGCAATACCGACGATCGAGGCTGCCAACACGCGTCTTTCTTCGGGGATGGCCGGGTCCATTTGCCCATTGATCACGGGCCAGAACCCCATCTGGCCAATGGCATTGGCGTTATCCAAGTTCTCGATAAGCATCTCAAAGTTTTCAAGAGCGGTCACTTTAGCTTCTTCAGTGGCTTCAGGATTGGACACCACCGCCATCAGCTGTTTCATCAAGCCAGGCTCATCGGGACCGCCAAATAACTGGTTGAGGAGCTTTGGGTCCGGGGCGTCGCCGACCTTGGCGATGGCGTCTTTGTCGCCCAGTTGGTGGGCCAACGACCAGTTAAGCAATTTGTCCATCGTTCTTTTTGGGATTGGAGGTGTGAAGCTTTGGCTGATGGGGTTGTTTTTATGGAATTCGGGTGTGTCGGTTCGAGAACGTTCTAGAAGGTGCGATCGGAGATGAGTGTCGGAAGTTGGTTGCGGTGACGGAAGTGTCGGAGCATGAGACCCTGAAAAATGTACTAATTATAACTACCACCCACCCCCAATAACCTCTACATTGTAGAAGATTGATGATTCCCAAAATCTAGATACCATAATGAGGTCACACTTATGTGATTGTCCTATTTGTTATTGGTTCTAGATCATAAATACCTCTTCTATCTAACCCTTGATCGTACGTGTACCCGTGGGACACTCCCGACAACTTCCACCGCTGGGCCAATTTTTCACGTTGCTGTCGCGCCATATTTCGCCAGGGGATGTTACGAGGCCAGCGAGCAATTGCCGACGCCCAGGGGAAGCTCAGGGGATGAAACAACAACAATTGCTTTCCATAAGGGTAATTACTTAGGGTATAGTATAGCTGGTGATGGTAGTTGCCGGCGGCGTCCCGGAGAGACTGCGTGTCGGGCATCCGGCGGTGCCGGGCAACGCTTGCCCGGGGGATTACGGGGCGCATTACCCCATACCCGTGTGCGCGTCACGGTATAAATATATATATGAGGCGGCGGCTCCCCTCACCCTTACTGCCCCTCACCATGTCTCTCTCCAACAAGCTCTCCTACAAGGACGTCGACTACGCCGGCAAGCGCGTGTTCATCCGGGTTGACTTCAACGTCCCCCTCGACGGCGCCAAGATCACCAACAACCAGCGGATCAAGGCGGCGTTGCCCACCATTGAATACGTCGAGCTGAAGAAGCCCAAGTGCATCATTCTCGCCTCCCACTTGGGCCGCCCCAACGGCCAGGTCAACCAAAAGTACTCGCTCAAGCCCGTCGCCGCCGAATTGAACCGTTTGTTCAACCACAAGCACGTCGTCGAGTTTGTCGACGACTGTGTCGGCCCCCAAGTCAAGCAGGCCGTCGACGCCGCCCAGGACGGCAAGATCATCTTGTTGGAAAACCTCAGATTCCACGCCGAAGAAGAAGGTCTGCAGAAGACTGACGGCGGCAAGATCAAGTGCCCCGAAGCTGACGTCAAGAAGTTCAGAGACGAATTGACGCTGTTGGCCGACGTCTACGTTAACGACGCTTTCGGCACTGCCCACAGAGCCCACTCGCTGATGGTGGGGATTAACGTCCCCATCAGAGCCGCCGGTGAGTTGATGGAAAAGGAATTGCTGTACTTTGGCAAGGCGTTGGAAAACCCCGACCACCCGTTCTTGGCGATCTTGGGCGGCGCCAAGGTGTCGGACAAGATCCAATTGATCAACAACTTGTTGGACAAGGTTGACGAGATCATTATTGGTGGTGGTATGGCCTTCACCTTCACTAAGGTGTTGGACAACATGAAGATCGGGTCGTCGTTGTACGACGAAGACGGCGCCAAGATCGTCCAGGAACTTGTCGACAAGGCCAAGAAGAACAACGTCAAGATCCACTTGCCCGTCGACTTCAACGAGGCCTCCAAGTTTGCCGAAGACGCCGAACACAAGGTCGTCACCGCCGAAGAAGGTGTCCAGGACGGCTGGATGGGTCTCGATGTCGGTCCCAAGACCGCGCAACAGTTCGCTCAAGTGATTGAAGGTGCTAAGCTCATCGTGTGGAACGGTCCCGCCGGTGTGTTCGAATTCCCCGAGTTCGCCAAGGGCACCAAGGCGATGTCCGACGCCTGCACCAAGGCCTTCGAAAAGGGCTCCACCGTCATTGTCGGGGGTGGTGACACCGCCACCGCCGCCGTCAAGTTCGGCACCAAGTGCTCGCACATCTCCACTGGTGGTGGTGCCTCGCTCGAGCTTTTGGAAGGTAAGACCCTCCCCGGTGTCGCCGCTCTTTCCGACAAGAAGTAAATAGGATAACACAAAACCATAGTAAATAACGAACCTATTGAAGTTAATGTAGCTTTTATAGTCAGCGCTGTGAAAGCCAAGTCGATCTTCGTTTTGTCAGCTTCTGTGGTACCTCCAAACTGGATCGACAATTGCTTAAAATTTAGTACAAAACTCGTGGACGATTTGCTAACAAATGTTTCTCCCAATACTTCAAACATTATCATACTACACTTACAGTACATTCAATGTTTTAAAACTCAAAGATTATTGAGAGGTCGTCATCATTCTTGATGCCAGCCTGTAGTTGATTTTCACAGACAAGAACTATTAAACCATCGATAAACACTCAACTTAATTCCTAGCTTGATACTTTACTCACTGATGATTTGTACTAGTTTTTATCACTGAACGTACCCATAACTCATACCAATTCCTCAAACATCAATTGTCATTTTTGATTGATCTACTTGAATTCTTCAACTACACACCGTGAGCGTCTGTTTAATTCAACATCTCATTTGACAAATATCATCGAAATCATCAAAATTTTACTGAAACAATTCCACGAGTCTTTCTTCTACCTTCAATTGTCTTCTATATCAATTATTTTCTATATTTTCTGCTCATGTCGCCTCCACCCTTTGGATATTAAGCTCCATCTTCGGTGCCAGTGTTAGTGCGCGGTGGCCTATGAACGACTTCGAAGCCTACTTGGACCCCGAGTTCCAAGCCCCCACGTTTGCCCGTGACCTTCTTGTCGCCACTAATGGTCCCGACGCTGACGAATTAGAGGTGGAGACCGCGATCAAGCGGCTCCGCTTCGACGTCGACGAGTGTGACAAGCGCATGTCGCTGATCGCCGGCCACAACTACCAGGAGCTTGTGGGCAACTTTGACCGCATCCAGCAGCTTCAGAAAGTGATGGATAGTCGCGTGGCACCGGCAGTCGACCGGATCAACTCGTCGTTTGACCGTATCAACGCCGAAGTGGTGCAACCTTACGAAGAGGCTGCCAACACCAATGCGGCGCTCAAACGCATCCACACCACGTTGGCGATGCTCCGAGGAGTGCTGGTGTTTATGGTGATTGTCCAACAGCTTGAGGAATTGACGCTGGAGCCGCTGCTGTTGCCGAAACAGGCGAGATTATTACACCAGTTGCAACAGGTTTTAGACGACCAACTGACACTAAACCAGATTCGTTTGGTTCGCAACTACCAGCCGATCGCTACGCTGAAAAGGCAGCTGCTTGTGAATGAGTGTGGCCAGTCAATCACCAGTTTAGTGAGCCACGCTCAGACGTTTACCACCACCAATCTGGAGTTGAAATACAGGATGCAGGCGCTCTACTTGGTGGACCCCGAAGAGTTTAAGCTGGCCATCACCAAGATCGTTACTAAAAATGTGACCCTGGCGCTGGCTCAGCTTCAGCGAGCACTAAATTCTCCCCGCAATTTCCCGGAAATCCTAGGCGATATTAAAACCACTCAAAGTCAATTCTTTGATACGCTTGAAGAAATCATCGCTGCTGCTGATAGCGAAGACGATGAGATCGACTTGAAGCTGGCGGTTTCCGATGATTTAATCGGTGAATTCTGGAGTAAGTTGGCGTTACGGTTCAAGAAGAATATCGCGGCGACGATGGCTCGAGGCGGTCCCATTGCCAAGAACTTGAGACTGTACCATGATGGCATCGTCAATCTGGTGAACAAGACGTTTGAGGGTGAAGTGCAAGAGCAACTCGTCGACGCCCTCCTGTTGATCAAGGGGGAGAGATGATTGCGACTATGACTTTGATCAGTCTGGTCTCCGTTGCCTGTAACTGAGACTGAGATCTACACCATGATCTACTTGCATTCTTCGTTATTAATCATTTTCTGGGTATTATCTAGGCTATAATACAGATCACATGAACGCGGCGGCGGCGACGGCGGCGACGACGGCCATCCCCGACGACGACCACGCCGGCGCCGAGTTGGCGTACTCAATCAACCGTTTAAGCACGGTGGGCTGGTTGATCAACGCCATCATCGTCCCGTTGGTGAGGCCCAGCTCGGTATAGTTGACGTTGGCAGCATAGTCGGGCTCGTTGGGAGACACCAGGCCGTCCCAGCAGTACTTCTTAAAGCACTTTTGGCAGGCATCAGACTGCAGCACGTTCTGCCTTTCTTGCGACCGTCTGATCATGGCACAGGCGACACACTGGGCCCAGTCGCTGTCGAAGGTGCCGTTGGCCCGCGTGGCGACGTTGAAGCCGTTATCGACTAGCTGGTCCCGCTGTTGATTGGTATAGTCCAATTGGTATAAGGTGACGTTGGACAACGTGTTGTAAGGCCGGTTAGCCATGTACACCACTAAGGGAGGCGTGACACCGTCTTTTTGCAAACCGGTTAAGTTTTTGGCGTCACAGCCAAAGAATACGGGACGGGCAGTGAAGTTCTGCTGCAAGAATGTTGAGGCGGGAGGCACATAAGGGCATAGCGTCAGTTTCCCCTGGTCGCCAAATTGACGCTGATAGGTCAACACTAGCGCCTCGCCAGAGGGGAACGAGTTATCTCTATCGTTACCGTTGTCAAAGGCAAACACCATATCGAGTTTCCGCTCCTTGGTCATCAACGACGAGAGCGGGATGGTTTCGCCAGCAAGCCCGCCGTCTATCAAGTATAACGTGTCGTTCTTGGTGATATTGGACAGGGCGGCGTACTCGGAGTTGTAGAAGGGGTTGGGCCTATACTCGGCGACGTCCTGGTAGCTGTTGCTCAAATAAGTCAAGAACTTCTTCGCGATCCATTTGACGATGAAATTAAGCTGGTCACAGTCGTCACACACTAACGTGTGGAGGTACTGGTTAAACAACAGCAGCAGCGTCCCCGCGACAAAGCCTAAGTTGTCGAACCCCGTGGTGCACTGGTTGAACCTGCCGTTGTCCACGTGAGTGCCCAAGTACTTGATATCGGAAAACGAGTTGAGCGAGGTGTCGAACGACCCGATCTCGTAAGGGTTCATTTCCACCACCGTCGAGTTCAAATTGTACACTAGAGTACCGGGACGACGCCCCACAGCGATGATGAGAGGAAATGGCATGTCGTGGTTCTTAAACGGCGTCGAGTCCCGGATATCCAGTAACGTGCGGTTACGACCGTAATCGGGTCCCGGAGTCATCTGGTAGGCGAGTCCCCGCCCCCAGTAGTCGGTCAAAGTGACGCCAAACCCGGCCTGTCGCTTGGCATCCGTCTCGTTCTTAATTTGAGGCCAGTTATTCAATTGAGTCAATGCCCCCTCTAAATTATTGGTGAGCACACTCCACCCCAATTTGAACCAGTTGGCCAGCAGATTGATCAACGCGTGGTTCTTGTCCACCTGCCATTTGTCCTGCAATTGAGCCACCGACGGCCACTCGTACGCCATCATCGAGTGCAAAAGCCACAGTCCCCCGGAGAGGGCCGAGATGTATGTTGCCAGGTCTAACACACCGCCCAAGGGACTATTTACTCGCAGATCGAGCCCAGCCACTTCGCCACCACCAACAAGCATCAGCCGGTAACCGCCGCCGGAGATAGCGACGCCAATGGTGACATCGTCCAATTTATCGGTTTCGTTAAGCCCCACCTTTTTGAGGTAAGACTGTAACGCTTTTTGCGTCTTTGCTTGTCTCTGTTTTAGCCAGTCTTTTTCTTGATCGGATATATCTTTTGCTTCTCGGATAAGGCTCTTGGTGGTGGGGCACTGGGCTTTGGTATTGGGGGCGTAGCTCGCCTCCACCAGTTGTAATGCTAACAATAAATAGACCACCTGGAACAACCAATTCATCGTTTGGATGGATTTAGGCAACGGTTGGCTGGTGTCCGGTGTTCATGGGAAGCAATTTGGGGGGGTCATTGGCCGGGGAATGTGGGGTAAATTCCGTGGTTTCCTCAATAGGAAGGTAAGCACAAGGAGAAGGTAAACAGGTAAATAGAGTGAAGTATTTGAAGATGTTTAGGGATTAATCTGTTGAGTTTGATTGCTAGTAGTGGTTGGGGGGGTGATTTTGGCAATACGGGGTGGTACAGGGTGAGTTTTGGCATTGTGTCATTTTTGTGATCATAGAGGTTTGCTGCACGGGTGTGAATTGGTCCCCTATAATCGCGAGCATACAATCAAATAGGGATAAAAGTGTCGGAATTCAAAATAATTTTAAGATATGAAACAAGCTATAAAATAATACTAATGACAAATTATATCAATTTCTCATTGGCTTTGGTGGCTAATTGTTCATAGCGATAGAATGCTAGAACCCATCACTGCGACCTCTCACAGTTGAAGGCCCATCGCACCGTAACCGCATTGGAGACCATCGCACCATAACCAGCGAACCTCATCCCTAAAATCCACTCCTACCTTATCGGATTATGCACGCTCCCGATGGAAAACCGTGGGGCCTGCGCTAGACACAGGCGATGTCTTAGAAAAGCACGGTAGCGGTTATCGGTAGTGTCAGGTGATTGCTGGTTACGAAAACTGTAAAATTGTGAAGTAGAAGTGTAGAGGTATAAGATCTGTTGAATCTTAGTAGAGCTGGTTAACGTAATGGCGATGTTTCAACCCCATAATAGACAACGTGGGGCGATGCTGTGGTGACAGGTACATTAGGGCACCAGCCCTATCTCACGTGACTGTATCAAAAAATCAGCAAATCATGGTAAATCGACTAACTAATAGGGTGGATCCATACTATTGAGCATTCTAAAGCCAATAGTAGTGCCCAATCATCTTTATATCTAGTAATTCTCTGGTAATCACCCCCTTAGTATGGTACCAAGGGTGGCCATCGTCTCCCAGACACTATATACACTCCTCAGTTATAGTCGACTGCGAAAAAAAAAATTTTCCACAGGCCCCTCTCATCCCTACCACAACTATGGCTGACGGTGTTTTCCAAGGTGCTATCGGTATCGATTTGGGTACCACTTACTCGTGTGTTGCCACTTACGACTCCAACGTCGAAATCATTGCCAACGAGCAAGGTAACCGTGTCACCCCTTCGTTCGTCGCCTTCACTTCGGAAGAAAGATTGATCGGTGATGCCGCTAAGAACCAGGCCGCCCTCAACCCCAAGAACACCGTGTTCGACGCCAAGCGTTTGATCGGTAGAGCCTTCGACGACGAGTCGGTGCAAAAGGACATCAAGTCGTGGCCCTTCAAGGTTGTCGACGACAACGGCAACCCCAAGATCGAGGTCGAATACTTGGAAGAAACCAAGCAATTCTCGCCCCAAGAAATCTCGTCGATGGTGTTGACCAAGATGAAGGAAATTGCCGAAGCCAAGATCGGCAAGAAGGTGGAAAAGGCCGTTGTCACCGTCCCCGCCTACTTCAACGACGCCCAAAGACAAGCCACCAAGGACGCCGGTGCCATTGCTGGTTTGCAAGTGTTGAGAATCATCAACGAACCCACTGCTGCCGCCATCGCCTACGGTCTTGGTGCCGGTAAGTCCGACAAGGAAAGACACGTGCTCATCTTCGACTTGGGTGGTGGTACTTTCGATGTGTCGTTGTTGAACATCACTGGCGGTGTCTTCACCGTCAAGGCCACCGCTGGTGACACCCACTTGGGTGGTCAGGATTTCGACACCAACTTGTTGGAACACTTCAAGAAGGAGTTCGAAAAGAAGACCGGCAAGGACATCTCGGGCGACGCCAGAGCCTTGAGAAGATTGAGAACCGCCTGTGAACGTGCCAAGAGATCGCTTTCGTCGGGTACCCAAACCACCGTCGAAATCGACTCGTTGTTCGACGGTGAAGACTTCTCCGCCAACATCACCAGAGCCAGATTCGAAGACATCAACTCCGCCCTCTTCAAGCTGACCTTGGAACCTGTCGAACAGGTGTTGAAGGACGCCAAGATCTCCAAGTCGCAAGTCGACGAAGTCGTCCTCGTTGGTGGTTCCACCAGAATCCCCAAGGTGCAAAAGTTGTTGTCGGACTTCTTCGACGGCAAGGCCTTGGAAAAGTCGATCAACCCCGATGAAGCCGTCGCCTACGGTGCCGCCGTGCAAGGTGCCATCTTGACCGGCCAATCGACCAACGACGACACCAAGGACTTGTTGTTGTTGGACGTCATCCCCTTGTCGTTGGGTGTCGCCATGCAAGGCAACGTCTTTGCCCCCGTGGTCCCCAGAAACACCACCGTGCCCACCATCAAGAGAAGAACCTTCACCACCGTTGCCGACATGCAAACCTCGGTCAAGTTCCCCGTGTACCAGGGTGAAAGAGTCAACTGCTCGGAAAACACCCAATTGGGTGAGTTCGACTTGAACGGCATCCCCCCCATGCCCGCTGGCCAGCCCGTGTTGGAAGCCATCTTCGAGATCGACGCCAACGGGATCTTGAAGGTCACCGCCGTCGAAAAGGAAACCGGGAGATCGGCCAACATCACCATCTCCAACTCGATCGGGAGATTGTCGTCGGAAGAAATCGAAAAGATGATCTCCGACGCCGAGAAGTTCAAGTCCTCCGACGACGCCTTCGCCAAGAGACACGAGCAAAAGCAAAAGTTGGAAGCCTACATCGCCTCGGTCGAATCCACCGTCACCGACCCCGTGTTGTCGGCTAAGATCAAGAAGTCCGCCAAGGACAGAATCGAAGCCGCCATGTCCGACGCTTTGCAAACCTTGGAAATCGAGGAATCGTCGGCCGACGACTACAGAAAGGCCGAGTTGGCGTTGAAGAGAGCCGTCACCAAGGGCATGTCCACCCGCTAACTTGTACAAATAGTTTAATAGGAAGGTAATAAGAAAACTATGAATAGAAGGACTACGTAATCGATTGTAGAAGGCATGTTAAGTAATCCCAAATTGGATGGATTTGCAGTGTTGGCCACTTTAGTTTAATTTCGCAGATATTTCATTAATCTTCCTTAGCAATGGCTCACGCGTGTTTAATTAGAATCACCATTATGTTTGGACCTATGCCACCTCCAAATCTACAAATCTAAATCCTTCACTATCACTAGTTTGACAATAATACTCGACACAATTATCGAACTTACTCTTAGCGTTTACCCCATTTCTCATCGTCACCTTTGTTTACCTCATCTAACGCGCCATGGGTGTCGACGCCGACGCCGTCCGGGACTTGTACCACGCCTCCACCTGTCTCAGCGAGTTGGGGCTCTACCATGCGGCGAAGTGGGTGGCCGAGGCGCTAAACGGGCTACCGAAAGACCAGGTGGACGCCGCCATGGCTACCGTGGCCACGAATGGCCCCCTGTTCCCCACAGAGTACTACCAGTGCCTGCCGACAGAACAGGCCAAATTCACTCTAGCCAAGTGCTATTTCCAGTGTAAGGAGTTTGATCGAGCGGCTTTGACGTTGGCGCCTTTGACCCTGCCGTGCTGTGTGTTCCTTAGGCTTTACGCCCGAGTGATCGCCATCGATAAACGCGCCACCGAAGAACTGGATGGGCTGATCAACTGGGCAGTACCGAAGCTGGATGTGGTGCTAGCAGCTGATGACGACGACCAGAAATCTCCGCCAGCGGAAGATACGCTCAGGGCCCAGCTCACCAAGATATTACAGGAGATCGACACCCTCACCCGCCACCAACTGCTGCCCAACCCGTTCTACCTATACTTGGCCGGTGCTATCTATAACAAGCAGAAGAAGTACCTGCTTGCCGCCCAGTACTTGGTGAAACTGGTATTGCTGTTCCCCTATAACTGGCTGGCGTGGAAGGAACTTGCCCTGACACTCACCACGTTGGACGAAGCGCTCCAGTTACTCACCAAGCTTAAGCAGGCCCCCAAAGTGCTGCTATTGGTGTTTGACATCTTTGAGGTGGTGGTTCTTCAACAGTTTTACCAGAGCCTGCCCGAGCTTGTTGACCGAGTGATGGCGCTCCAGCACCAGTTCCCCCACTTCTATTTCCTCAAAGTGCAACAGTTTCTCATTGCTTATCATCTGATGGACTACGTGAAAGCCGAACAGGTGTACGACGATATCCTCGTCGGGGACCCGCTCCGCCTCGACGACTTGGACACGTTCTCTAATATGTTGTACGTGATGGAGAAGCGGCTGAAGCTCCTGTACTTGGCCCACTACGCGCTGCAAGTGGACAAGTTCCGCCCCGAAACCTGCTGTGTCGTCGCCAACTACCACTCGATGAAAGGTGAACACGAAAAGGCCATCATGTACTACCAGCGAGCGCTCGCATTAAACAAGCAGTGCATCTCGGCGTGGACGCTTATGGGCCACGAGTTTGTCGAATTGAAAAATAGCCACGCCGCTATTGAGAGTTACCGGCGAGCCGTGGACCAGAACCCGCGTGATTTCCGTGCCTGGTACGGGCTTGGCCAGGCGTACGAGGTGCTCGACATGAACTTGTACGCGTTATACTACTACCAGAAAGCCACCAATCTCCAGCCGTTGGATAAGCGGATGTGGCAGGCGTTGGGCAACTGCTACGAGAAGCTGGATAAACTCGAAGAGGCCGCTAAGGCATTTGAGAAGGCGTTGATGATCGATAACTTCCGCGCGGGAGGGGCTCACCACGGCGACGATACCGACGGTGACGCCTACCAGCTGGTGCTTGAGCCACACGTGGTGTACCGGCTAGCCATCATTTCTGAGAAATTGGGCCAGGTGGCGACCACTTTCAGGTACATGAAGCTCTGCTTTGGTCAAGAATACGAGTGGGGAGAAACCGATGAAACGACAAAGGCGCGGCTCTGGTTAGCCCGCCACGCATTGGAGAATAAACGGTTTGACGAGGCGTACGAGTTGGCGAAAGAGCTAAACCGAGGCAACGCCCACGATATCGAGGAGGCAAGGCTGATTGCGAGGGATGCTCGTTCACGAATGAAATAAACCGATAGCGTAAAGCTCGGTCATCCAGTGGGCTGATGCTGTTCCAAATTACGTTCAGATCTCATTATGGTCAACACGTTACGCATGCGATACCAGTGTCTCGGAAGCAATACCTTTGACGACGATTGTCGCTATCGCAAGTTAGCCGTCTGTTCGGAAGGAGTCAACCACGTCATATTATTTAGCAAAAATACTTCTTCATTCCTACAGTGAAACTGGGGAAACCCATATTGGTAAAATTCATCACCAGTGAGAAGAGAACGATCGGTAATAGTAGCAGATGGATACATTGGTAATTTAAAGGTATAGCGAGATAGTGACGTATATCCATTGTTTGGCGAATCGAGAGAATTAGTTGTGATCACCATACTTGGAGTCTTACGACCCGTTCAACCGAATTGAAGACCTCACAAACTTATGAACAAGTGATCTGATTACGGCTTGGTGATCAACTTACCGGGGCCCTTACCTTCAAACAAGCGGAACCACACTTCGGGGATCTTCTTCAAGTCACCTTTAATGTCGACCACCTCCAGTTCATCCTTGATCTTACCCTCAGCGAACGCCTTACCCAACGCTGCCAACGCCTCTGGGTACTCTTTAGCATAATCCAACACAATGAAACCTTGCACGGTGATTCTGTTGGATACGATTTGACCCCATTGTGTCACCTTCAGCTTCAGCGGGTCGTTGTAGCCAGAGATGGCACCGCAGGCCACTACTCGACCAAACTGCTTCACGCGAGTAAGACACAAGTCAAGGATCTCACCACCAACATTATCGTAGTAGACATCGGCAAATTCGCCTTCAAGCGCCTCGTCAAGCTGCTCACGCAAGTTGTCCAGCTTATAGTTGATGCACTTGTCAGCGCCAAGCAGCTCGACAAACTTGCACTTGTCGTCGGAACCAGCAAAGCCAATCACCTTCTTGGCCCCGACAAGGTGCTTGGCCACCTGCACTACCATGGAGCCGGTAGCACCCGAGGCAGCCGACACAATGAGGGTCTGTCCCTTTTGCAATTGACCCACCTTGATCGTACCAAAATAGGCAGTCAACCCCGTCATCCCCAATGCCGACAAGTACGCCAGCAACGGCACCCCTGGTTGCACAATAAGCTGGGTGTTGATCTGTTCAGGGTTGAGCACGGCGTAGTCGCCCCAGCCGACCATACCAAGCACCAAATCGCCGTCTTTATAGGAGTCGTTTTTCGAGTAGACCACTTCCCCGATCCCGATCGCCATCATCCGGTCGCCTTCCTTGACAGGTGCAACGTACATTCTGCGGGGGTCTCTGCCCTTTTGTATCCACCCTCTTTGCGTGGGGTCATTGGAAATGAGCTTCAGCTTCACCACCACCTGCTTGTCCTTCACTTGATCCTTATCGAACGGCTGCGACTTCAAGGCGAAGGTGGAGTCGGCCTTGTCCAATTGGACCACGACACCAGTGGTGGGGGCATTCTCAAGGACGATTTCGTTGATTTGAGTGGGTAAAGACATGGTTTGACGGCGGTAGAGTGGCGGAGTTTGCTGATTTTATAGGGATTGCAGCCATAGGGCTATCATAGCGCAACTATATGGTGGTCGCACTGTTTCCGAATGGGGTAAGGATACCGTGATCGCACCATTGCCGCTTAGGGTAGGCGTGCGAAAGGCGAATGTCCAATAATTCATCAAACCGGCAATAGAATAAGACGAGCATGGTAGGGTCTAGAATATCGGAGAGCAACATGCTTTCCGGTGCCGTTGCCACCGCCACCAAGAACATGGGTCGGTAAAAATTGGCGGATGAAAGTTGCACTGCCGAAGTTCAATGAAACCAGGGCTCTAGGTGAAAGCTCATCACTCCAGTGGAAATCAAAAGTTAATCAAACAATCAACAACTCAATTCCAGTTGAAACTCAACCCTCAATGACATTTCGTCAATGTAATCAAGAACTGAGTCTTGTTTGTAATTATCAGATTGTTTTGATCTTAGTGCGCGGAACGCGTCTAGTAGAATGAATCCATAACACAGACATGTTTCAATTGAATTCAACTAATTGCAAACAGTCTGATGAAAGTCATTGAAAGTTGAGTTAACTTGATGACTACAAAGCTTCCTGTCAGAGGTCTGAGAAGTTTAAACAAGATCGACCTAATATCTGATATCAAATTCCCATTTTGAACTACTTTGTGGACCGTCTTGGTAATCAAAAGGTACTGAAAACCACTCCCACCCATTGATGATGCTCCCTGGAGACCACCCTCGAAGCTCCTCATTTCTTTCCTCCTAGCATTAATTTCACCCATCCTCGTCACTTATAAAAATTGATCCTTCGAAAAGAGTATGGTTCATAGTTCTGGAACGCCTGTACGCTCTACAGAGCTCGGCTTTATGACTAAGTGGAACAAATCTAAGATCGATCATAAGTGTGTGGAAACTGAGTTTAATGACGTTACTACAGCTTCGAAGTACAAAGCTAAACGTGAGAGCCGACTGCAATAATTTGCGATGATCGAGGAACGATTCAGTTCTGATTGTTTTTGTAAACAAGTGACTTTGAACCATTCATCAATACCAGGCCTCCATCACAAACAATCGAAACGAAAAATTGATATTCCTCGATTAACTTTACATGGTTCAACCTGTGGTGGAGAGTTACGCGCACCAAACGCGTCCTGCAAAGCTTATGATTTCCATCGGATTACACTTAAACTTTGGGCGCCACAGATCACGCAACAACTTGCAAAAGAGATATACACCACACACCTGAATATTGTACTGTCCACAAACTTCATGACTATGGAACATCCTGCCAAAAGGCTGAAGACCTCAAACAGTTACAAGCTATACCAGGAGCAGATGGCTCGCTACAAAGAACTAATGGATCGCCACCAAGCATCCATCGATCGTCATGAGCAAATGATGGCTCGTCACCATGAGCTATTGAATCAGAAACAGATGTGCGCAAACTGTATGTCACAGTTGGAACCTCGCAGTCAACGACGCCGTGATACATCCCTAACCTTGCCCGTGGAGATTATAGCCAGAGTACTCGACTTCCTCCCACAACATCGAGTGTACCCTTTCTTATCTCTTTCCAAGGCAATTGATCGCATTGCCAAAAGAAGATTATTTCGAAAAGTATTCGTTTTAGAAGAAAATTCAAAACCTCTCCTTCACGATGCTATCGATGAGTTGTTACACTGGCTGTATCTTACCGAAGCTCAATTCCTTTACTTGATGGAAATTGAATTTGAATGGCCGGGCAAGTACGTACACATTGAAACCTGTTTATGGAAAGACTCTCTCAAAGGGGCAATCAAGAAACATTTACTGCCAGCTGAGGTTGTGTCCTACAGATGCTCAATCGCCTACGTTACCAAGGCTTCTCAGCTCTCTACTTTGTCACCCCACATAACGCGGCTTTTGCTAGAGGGACCATTAACCCTTGAACCGATGGCAACCAAGCTTGTAGTGGACCATTTATGGATAAGAAAAAATGTCAAAGGCGTGCATGGATGTATTGATCTCTCATCTGTGAAACAATTGACTCTCGGGCATGCGTTGTGCGATGATGATGATAATATATACAAACTAGCAGCCCATTTGACTAATTTGGAGGACTTGGAACTCAGGGAGAAGAATTTCGAAAAATCATATTTCGACAGGTTTCCAAAAATTGTGAAACGCGTGTTTCTTCCCTACTGTTATGATGATAGGTACGAGTATGAAAAAGTTACTGAACCGTTTCAGCTGCTGCTTGAATATATCGAGTTGAGCCAAAAATGTGAGCCATTATGTTATCCTCAGCGGCATTTATCAGTGGCTAAGTCAAACACCGGTCTCCTGATAGATTACCAAAAGTATCCGAAACTCAAATTGTTCGTGCGCAGAGATGCCGTATTTAAGGTTTGTCGAGTTTTGGGGGAATACTACAAGTGTGAACAAATCAACGAGTACAAGCTGGATTGGTAGGGCTCTAGCTTGTTACGTTGAAAGAAGTTTCTTGGTTGCATCTTTGCACACAACCCAATGGATGAGTGCTTTTGTACTCTTGGGCTCACCGCAAGTTTAGGGGCATCGGAATCAATATTCGATTCCATAGCCTATGCACTCTATGATGTGCCCACAATGATAGCGATTGATGTTTATCTCATCGCATACCTTACATTATATCGTCTTCTTTTCAGTGCAGAGATATCAATCCAGAACTGGTATTCAATTGTGTACATTTTTTGCACCACCAGAACCCTACTGAAAATTGATCTGAGCAAGTTCAGCATCAGTCAGTGAGTTGTTCTCGTGAGTATGAGGCAATCGAGACTGACTTGATTTTGACAGTATGTGCTCGTTGTTGATGCTACTCTCGCAATGTATTTCGCTCAACTCAACCACAAGTAACAATCAGGACAAGAGCTGGGAATCGCTGGACGCAGCTTACGAGATAAATACCGATACTAAACTATCTAACATTTCGTCACCACAAATGGTAAATAGCGCTTAAATGTCAAATCGAATTCTAATTGACAATAATCATATATTCTGTTAGAATTCACAATGACAATCTCATGAGAAGCCTTAAATTGAAGATCATCATCCACGAGAAGAATCTCAATCTATGCTCTCAAAGGATTATTCTGACTCATGGTGGACTCCCTGAGACATTTCTGAAAAAGGTCCACCTCCACCTCGGTGAGGCTCGAATGATGTCATTGAACATCATTCACTAATTTTAAGTTTTGCTCATTACTTGTATTAAGATCTTATAGAGAGTTCGTTAGCGTCACTGTTGGTAGATGCTCAGACCCAGCGACGAGCGGTCCAGCTCCAGGTCGTTTTCGCGGATCAGCGCCACCAGCTCGTGGTGGGCCTCTGTGCCCATCATCAACGTCGGCTGGTCGCGCAAACTGCCCTTACGGGTAAACTCGACGAGCTTGGCTTTCGTAGGCAGCATCTTGCCCAACCGCTCCTGCAGCGGGTTCTTCGTCAGCAAGATGTCCGTCAGGTTGCCGGTGCCAATCAGCAATTGCAGCAATGTCGAGTTGCGCAAGGAGTTCTTCAACGTCACCGGCGAGTCGGTGAAGTTGAACCCTTCCGAAGACGGCGACAACACCGCCTGCGGCGGCGCCTGTTCCCACATGATCCCTTCCGGGGTGGCGGTGGCGATAAAGTCGTCGCCACTCACGTCCTCAGGAGCCTCGACGTAGGGGACGTCGTCGGTGCGGATGAGCAGCTTGCGGTTGGCTTTTTCCAACAAGTCTGGCAGCAGCAGTTCCAGCGGGTTCAGGGCTCCCGAGGCGCCGGTGTAGTACACCAGCGACTCCAGGGCGCGTCTATTAGAGTCTAAAGCGCCCATGGCGCCCATGGCGCCGCCGGCAGCGGCAGCAGCGCCAGCGGCGCCGGCGCCGGGCGTGCCTTCTTCCACCAATACGTCCAAGTTGTTCAGGCGCCGTCTCAACGAGTTCAGCGGCTGCAACAGACCCAGCAGCCCGTCGTCATCGGCGTAGACGCTGTAGTTGTTGCCCGACAGGTTGTCGCGCCTTATGGTCAGCGGCGGTACCAGCTGGGCCAGGTCACGGGCAGTGCCATCGTCGACCAAGCGTACGCTGAACAACTGGTCGGTGTTCACCGTCAGCATCAGCGCGTCGGAGTTGCGCACGTTGGGGTCGATGACCGCCGCAGTCAAATCGGGGTCGGGCTCGTGGTGCAGCTCGTCGTCGATGGGGGCAGCGCCGTCATCGAATGGCGCCTCAGCGGCGTCCAGGTCGCCCCAGTCGGCAGCTCGCCACAGCTTCAAGGGTTTTTCGGTGGCATCAAAGTACAGGTCGTCCAGCTCGATGCGCGTCATCAGCGACAGCGTCAGGTGGATGTCCAGGTCGAACTTCGCCGCCTTCTTCGGCAGCGAGAACTCGAGCGCCTTGAGCGCCGCCAATTGCTTCGGCAGCGGGTCGTCTTCATCGTTGAAGTTGGCGGCGTGCTCGGCGGCAGCAGCGTCACCCGCCGCCATTACCGCGTCGTTGAGCCCCACCAGCGCCAGGCGCTTAGTGGCCAAGTTCTCGGGGAACTTGTCGCCGTAAGGCGAGGGGATGTCGGAGTGCTTCTCAAGGTCGTTGCTCAGAGTGTCGGCAGCGGCGACGGCGGCGCGGTCGCGGCGGCGGCGCCAGCAGCAGCAGAATAAGAACACGGCGGCCACGGCCAAGAGCCCCACGGGCAAACCCACCCCGAGACCAATGGCAAGCTTGGTCAGATTCAGCATCCCCGACTTGTTCTGCGGAGTGCCAGTGACGACGGCGGCATCGTCAGACGAGGTGGCAGTGGCGGCGGCCAGCGTCGACGCGATGGTGGACAGCGCCAGCGTCAGCGACGACGACAGCGCGCTCAGCGAGGACGATGACGACGAGCTCAGCAGCAGCAGCAGCAGCATGGTGATGGGGTCGACACCCTTAATGTGGAGCTGGCGCAGTTCGCCGGCGACGGAGACGTCAACGTCTTTTTGTTGGAACTTGTCGGGGACCAAGCCGTTGACGGTGTCGTTATCGCTGTGCCAGGTCATCCAGTCGTCGAGGGAGTTGACGGAGACGCTGGCCAGCTTGTCAGTGAGGTAATCGCCAATGTTGAACCCCCACCACTCGCCACGGGTGGCGTTGGTGTCGGGCCACTGGGAGGTAAACGCCAGCAGCGACAGGGTCAAGGTGAACGGCAATTGCACCTGGTTCAGGTACTGGTCGGTGACGACGACGGTAAACGAGTCCGACACGTTTTTGTCCAGGGGGAAGGTGCCGGTGATGGTGAGGTCGCTGTCGCTGAATTTGGCGTACAGCGGTAAGTCCTGGGCCTCGATTTTCGACACGTTAGCGCGGGCGATGGGCTGGTCATTAAGGAACACTTCGTTAAGCGGTACTTTGGCGTCGAAAGGGGAGCCCGTCAGCCCGTTGATGGCGATGGCCAGGGTGATGTTAGTCAGCAACAAGTTGGCGCCGACGACGAGGCGGAACTGGCCCTCAGCGGCGGCGTAGCCGTTGATGTCGGTGCCGATAAACACAAACAGGTAGTCGTACTGAGGCGCCAGGTCCAGCGTCACCTGGGGGACGGTACCGGAGAACGTGTAGGTGGAGGGGTCGTATTTAAGCCAGGGCGGCAACGGCAGGCGGTCGGCCAGGCGGCCGTAAGTGTTCACCACTTTCAGGCCGTCGCCGTTGGCAACAAAGTCGTTCGGGGAGAACTGTAAGTGTAACTCTTGTCCTTCCTTGACGACGATAGCTTGCGATCCCGGGCCGGTAGTGCGGCCGAGTTCCTTCACCGTCTGGTCCCAGTTGCTTGAGGAAAGCTGCAACCCGGGGTCGGAGCTCACCATAAAGTTGTACTGGTTTTCCAACGTTGTCTGGTCCAGCGGGTCGCGTCCGTGCAACACGACGAGGAATTGGCCCAAGTCGGAGTCCAGTGGCGTCCCCGAGAACGTTCGCAGCAGGGGGTCGAACTGGAGCCACGCGGGCTGGTTGGAGATCGAGTACTCGACGGCGGTGCCTGGGGTCAGCAGCTTGTACGTCTGGTCGGCCATCTGGAAGCGGTAGGCCTCGTTGGGGCGGGCGATGTTGGGGAGCTGTTCGTCGAGGGGGAACCCGACGTACACCTGGGCCGCCACGAGGGGTAGTAGCCAAAACATTACCGAGGGCGCACTAAGGAAATATAGGGTAGTCAGAAAGTAAACAGTCACGGGGAACAGAAACGGGTGAATTAGGCGGGCAAACGAAGCGTGGAAATGAGTGTATGGGTCAGAAAGTCGCTTGGCAAAGGAACGGAATGGTGGTAGGGGATAAAGGATGGTGGAGATCCCTGGGTGACAACCAGTAGTTATTATGGGGTAAAGGGTCTGAACACTGGTGGTTTGGGTGGGGAGGGAACGTGGTGGAGATGACTAGCGATCTCTTGAGTTTCTGGAAACACACACGGAGGGGTGGTTGGTTGGAAGGAGGGGAAGGAACGACGGGGAGCACGGGGTGGTGATGGCAGGAGAAAATCGCAGCGTGGTGGCATCTGGTAAAGTTTTATTAGGCGAACGCGCGCCGGGAATTGGTTACGCGGCCCCGGCTTAATGTGTTTTTTCGAGGATAAATATAGAAAAATAACCTAGGCAAAAAAATATTCCCAGGGTGCTAGTTGGGAGATTATGGAGTAAACAGAGGATTTCCAGTGGGGTTTGAGTCATTGTGGCAGTAATTATGACTGAACTAACCCCACTGGTTTAATTTCGGGGTTGTAAGTGGCGATTGTGTAGTAGCTATGGCTAACCACATCCACCTCAGCTTCTTCCCAATGGGGATAAATACCGGCGCGGTGCAGGACGCGTCGCGCTATCTCAATGCCGTGCATGCCCATGGGCACCTCACGACCAATGCGCCCCCAGGCACCACCGTTGGCCAAAGCGTGCCACAAACACCACCTACACTCAGCCTCTCGCTACCACCAGCCAGTGAATTGTCAAACTGACCTCAGCTTCATGCACCCGCTAGGCAACCGCTAGGCACTAACCCTCGATCGGATCCAGACCCTGGTCGCAGCACGATCATACGACACACGACCGACACCGCGCTCGCCATGGTTGTACACGCCCAGAGCTACGCGACGACAGCGCTTCGCTGCCGGCACTATCGACACCTCAAAAGCCCCCTTGTTCGCCCCTACCGCGACACAGCCCTGCAAACCATTAGGGTAGGCATAGGGGTTACATGGGTCCAAGCCTACGTGGTACAGGCCTAAGTGGTACAGTGTACTCTTGGGTATTATTATTGGAATCCCTAAACCACCGCGAGTTGTCTCGGTTTGGCTACACGTCGCCGCCTCACTGACGCCCACTGTCGGCTGCGGCTGCCGGCACCCTTGTTGACGACAACCCCCAAAAAACGAGCAAAAAGCGCACCCGCGACAGTTTTGGCGACGATCCATTCCCGGGTGCGACACCGCCACAGCTCCCCTCCAGACGGCCAGTGCCGCCTTATTTATATGGGACGCCCGGGATCACACTAGTGCTCATCGTATAGTCGTTTTTCGATCGCTGCCAAGTAGTTTTTGGCGTCTGAGTATAAAGGCGGTTAACTAATCGGCTTTTGCTCGATGCCTTGTGTTTGTCTCCACCACAACAATAACGATTGTCGGGTAACTGACTAGAAAACAATAAGGTATATTATTGGTAGTGATGATGGCTCTAATGGTTATTTCTACTGGTTTGTTTTATTTACTGGCGTGTTTTATTTACTGGCGTGTTTTATTTGCTGGCTTCTTGTATTTACTGGCCGGTTGCTGGTGTGTTACTGGTGTCGCTGGTGTCTCGTAGATGTTTTTGTGGCACGAGGCGGGGGTATTGTTTATTCGAATTTGTCCCCATCGGGCCGTATTACATACACACGCGATCGGCGTGCAGGACTATTTCATATCTATGATATATACATTCACTGGGACAGCCCCGCCGCTTGCTGCTCCACCCAGTGGTCCACCATCGACGGGTGCTGGAGGTATAAAACGCCCATAAGCTGGGCCATCATCTGGCGAGCGTAGCGGAACTTATGATAGGGCGTGCGCTGAGCGTCAGCGTGGACACCACGTAGAATTGCCGACTGACTCCAGTCAATGGTGGCCTCAATGACGTCGAATGCGTACTCCCCCAGCACCATGTGGCGCAAGTCTTTGCCGGTGACCATCTGCTGCCTCTCAACTTGCACTCGGTAGTACTTGTGGGCCACTGTTGCCAATTTACTGATGGTATCGGGGAGCTGATTGACGTAGGGTTTAGCCGTAAGCTCAGGGTCAATTTGCGCTAAAAGACTGCGACACTGCTGGTAGTAGAGACAGAGCAACTTGCTGAGATCGCTGTCAAGCTGTATGGGAAGCCGTAGCCGCAGGAGCTGGGCCGGTGGTCCCACTGGGAGCCGTATATGGGGGATATTCTCAAACTCAAGTGTCCCTGGTTTGACATGAGCCACGCGCTCAATCTCGTCAGATATGAGTCCGTCGACGTCAATTCCCCTGATTACCGCCTCGCCGATCTTCTCGTAGAACTGGGGGCCGTAACATTGATCAAATACTGCCATCGTCAGCCGTCCCTGAACGAGAAACCGGTGGAGACGAAATCCCACATGGAACTTAGCCGCGTGGTAGTCACAGTATTGGCGTCCAAGTTCGCCCGTCTTCGTTAATGTTTGTGATGGTTTAATCCGACCAAGCTTAGCCACCGTGGCTGCCACTGCGAGCTCATCCACCCCTCCAACCCGGTCATTGAAGAAAGTGGATAATCTCAGTGTAACTTGTCTCATCTGCGGTCCCATTATTCCTTGAACTTCACGGAACGCTTGCGACACTCGAGCCACGTACTTTAGCCGTTCCGGTACGGTTAAGCAGTAAATTAACTGGTAAAATTGATCACTGGTTACTGAAGACTGGAAACGAAGACGAAGGTCTGGTGCCGGCTGAACTTGCCAGAATTTGATCGCATCAACCGCCCATCCCATAAACCCTTGAGATAAGAGCAACTTTTTGGTATTAGCATCCTTCTCAAAGTGGAAATTGACCCAGAACTCCCATTCTAGTCTCCCCACTCTAACGGCACGTCCGAGGGCATCTTTGACCACCTGTTGTTGTTTCCAATGGCTCAGACCATCACGGGGATGGATCGACCCTTGTGGAATCATGTGGAAGCGGTTCTGCCATGTTTGTCGAGGGACGGGGGGTACAAGCGGTCCCGAAGCCGGCTCCGGTAATTGCGCTAAAGGAATCTTTTTCTCCATGATTAACTGGCTAAGAAATAGACACTTACGTGACGTAAGCAGTTTTAATTGAGCCGTGACTGACCGGTATAAGCTCAACTGGTCATCGACACTCTCGACAGCAGCACGCGAGTTTATCAGCGGTAAAATGCCAGCAACAATCAGATCCACGTCAGTGTCGGCGAGGCCGGCGTCAGCAGCTTTCACTTGAACAATATGGCGCACCACATCGATAAGACCAGTTGGATATTTGGGGAATTGGCCCAGAATATCCCCTTCAAGACGTTGATTTCGATTGGAAATGGACTCAACGGGTAGTTCGGTAAGCTTAAACCGTCGCGGAGGTCTGGTTTGCCTCACGGCATCGAGCCACACCTGGGGAAGCTTATTGGTCATTAGCGTATACGCCCCCACGTAGGCTGCCACGAGACTGGGCGTCCGTGACAAGAACAGCACCTGTCCCACCGCTGCCACCACGGCATTGTTGACGCCATTCTCCTCCAATATCGCCTGGCCGTAGCCAGCCACCATTTGTTGAGCATCACTCGGTTTAGCCAATATCCCCATATCTATCAGTAACGGAAGCAGGGGCACCTGGAGGTCGCTGGTTTTGTTTGTAGACACGTCAAGAAAGGCCGATTGAGGCCTGCTGAGCCGCAGAAGCCAGTCTTTCACCGCCTGGTGGTGGTGGTTAAGCTGGGCCTCTTGGTTGACGAGGGCTGCCAGCTGGGCGCCGCCACCATGAAACTTCGATGGTATACGTAACCCCTTATCAGTGTGGGCCTTTGGCGATACTTTCAATAGCAGTTCCACAACACTATCGGTGGATAGCCATCGCACCCTACCAACTCGTCGCATCAGGCAGTCGCGCCGCGCTCACGGGCCTGGTAAAGCAGAATAAAGGGCTCAGAAACAAAGGAAGGCAACCCCATGGCGGGAAACCTGCAAAATCACATGAGTTTTGCAAACCGTTTTTATTAAAGGGGGGGATAGAAGAAAAGATGATGGAGCGGCTCGATCCATACTATTCGCAATTTTACCTTACTTTTGCAATTTCCTCATCCGACCTGGTCTATACGTATTTACGGACAGGGTTAATTTTGATCTATACGTAAATATCGACATCTATACCATATAATTGATACAAGTTCGACACCCGATAATGTTCTGTGATGACGTTTTGTTATTCAATAACTGTAAGCTAAATCACGACGTATATGACGTCCATTTGATATCAACCGGCTTCAGAACTTTTGCTGTTGGGTTAATAGCTGCTCATGAACGCCTTGGAGTCCATGATTGGGATGTATTCGATCTGCTGGAGCAAGGCGTCAATGGTCGAGCCCATGGGTTACCACGTCGTTACTGTTTTCATTTTCATTACGACTAACTTACTCAGAGCCCATTACAGCCATAATTAGGTACACTTATTCATCCATAAGCGTAGTTATCTACTCTCACAGATTGGGATCGAGAGGCTACTGGCGGTGAGGCGGTTGCTGCATATATTTGTATCTAAACATTAAGTTTGCATACTTCAGACGCACAAAATTGAACTATGATGAAAATTCACGCGCGAAATACCGGCTTTTCCAGGCGAAAATCACTTTCAACTAACAGAGTATGACAAACAGTAATGCAATTTTCTGCAACTTGTCAGTTTGTCCGAGTGGTTAAGGAGTTTGACTCGAATTCCTTCGAGGCATCAAATGCTCTCTGAGCGCACAGGTTCGAGTCCTGTAGCTGACGAATCTTTTTAGCTCTCAGCAACAAAATCTAAACAAGACCCTATATCGTCCCCTTTTGATCATATTAATCAAAGCTTTCGTGGTTTTCGTAATAGTTTCATGATTGCGTGAATTTATAACAAGTAATCTATTTACTAGTGCCGGATACCAAACCGGGGATGCCTTTACTTTTGCACGGGCATCGAGGTCAGGGGCGACAAGATTTCGCCGTCGATCAAGTCTTGCTTCCACAGCGAGGTGATGGTCTTGGGCTTGGTCAAGAAGGTGACGCCGGCCTTACCGTAGAAGTTCAAGTCACCCAAGAACGACTGCTTGGACCCGGTGAACGAGAACATGGGCAAGGGCACGGGGATGGGGACGTTGACCCCGACCTGGCCACACTCGATTCTCTTAGTGAAGTATTGCGCGGAAGCACCCGAAGCAGTGAATACCGACACCCCGTTCCCGAACGGGTTCTTGTTGACAAAGTTGACGGCTTCTTCCAAAGTCTCGGTGTTGACCACCGAAAGCACGGGGGCAAAGATCTCTTCGTCGTAGCATCTCATCCCGGGCTTGACTTCGCCCAAGATGGTGGGCCCGAGGAAGTTACCTTTAGCCAACCGGGGGTCGGCGGGCTTGTAGCCGCGGCCGTCCAAAAGCAACTTGGCGCCGGCCTTCACCGAGTCGTCGATGATTTGTTCGGCTCTCGTCAACGACAGCGGGTTGATGAGGGGGCCAAAGTGGGACTTCTTGTCGAAACCGGAGCCGACGACAAGCTTTTGCGCCTCGGCGATGATGTCGGAGACCCATTCCTTAGTCTTGCCCACGGTGACCAAGACGGAAATGGCCATGCACCGCTGGCCGCAGGCGCCCATGGCGGCGCCGATGACGGCGTTGACCGCCTGGGCCTTGTTGGCGTCGGGCAAGATCACCATGTGGTTCTTGGCAGCCCCGTTAGCCTGGCAGCGCTTACCGGTTTGCGCCGAGCGTTCGTAGATGTACTTAGCGGCCTTGTCCCCCCCAACAAAAGTGACGGCTTTGATTCTGGGGTCGTCGAGGATCTGGTTGACGGTGTCGTGTTGGCCGTGGATCACGTTCAATACCCCGGGAGGCACCCCGGCTTTGGTGGCGAGCTCGGAGATGATCATCGCCGCCCCCGGAACCCGTTCCGAAGGTTTAAGCACACAGGTGTTACCGGTAGCAAACACGAAGGGAAGCGTCCACAACGGCACCATCGCGGGGAAGTTGAACGGGGCAATCAGCGCCACCACCCCCAAAGGTTCCCGCACCATCTTCGTCTCCATATCGGTGGCGACTTCAAGCAGTTCCGCCTTCAAGTCGTTGACGATGTTGACCGCCTGTTCGGCACACTGGATACCTCTAAGGGCGTCGCCGAGGGCATCGTCCCACGTCTTACCGTTTTCAGTGACCATAATGGCCGCCAACCGGTCGAAGTTTTCCCGAAGCAATTGGACAAACTTAAACGCCACCTGCTGGCGTCTGATGATCGAAGTGTTTTTCCACCCCTCAAACGCGTTCTGGGCCAGCTCGATGGCGGCGTCGATCTCGGCGTGGGTCAGCTGGGGCACGCGGGAGACGACGACGTTGGTGGCGGGGTCGTGGATGTCGATCCACTTGTCCGCCGCCAGCTGGAAGAACTTGCCGTCCTGGAACAGCGGCGTGATGTAGGGCTCGGTGCCTTCCTTGATGTGGTCGGTGGGGTACGAGGTGGTGGTGGTGTTCAACGTGAAGCGTCTCGCCGCCATCACCCGGGGCACCGCCGCTCTGGCTCTGCTGACTCTGGACAACATGATTGTGGGTGTTTTTCAGGTGGGATAGGGAAGAGTGGGCTTTTATAATGGGGCGGCAACCGAGCCCCGTTCTCCCCATCCACCCGAATGCACCTACGCTACCCCACTTAGCCGCCGAGGGTAATCGCAGCGAAAAGGGGAGGTGTAATTGGGGTTAAACGGATGAAAAGTGATATTTTGAATACATAGTATTGATGTGTTGATGACGAGGATTACGATGGTGATATCACTTTTCAGTTTTGTTGTTGGTAGGCCTCGAATCTTGGGGATGTCGGTGTTTGTCACGCCTAATGATGCTCCCCGGAAAAGCACTGAAGCAGCGACGCGGGCGTCACGTGACTGTGGGGCCCCCCCACCCCTCTGCTAGTGTCGAACGCGGGCCTCGATAACCGGAGGGGCCACGTTAGTGGCTTTCTTTTTTTCTATAGGGGCAAATCGCACTGGACATTTTCCACGGGTAATGGCGGGACGAAGGCTGAGAGTGGCCGCCCGGGGCTCGCAACGTGATCGCCCCCGTCTTGGAGGTGAGAGTGGCTTTAAACGGAGTTGGCACTCCGTCTGACTCAACTGTAATACCCGAGGAAATATCCATCGGAGTTTAGAAAGTGACCCCAGCCCTCAAACTGGACCACGACCTATTCTCTTTACCCCCCCAGCTTAATTATCAAATGTGACTAGTCGATGGTACTTAGCTGAGCCTCGGCAATGGGAGCGGCATTCGCTTTGTGGCATTTACGGTGGATGGCCCTGAATCAGTGGGCGACACCGCAAATGTACCTTGCGGAGCAACGCGGGAGAGCACCGGTTCCGGCCCGGAACCGGCGAAGCCAGACTAGTGGTAGTATCCAGGTAGAAAACCATTTAAAACCGGTACGAAAAGACTGACACTAAACTGTCAATAAAACCAACAGGCTGATGCAGCTATTTTAGCCTGTAAGCTCTAGCTACGCTGGCTATTTGGATCTAACAAAATTTGATGATGCAATCGTTATTATTGCTTTTGTTGACGACACTGTAAATGCCCTGTTACCACGACGTACGGCTTTAGTCCGAAACCCCCAGTCGCCTCCGCCCACTGTGAGCTTAGTTCCTGCTTTTCCGTGGATGTCATCGAAGCCTGCGTGGACTCACGTAAATGTGTGGGGAATCCCCTACCAAATGAGCTTAAACAATACTAAACGTGCTTCAGGTAAATACAACACTAATCATAATGATCCGATGGGATCAATAGGTGATTTACTTGTATGGATATGAGCTGAATAAACGTAAGATACTATAGTCGCCGATGCCTGTACCCTAGCCGTAAGATGATTTTACACTGACTACTGCTAGCTCCCACATTTTTCAAAGTTTACTGATTACTTGACCTTTTCTTTGAATCTTCGGGTATTGCTTAAGCATTAAACTTTACACTCCTCGTAGTTTTCATCGCGAGCCCTGGTTTACGGTTATCGACGGGAACTCTCACCAGGGGACTAATGAGGGGGGGGTGCCGCGCGGACCTAGTACTCCGGCGTAGCCGCTAGCCGCTAACCTCGACGCCCCCTCAGCCACGTAGTCAAGTCAGACACAAATCAAAAACAAGTCATTTAAAAACCTACCAAAGCAAAAATTACCTTACTTATAAAAACCACCCACGCGGTCCTCAACTATGAAACGATACACGTCGTCGACATTTCACTCTATCTGTTACCTCAAATTCACTATATCCAAGACTTCAATAATTTTCCAACATTCAGCCACAATTTTCTCCTAACCTCAATTGCAAATTATTGTCTGTCGGGTGCGGTTTTGGCTATGGTTTGGTTATGGCTCATTATGGTTCGAGGTTTAATATATGGGAAGGAGGTTTCCTGCATACACTCCCGTTCGCGTCACGCCCACAGAGTTTTTGTCGTCTCGACCCTCACACCTCAACACCTTCTCCCCTTGTTGTTGAACCAGCCTCGTGGGTGCTTTTCCTCCGGTTTCCCATTGAACGACACACCCTCCTTGCTCGGGTACCGAACTACAACGACTGGCTCGTTTGATCATACCCAAAAAGCACCTCGCAATCCCTGTTTCCCCCATCCCCTCCAAGCTTAATCCGCTGCGTTTATACCCCCCTCGCTAGCCTTTCTTTTCCATGGGTGCCTGCTGCAGCTGTCTCGGCTCCCGCCTGGGCGACGGCGCCTCCAACCAGCTCTTGCTCCAGGAGAACGAGCGTGACGCCATCCTGGCCCTTCTCAGCTACCTCGAAAACCGCAGCGACGTCGACTTCTTCTCCAACGGGCCGTTGCGGGCGTTGCTGACGTTGGTGTACCTGGAGAACATCGACTTGCAGCGACTGGCGGCGTTGGCGTTCGCCGAAATCACCGAGAAGGACGTTCGCGAAGTCAGCCGCGACGTTCTCGAACCGATTCTCATCCTCTTACAGCTGAGCGACGTCGAAGTGCAACGGGCGGCGTGTGGCGCCTTGGGCAATTTGGCCGTCCACCCCGAGAATAAGATCTTGATCGTGGAAATGGGCGGGTTGGAGCCGTTGATCCGCCAGATGATGTCGCCCAATATCGAAGTGCAATGTAACGCCGTCGGTTGCATCACTAACTTAGCTACTCAGGACGATAATAAGCTGAAGATCGCCAAGCTGGGAGCGTTGATCCCGTTGACGAAACTCGCTAAGCTGAAGGATATTCGCGTCCAACGTAACGCTACTGGCGCGTTGCTTAACATGACCCACTCCCACGAAAACCGTCAGGAATTGGTCAACGCCGGCGCCGTCCCCGTGCTCGTGCTGTTGCTTGCTCACGAAGACACTGACGTCCAGTACTACTGTACCACTGCTCTTTCCAATATCGCCGTCGACGAAGCTAACCGGAAGAAATTGGCCACCACCGAACCCAAACTCGTGGGCCAGTTGGTTAACCTCATGGACTCGCCGTCGCCCCGGGTCCAGTGCCAAGCGACGCTTGCGTTGCGTAACTTAGCCTCGGACCTGGGCTACCAAGTGGAAATCGTCAGGGCCGGCGGGTTGCCCCACTTGGTGCAATTGTTGACCTGCAACCACCAGCCGTTGGTGTTGGCGGCGGTGGCGTGTATCCGCAACATCTCCATCCACCCGTTGAACGAAGCCCTCATCATCGAGGCCGGGTTCCTCAAACCGTTGGTGAGCTTACTCGACTTCAACGAGCTGGAGGAGATCCAGTGCCACGCGGTGCTGACCCTCCGCAACTTGGCGGCGTCGTCGGAAAAGAACCGCACCGCCCTTCTCGCCGCCGGCGCCGTCGACAAGTGTAAGGACTTGGTGTTGCTGGTGCCGTTGCTGGTGCAACTGGAGATCCTGGCGTGTTTCGCCATCTTGGCCCTCGCCGACGACTTGAAGCCCAAGCTCTACGAAGCCCACATAATAGACGTGCTCATCCCCCTCACCTTCTCCGACAACGGCGAAGTCTGTGGCAACCTGGCGGCGGCATTGGCCAATTTATGTTCCCGGGTGCTGAACGAACACAAGCTGTTCATCTTGGACAACTGGCTGCAGCCTAACGACGGCATCCACGGGTTCTTGGTGCGGTTCTTGTCGCTGGGACTGGCGACGTTTGAGCACATCGCCCTCTGGACCATTCTCCAGTTGTTGGAGCTGAACAACACCGAGATCAACTCATTGATCAAGGACAACGAGCAGATCTTGCTGGGGATCAAGGAGTTGCTGGCGATGCAGCACCAGGGCCACCTGGCGCAGCCGGGCGACGAGAGCTACGACGACCCCAAGGTGGAGTTGTACAACTTGACCCAACAGATTTTGCAAATCTTGGGCTAACCAGACACGTAAGAAAATAGTAACGAATTCAAGAGATTATCAAGAAATGTAGCCTGTAAAGAAGTAGCCAAGAAAGAATACATGGAATACTCATAGGACGTGTTTGATATTATATGTCATCAATAAGAATACATACACTAATAAAATGTTTCATTGTGTAAACAAGATAGCGAAAGAATACACTGTTAAACTGATTAGATGTGTATCAATCTCAGCAAACAATGTATCAATAGAATACTAGACTCATAAAATGTGTATAATATCCCGTAAACATAAATGGATGCTGGACGTGAATCATCAAGGGCATGTCTATGAATCGGAAAATGAGTGGACAGTATTGTCGTTGCTCAAATCAAGTCCTCGGTGATGTCGTCATCCAAGTACTCGTCGTCCTTGTTCATTCTGTAGATGGTCATGGCCATCGACGCCACGTTCAACGTGTTCATCGCCCACTTGGGGATAGCCCACTGGTAGAGCTCGATCACGTTAAACGCCAAGTCGAGGAAGTTACCCAACAACTCGATCCAGAGCATCATCTTGTCGAACCTGAGGTCTTTGAGCACCTTCTCGTACTTGCGACGGACGTCGTCGTTCATCGCCGGCATCGTTTGCGTCTTGTGGTTTTCCAAAAGCCTCATTTCCACCTGAACTTTACGTTCTTTGCGGAGAACATTGCGGAGCTGAGTGATGGTCTTGCGGATCAAGAACACGAGGATAAGCACCCAGATCTTGTTGGTGTTCTTCAACAACTTCGTGAGCACCTCGGGGAACATTGGAAGCTTGGCAAAGAGGTGTAGGTTGTCCAATATGTTACCCACGGCTTCGAGGACCGCGACGAATAGCCGTTCGAGTTTGCGGAAACTGAACAGCTGGAGCAAGTCTAAAAACGCCAGATCCTGTTTCGGCGGGCGTCCAATGTGTACCGGGGTGGTAGCAGCTGATTTCGCCTTGTATTTAGTGAGTAACGGCGAGTACGCTGGCGGCGGCTTCGGAAGCAGGCGGAGCTTCTGGTAGGGGGTATAGCTGCCACTAGCGGAGGGCTTGTAGCGAGGCTGGGGCGGAGTCGACGATCGGCGCTGGTAGAACTCGGTGGTATAGCCTTTAGGCGGACTAACGGCGACCACGGGTTTATTATGGGGGCGAGTCGGCGCCGGCTTTGAGGATGACGGGTCGGCGAGGAGCTGCTGGAGCTGGGCGAGCTTTTCCGGGGTGATCGACTTGTTGCCCTTTTCCTGTTGCTGGCGGGCGAATCGAAGCAAGTCGGCCGCCACGTCGTCAGTAGCGTTCATTCGAATAATTTCGCCTCGCCTGTGATTTTCCTCGGATGAAAAGTGCGGGGGACACCACCGCTATTGATTCCGATACGAGGGAGGCTTTCGGATCCAAGTGCCGTCGACGTTTCGAGTTGTTTTCAAATGTGATTGATTTTGAATCACCAAACAATGAAAAATCTTTTCAATTAAAAATTTGAATCGATGGCAATCGATGGGGGGAGGTGGCAATGAAAGATTTACGTGACTACAAGCACTTATCGGTTGCCTCGGCCATGGGGCGCGCAAAAAAAGGTGTGCACATAGGCACAGTCAGGTGAAGGGTACAGCGAAGTCTATCACCAAACATGGGATCTGTCAATTAAACTTTAGCCGCTAAGCTCACCACGGAAATTCCCGAGATCCCTAACGTTCGCCACAAACACGACCAAATCTACTTTGTGATGATATAGATCTACGTATTTCACTTTGGTAGTTATATTGCTATTGTATGCTACGGGGTCGTGGTATTCCCCCTAAAAGTAATTAGTTGATCTATAACAAAATGCTAGCATGAATAATACGTTACTCTGTGGTTTTTCGTTTGATTTTCATCATGATTTTCCTCTTTTTTTTTTTTTTTTTTTTTTTTTTTTTNGTATGGTTTTTGTAAGGTTTGTTAGTTGGTTTTCTCGGCCCGGCTCAGGTCGTTCATCAGCATCGACGGGCGCAACGGCGGCGGGGCGTTCGACGCCCGGTGGCACAGCGATCTTGTGGGAGGAGCAGTGGGCACCACGGAGTACTTTCTCTCTCTAAACTGGACACCCACTTCCTTGACATTCTTCAGGTGTTCAGGTTTCACCAGCACGAACCAGTCGATGTTCTCGTCGTACTCGTACATGCGGTAGTCGGTACCGTAGGGCTTGGACTCTAAGCAGTAGAGGGTGTGGAGGGGCACGTCGAGGGAGCCGATCAGCAGCTTTTCCAAGTTGAGGAAGTACGCCAACAAGATGCGGAGGACGACGCGGTGGGAGATGATGAGCAAGTGGTCGGTCGTCCGTTCGATTTCGGTGATCAACGGACGCAAACGGGTCAATACGTCCAAGTACAGCTCGCCACCCACCCCGGGGTACCGGTAGCTAAGCTTATTCTTCAACCGCGCGTCAAATTCTTTAGGGAACTTCTCCTGGATTTCCCCGTAAGTCATGCCTTCAAACTTGCCTCCGCCAAGCTCATTAAGCATCCGCATCTCCTTGATGCTGAACTTGGTATCGTCAAAGTACTGGGCGGTCTCAATCAGCCGCATCAACATCAGTGTCCACACACAGAAGTTGGGCTCGCTGGGGACATGCTGGGCCAACTTCTCCAACTCCTTCGGGTTGAACACGTAGTTGTAGCGCAATTCGAGCCGCAGCAGGAACCGTTCAAGCTGTTGCTTGCGAAATTCACGCCGTTGGAAGTCCATAAATTGAGCCAAACAACGAGCGAATTTACGGCCTCTTTTGGTAAGGTGAGAGTCACCCCCGATCTTACCTTCAACGTTATCGGTGGCTTCGCCATGGCGAGTGATCCAGATTTGCCGTTCGCAGAGGTTAAAGTTGAGTAAGAAGTATACTGTTTGCGAGGCTAAGAACCCCTGGACGTTATAGGCGACGACTTTCTTCCCGACGTTAATCATCTTGACGTACTGCATCCCCTTTAGCGACTCTTCCTCGTCTTCATCAATAGTTTCATAAGCCTTTTCGTAGTTTTGGAGACGGCCTTCGAAGTCCTTGAGCGCCACTTCGGGGTCCATATCCTTATAGTCGGGACCAGAAAGCTTTAACCGGATATTGGCTTCGAGGATGGCTGGGTCCAGACAAATCAGCTCGAGGAATAACACTTTCAATTCACCATTCAGTCGCTGTTGAATACGGCGGAGCACTCTCAGCCGCCGAAGTTTGGTCAGGTTAGTGGCGTCAAAGATACCCACACTGCCTTGGCCTTCAAGTACGTAGTCAAGCAACTGGTCCAATGTGTCCATCGCCCATTTCTCTCTGATTTGGATCAGCGCCTTATTCTTAGGGTCGAAAAACGCCGCATTATGAGCCGTGCCCTGCTGTTTAATGCCATTGTTGTTGTTACCATTGTGGTCATGGTTATCCGTAGGCGGCGATTGAGCTAACGTTTCTGGCAGCTGGTGCTGCAGCCCCGGCATGCTATTGTTATCCGGGAGTGGCGTCAGTTCCGGTCCGGCGGCAGGCTTATTTTTACGCCGAGTGTTACCGACGTTGAATACCCGACAATCGTGCTGCAACCAGTTCAAATAACGAGTAAGCTTATTGGTGATGTACAGCTTGCCCCGAGCGGGGAGCCCCACCATGACAATGACGAGTTTCAGCCCGACGTCGACCTTGGCGATGTGGCCGTCCGGCAGCGTTTTCAGCGACGTCTGGCCGGGGATATTGAGGGTGTACAGCTGTTTCTTCTTGCGCTGGCGCTCGGTGGAGTCGAGGAGAAGGTTAGTGATGCGTTCGATCGTCTGGGGTTCAAGGTTTGATGGCGGGAGCGTGTGTTTCGGCCCTTCGACGGGGACAGGGACAATCCGTTTAGGGACGGGTTCGCCTGCCTGTGGCAATGCCTGGGCCTCCATCAGCGGTTCCAACGTGATTTTGGGAGGGGTCTGCGACTCAGGGGGTCGGGTCAAGGGGCTGACGGACCCTGAGCCTCCCATATCACTAAGGTTCAAATGGGAGATGTTTTTCGTCCGTCTAAACTCTGCATTGGCATCTTCCTCCTCATACACTTCCTCAATATCACTGGCATGACGGGTGATGGGCGACGCAAGCGACAGCACGATGGGAGTATCGGTTAACGGCCGCTTATTGAACTCGGGGAGCAGCACCTGGGAGCCGTGGCCACTCAGTAGCGTCGAGTCCAACAGCTTCAGCACCCCTAAATCGGCGCCCTGGTACAGCATGAGCTTGCGTAACGGCTGGCGTTTATCGGCATTCATCATCATGGTTGGAGTAGGCAGCGGCGAGTTAGATACCAGCAGGGTTCGTAGCCTGGGGGTGGGGTAGCTGATGGTGTGGTGGAGCTGGAGCTGGGGTTGGCCATTATTATTATGATGGGGGTGGTGCTGGTTTGGCAGCAGGGGCTCGTCGTCGTCGTCCAGCTCGCACGGCAGCAGTTCTCGGGATGAGATCAGGGCGCTCAGACACGCCAGGTGGAGGTTGGAAAACAGCACTTTCTTGCGGGCTGCCATCGCTCCGGGCGGTGCATTAACCGGTGGCTCGGTCCGCGTCATGTGGAGCAGGGTGGGGAGGCGATGGGGCACCGGTTCCGGCGTCAGCTGCTTCAGCAGGCCCTGGCGGCGGAACTGGCCGTCGGGCAGCTTGGTATTGAAGTAGCGGTAGCGCTCGTGGAGGGCCTCGCTCAAGTTCAGTCGTAGCGGTCGTTGCTGAGGTGGTTGGGCCGGGTGGGAGGCTTCGTCAGCGGTGGTGGCGTTGGCAGCGTTGAGCAACGCCTCGACGTTTCCTTCGGCCTTGGTCATGGAAAACGTCGGTTTGAAACGTCAAGGGAGTGAAGATTCCGCTGGTGGGTAGGGGGGGTATAAGAGCACAGGGATGGGGAGTATGAGTATCGGTACGGAGAAATCCACCCATCATAAATATCTCGACTGTGTGCAGGCGCGGGTGCCCCTCCTGGTCAACCACTGCGACCCACGCGGCGATGGGACGTAACATTAGTGGTTAGGGAGAAAAAGGGTAGTGCCCCCTCCAAGAAAAAAGGAAGAAAACAGAGTAGAATAAGGATTTGAACGTTTCAGTATTTTTGTTAGAGGGGTATTGGAGTTTAGATTAATTGTTTAGGGATTGTTTTTGGTTGGGGGGTTACTGTCGGACGTGGTTTTTTGGGTCAGGCCCCATCAGCCAATTTTGTTCACGATTGCTAGTAAAAAAAATGAGCGAGGCACACACAATCGCGATTAGACGAGTGCGGCCATGACCCACAAAACACGCTGATTAATCGGTGATTCACCCGTGATTAAGCAGGAGATTAGTAAGGGAATGGTAAAGATAGTCATGCAAAAGGTCCACAAGAGGTGCTAGAACCAAACAGTCGTTTTTGCTGTAAATCAGCCTGGAAACTATTTGTTAGGCAAGCGGTGTCATCTCAGGCGTGGGTGCGGGGGTGCCGCGTGGATGCGCTAAAGCAATCGTGCAGAAAGAGGGGAAGCGGTGAGTGGTCATCGACAGGGCCGAGCGGGTGGGACGACGCTTTGTTAACGGAACGTGGGCGATAAAGGCGACGAGAAAAGTATTTGACGATTTGTTGAGCTCGGCTTAGCGGGCGATGGGGGGGAAACGTGGGCTAACTATATATCTCTTCAGTGATCTCTGATAAGGCGCCGCCGCATCATAAAATGGGGCTAGTGAGGGCCGCCAGTCACGTGACGTAGACTTTTGATTTGTTGTTTTTCCGTACACTCGCTATGAGGGTGCAAGTTCGAGTCGGTGATTTTCGCGATTTTTGATGACGCAGGTTCGATTCCGCGAGATCCCACACTCGTCTCGGGGACTTCGCGGAGGGGGGGCCGCAGCAGCAAAGCCGCGTACCATTACGGCTTCGACATTGTTATCTCCGACCCCTCCCCGAGCCCATGAGTCATCATCCGTGGTCTAGCCCGGGTTCTACAACCTGTCCTTATTATATTTTAACTCGTAAACTAAGAGAATCCCCCGTAAAACCACCATTCATCTAAATTTCACAACTACTAAGGTAACAACCATTAGCAGCGAGGTAGCCTGAATTTTTCACTGCGCGTGTCAAAAATGTCTCGGGGTTCCCATAACAAATGTGTGGCTGTCGCAGCAGCAGCACGCACGCGCTTAATCTCCCAGCTGCGCCGCCCCCGCTCCCGTTTTTGTTTTGCGATGGATATTGTATAAAAAGCCCTGGTGACCACGTCGACAACTTTTCCAATTATGAATGCTACTACCGGCTGCGCTATCGGGAGGTCGTTGACCGCCCCGCTCTACCTGCCGCCGCAGCTGACGCTCTCCCCCTGCTTTATCGCCGCCTGGGGAATCGTCGTCACCGCCGCCTTGGGCTTAGTGGTGGCGCTCCAGCTCGTGTCCCAGCTCTGGTTTAACCACTACGGCCCTTATAAAATCAAGTACGGCTTTGGCCACCCGTTGGCTAAGCGTCTGGTGGGGTTCCGCCAGTTGGTCAAGCTCAATAGTGTGGCGCTCAACGTGATCCTCTGGGCGATCCTAGCGGCGAATCCCCACGGCGAAGGCGCTCAACGGTACCTTCCCTGGGTGGTGATTGTCGTCCAGTTGGTGGCAGTGGTGCCGCTACACGTGATCGAGCCCACTCGCGTGGTGGTGGCCAGTGCCCTGCTATTAGTGTTCTGGTTATGGCACTCCGCCTACGCCATTGGTCTTGTGCTTCAGGATAACTTGACCAAACACCCGGTGATTGATTTCCGTGGTACCGACGCTCAGTGGAAGCTGGTGGTGCTCGCTGCCGAGATTGTCCTCGCCATCAACTCGGTGTTGGTGTTTTCGCTCGAAACGTTTGTCTACCTGCCGTCACGCGAATTGAGAGACTACTACGAAGTCAACGGGTGGGATATCGACGCCGTCCACAACTTATTCAGTCGGTTGGTATTTCAATTCATCCAGCCGACGATCTCCGACGTCTACCGCACCAACCTGATTGACCTCAAACAAGTGCAACCAGTGGAGATCTCGTACAAAAACGAAGTGCTTCAGGACGACTTCGACCGGGTGTGGACCCCGAAACGGAAGTTGGGCGCGGTGCTCTTTCAGCTTTACTGGTGGCGAGGACTCGTCGCCATCACCTTCGATTTCACCGATATGGCGCTTGGCATTGCCCAATCGTTCCTTTTACAACGCCTCATCCTTTTCTTCACCGTTTACAACCCCAAGACGTCCCCTAAGATCGAAGGGTTTGCCATTTGCACGGCGATTTTCGCCTGTTCGGTGGCCAAATTCATTTCGTTCAACCAGTTCTTCGTCCAGGTGTTTGACATCTGGTACCTGATCCAGTCGCAGTTGCTGCTGACAGTGTACCGCAAACTGTTGCGCCTCTCCAAGGCGTCCCGTAAGGAGAAGACTAACGGGGACATCGTTAATATCCTCTCGCTGGACGTGCAGAGCGTCGCCGGTTCTCTGCTGAACCTCATCGATATCATCATTACCCCCGTCCGGTTGATCGCAGCGCTTGCTGCTCTCATTCACGTGCTCGGAGTGCTGACGTTTGCCGGGCTTGTCATCGGGTGTATCTTGCTCCCGTTGAACTCGATGGTGACGATGAGAATTCAGAAATACTATAAGCAACTGCAAAAGGTTAAGGATCTGAGAGTGCGCCTCACCCTGGAGATCTTACTGACGATCAAACTGATCAAGTTGTACGCTTGGGAGAAACCGCTTTTGCAACGTCTTTTTGGTATCAGAAACGACCAGGAGCTCACTTTACTCCGCAAGATGGGCTTGCTCAACGCGGTGCTGATGTTTTGCTGGCTGTGCGTGCCCTTTGCCATCCAGTGCTTTTCGCTTGTTGTGTTCACTTACATTGGCAAAGTACCATTGACACCCGCGGTGGTTTTCCCCGCCCTTCTGTTATTTGGGGTGTTAAGTGACCCCTTCGTCATGGTCCCTTATTTGTTCACTGGTGTCATTCAAAACAACGTCCTGTTGGGCCGTTTGCGGGAGCTTTTGACCATGGAAGAAGCCAATACCACCCAAGTGGAACGGCCGACCGCTATCGTCAAGGAAGGAGAAGCCGCGGTGGTGGTGGACCAAGCGACTTTCGCTTACGGTGATGGCACTGACGACTTAGCGTTGAAAGATATCACGTTCTCTGCCAACAAGGGCCAGCTTACGTGTATTGTCGGTGCGGTTGGTGCGGGTAAATCGCTGTTAATCAAAGCGGTATTGGGTCAATTGCCGGTGACCAAAGCCCGCAAAGTGTCGGTGACTGGCTCCGTCGCCTACGCCGCTCAGGACCCCTGGATCATGAATGCCACCATCAAGGAGAATATCCTCTTCGGCCGTCGTTTCCACCGCAACTACTACAATATGGTGTGTTCTGCCTGTCAATTGGAAGCTGATTTTGGCGTATTACCTGATGGCGATGCCACCGTCGTGGGTGAGAAAGGTATTTCACTTTCTGGTGGGCAGAAAGCTCGTATCTCGTTGGCGAGAGCCGTCTACTCGAAAGCTGACGTCATCTTACTCGACGATGTGTTGCTGGCGGTGGATGTCCACGTCGGCAAAGCTATCTCCGACCAGGTATTGCTGAGAGATGGCCTCTTGCTGTCGAAAACGGTGATTATGGCCACCAACGCGATTTCTGTTCTTCCCCTTGCCGCCCAAATCTATTTGGTGGAGGGAGGAGAAATCAAACAGAGCGGTAGTTACGATGACGTGAAGGATAACGGTAAGCTTGCTGATTTGATTAAAGAGTTTGGTAAACAGGAAAAACAAAAAGCAGCAGAGGCTGAGGTGCAAAGCAAAGTGCAAGAAGTGAAAGACATCCGTGAGCTTGAAAGAGCTGCTGACGATGGCGCTGAAACCGGACTGGTGGTGCTGTATGTCGGCGACGATCTCGACCGCCAGCGCGATCCCGATCTTCGGAGACAACTGACGCGGGCGTCGTACGTTCTGTACTCGCACGACTACGAAAACGATGAGGATACGAATACTCAGTCTGCTGAAGCGAGACGGACAGGGAATAACGAGGAAGTCGGTGCTAAGGGTCTGGTGAAGTTGCTGGTGTATTTGGAATACTTCAAGGCATGCAACTTTGGCTACCTCATTTTCTACGTGTTACTGTACGGTACTCACGTGGTACTCAACTTGTTATCGCAGTACACTTTGAAGTACTGGTCGGAACGCAACTTGGACGCGGGCCACAACGTTAACGCCGTCTTCTACGTGCTGTTGTATGCCATTTTCGGGATTGTTGCCGCGGTGTGTACGCTTTTAGGGGCATTTATCATTTGGACCTACTGTACCGTCAAGGGACTGAGATATTTCCACGATAAGATGGCGTGGTCGGTGATTAAACTGCCGATGACGTTCTTCGATACCACCCCCATCGGTCGCGTTTTGAACAGATTCTCGGAAGATATTGGCGTCATCGACTCCCAAATCATGTGGACTTGTATGGGTATTGTTGACTTCTCTCTTGAGGCATTGGGTTTACTCGCGGTGGTGGTGTATAACTTGCCCGCCATGCTCATTGTTATCTTGGCGCTTTTCTACGTGTACAACTTGGTTCGTCGCTACTACATTCCCTCGCTGAGAGAGCTCAAGCGGCTTCTGCTGGCTCGTAAATCGCCTATTTACGCCCAGCTTCAGGAACTGCTTAACGGCATTGATACCATTACTGCATACTCGCAAATCAACCGGTTCTTGTACAAGAACCGTGAGAATTTGGATACATTGGTTAAAGTGCAATTCTCCAATGCCTACTGCAACCGGTGGTTGCTGATGCGACTCCAGATGATCTCGGCGGTGATTATTTATTGCACCACAGTATTTATTTGGTTGTCTTTGGGCACTGCGCACGAGTTTTCTCCCGGTCTCGTTGGGTTTGTCATGCTTAATGCCATGGGCGTCACCTGGACTTTAAACAGTATCATCAGATTCTGGGCTAATTTGGAGAACCAGGCTGTGGCGGTAGAAAGAGTAGTGGAATATTGCAACTTACCTACCGAAGGACAAAACCCTGACGACATTGTGGTGGCTACTCCTCCCGCCTCTTGGCCCGCAGGAGGTGCCATCGAATTTGTGGACTATTCGTGTAAATACCGCGACAATTTGGACCCGGTACTCAAGGATATCAATGTTAAGATTCCGGCTGAGGCTAAAGTGGGGATTGTTGGTCGTACTGGTGCCGGGAAACTGACGCTTACCATGGCACTTTTCCGCATGATTGAACCCGCTACGGGGCACATCACCATTGACGGCATCAACACTAGTGACTTGTCGTTATACGAATTACGCCACCATTTGAACATCATCCCCCAGGATGCCAACACTGTGGAAGGGACCGTTCGCGAGAATTTGGACCCATTGGGTATCCATGATGACGAAGAGTTGTGGGCGGTGCTTGCTATGGCCCATTTGAAAGACCACGTGGAACAAATGAAGACGAAAACGGGTCAAACCGAAGAATCTAAAGATACCCCCGGCACTGACTCTGAGAATAGCAGCGATGACGATGCGCCTACCACCGAATGGAACTACGGGTTGGATGCTCAGATCTTTGAAGGTGGGTCTAACTTATCCGGCGGTCAGAGACAGCTCATGTCGTTGGCCCGCGCTCTTTTGAACAAGCTGAAGGTTCTCGTGTTGGATGAGGCGACGGCGGCTGTGGACATGGCCACCGATAAGATCATCCAGCAGACGATCAGAGAACAGTTCAAGGACCGCACCATCTTGACGATTGCCCACCGGTTGGACACGGTGATGGACTGCGACTACATTATGGTATTAAGCAAAGGTGAGTTGGTTGAGTTTGCCCTGCCCAAGGAGTTGTTGGCTAACGACCAGTCGGTGTTCTACTCGATGGTCAAGGAGCACGATGGGTAGAAATGATATGTAAAAGAAAGGTAGAATAGAAAAGAAAATAGAGTATATTTTGGAAATAGAAAGGTTCACGCTTGGTAGATCCAGACAGTTTTTGAACGAAATTACGACGATCATTCGTGTTAACAACCTCCGCAAATAAATGTTCAATATCAGCATACTTCATGAGGGTATGCTAAATCCAATTAACGTGGGTTGTGCGTTCTACTATGGGGCGAGTTAGTACAAACTCGTCGTATTTGAAATCTTCTCGTAAATTAACTCGTTAATGACCACTAGACAATGACCAGTTTGCGACTTCATCGCAATATTGAAAGCTAGCTATGGAGGCGCGCTGATCCGGGGAACAGATTAGGTCGCGACGAAGATCCATCTCGGTTAATCCGGGTCAGGTCAAACGTTGGCTCAACGGAAAAATCGATGGGCCGGATTTGGCCACGTCGCTTAGCTTGATCAATGTCGGTACCTCCTGAGGTGAATAATGGTCTGGGTGGCGGGGTCCCCAAGCCAGTGGGGACCGCCGAATACGTCTGTCTGAGCTGTGATAACTTCTCAGGACTGCGTCTGGATCTTCTGGGCTGAGACTTGATAGGCGTAGAAAGAAACGATGAATGGGACACATCAATATCAATCACAGAAGAGCGATTTCTTGAAAGGGGTCGACCCGATAATGGCAGGATTTGCGGAGGAGGAAGTTGGGTACGAACGTTGCGCGAGGCTGGAAGGATGCGGCGACTATCAGGTTCCGAACGTTGTAAGTCTTCTTGGACGCGAGCTTGATCGCGCCGTTGAGCTTCCAAGCGTACCTGTTTGACCTCATCAGTGAGTCCCTTCCATTTTTGGAGAACGGCCCGGCCTCGGATTTGAGGAAGTACCACCCGAGCTTTAGCTTCGCTCTCTTTCAATTGGCGGGACTTTAGCTTAAATTGCCGAACGACCTTTTGAAATTGACGAGCATTATGGAACTGGTCGGCCATTGCCACCAAATTTTGGCTGACGTCGGCGTATTCATCGTACCATGTTATCAAGTATCGCTTAGCATCAAATTGCTCCGCCCAATGTTGAAGTTTACGCGTGCGTGAAAGGTATGCCTTCCAATACTTCAAGAACCCTCGAGCGATGGTTTTGTCACACAACTGGCGGACTTGAGTTTCCCGCGAAGACAAATCTGCCGCGGCTCGCTTCAATTTCCCCACGCATCTTTTAGCGATCATCTGGTTAGCGAGGTGGTCGAGGCGCTCTTGGCGTCGACTTTCATGGGCGTTACGCCACCTGTTGAACATGTGTGTCATCAAAAGTGGGTCCACATTCTGTTGACGAAAGGCATCAGCTGCTCGTCGCAACTCAACCCGATGTTTGTAGCTTAATACAAAACGAAACCAGGCATGTGAAATCTCCGTTAAATCAGCTTGACTGGTCATGGCACGCACCTTGTAGTCTTCCTTGTGCCAGCTTGACAAAGCACGCATAATGAGCCGGAAATTATGCCGCCCTTGGAGTTCGTGCTCAGCGGCAGCCAATCTCAGGGTGCGCTCGCGGAGCAGGGTGACAATTTGTCTGGCATCACCTTGATTCGCAATGAACCGCCGCTCGCGGGCGCCTAGCCGCCAATTTTTAAACACGCCCCTTTTCACCACCATCGACACCGAGGAGTGTTCAGGATCTAATTTACCCGTTTTGGTAAATTCGATTTGATTGGAGAATCGACGACGACTCACTGGGTCCCGTGCCGAGTGCAATCGAGCAGAGAGACGCCATATAGTGAGTTTGGGTTTCAAGTACAATGCATCTGCGATAACCTTCTGCTCCTGATGGTGGTCGTAATGGTCACCCCACTTTTCGAAGAACTTCCCCTCAAATTGTTGATCAGCAACCGCATTCAGAAGTCCAAGGAGATAGTGTTGATAGCGCCAGCTATGGAAGAACTTCTTGAGGAATTGACCATCAGCCATAGCAGTCGTTTGCTGCCGACGCTTCCAAGGCGGACGCACTAATTTTAGCGCAAGTTTGTTGGAGTTATTCAAGGCCATTTGCTCCATCAGCTGAATGAGATCGTACTCCTGACCCATAGTTTTGATAAACTTGGTGGCAAGAGAACGGTTCTTGTTGGCCTGGTGTTCGTTGAAAGCAGCCATCGTAGCGTCACGCCGGTGCTTCCAACACAAAACGCCTTTACATTTTTGAGTCAAGCCGCGTTCGAATTCGAAAAAAGCGAGTCTAATAAGTAACGTCGGCTGTTCAAGGTAAAAGGCTACCACAAGGTCGTCGACGATTCTTTCCTTATCACCGTTTTGGTCAAACACCTCGTAGGCCCGTGAGATCAAATCGAAGTCATCGGCACAAACTTCTTCCAGGCTATCAGGGTCGTAGACAATAGAGCTATAATGCTGAAACAACTCAAGAAGTCTTGGGCTATATCGAGTACCCTGGCCTCGAATAAAACTTTGTATTCCGCCGAGCAAAAGCAGGACCTGCGGCGGGGTAAGCTCCCTCACCGTGATGGTGGGGATAACGCCATTAGCACCCTGCGCTAGCTCCATGGGAAATTCAATAATATCGCAGAAATCAGCCAATGTCTCGATAAGATACGCTGCTTCCAAGTAATCCATGATGTCAGCGACCATATGCGCCACCTCTCTCGTATTGCGACGAACAACCCGGTTGCGGATTATCCGGTCAATGCCGGTGTCCAGCACCTCAATTTCAGCATTGGACTGAATGGCCCCGGTCAAAAGATCGATCAACCGCCGCGCCTCGTTGGTCAATGACGCCTGGAAGCGAGTGGCGACGTTTGCCACCACCGCCACTGCCCGCAAGGTGTTAGTGTCCACCGGGGCGACGACGCCGACCCGCCGAGCAATATCGCTGGAGACATCTTCCCGTTGCGTGGCCGCAGGGGTGCCAAAGTAGCTGGCATCGTCGCGGGCGGCGTAGTAGATGGTATGGAGAACGCCATCAATGGTGAGCTCGAACCAATTGTACACAAGCACATCTGGTTCAAAGTTAAGGAACTTGCATAAGGGTGGGTACCGAGGTGGAATGGCTCCCACGGTGACGACGGTGTCGACCACCGTGTCAAGGGGATCAGCCATGCCTGGGGGTGTTAGTGAGTGAGGATCGAGTGCGCGGGGAAAAAATAGGGATAAGGCGACCAAGAATGGGCAACTCCGAACACTGTCGCTATTACACAGGACTGGATTCTCGTATGAAACCAATCACTACAATTAGAACTATAATACATATATTAGACACTTTTTTGGAAATTGTTATGGGTTTTCGTCGTAAGGACTCATCCATTAGCTTTATTATTGGCAGTTACTGATAAACATGATGATTTCGCTCGTATCCCATCGTACTTGTCACGTCACCAGTTACGACAAACCAGTACTGCCCCACCAACATTTCCTTCTCTTAGCGTTCAACTTAGTCGATTGTCATTAACTGATTTGCTATGAAGGGAGCAAAATCTGGCAGGTAGGCGGATATAAGCCATTTTTAGGTATTTGAGTCGAGACATTTCTATAACAGAATCAATTTCAAAGCCAACTTCGTTCAAAAAGCATTTACTCTGCTCCATACCTTATAGATCAAGGGTATCTGATCCATCCATCATGTCACACAGAGCGAGGTCCAATTGCGGGAGTATCTCAAGACTATTGCCAAATCTGCGGGGTACGTGATATTTAATGAACCTTTTGTGATCCAAGGAGTAATTGTCAGTATCATGGTCTTTGCATCAACCTATATGACTTGACTTTCGCTTCATTATAGCGCAAACGATGGACTAGTTTGTTTCCAACAGATCCACCATATGGTTCACAGGATGTTTCATATGAATGACAATCAGTACCAGCCCAACAAAGCCGCCTCATGAAGTGCTAGTGTCAACTTTGGTTCCGCATTCCTAAGCGCTGGTAAATCGTGGAATTGCATATCAATGGAGGCGAAATTTCGCTGTGGTTATGATAATGGCGGAAAACTCAGTCTGGATACCGTAAGGTACTCATTGGTGGTGCCATGCTCGAAGTGGTAGTTGACGTTGGCTCGCGACGTAGACGCGTCTGGGTCCACACGCGTTTGTGTAAATACGCATCCGACATATAGTGCACTTACTGAAAGAGACTTTATGGGTGCGACAATAATTTAGCCGTCGATATAATTTAGACACTGAAGTGTTCGTGTTAAGACAGCAGCGGGACAGCTACGAAAGCGCAAACATAACTTATTCTTCACCAATATAAAGGAGTACAATTTTGGGTCTTGTGGAAGCTTCGTCAGTGGTTGTAGATGATGCGATGACGTCATTGATCGCTCTAGACTGTCTACGCTTAATCTTATGCAAGCCCCCCACACTTTGACACATCAGTACATCAGGGGAGCTCTGGGCACCAACAGCAATGCGAGCACGCCTTAACGTCACACCTTCAGTCCCAGGTCGCTACTGAGCACAAATCCCTGGTTATTTGGACCAATTAATTGATCACAGCCTCCGTCCTCGTCGCATTGACGACGCCGCCTCCCCACTATACGAAAATTACGTGAGCCGCACTTCCCCAAATAGGCTACAGCCAGCCATCTTCCGTACTCCTCGCAGTGAGCATCGATCAAGGCTCGCATTGTGGTCGATCCAGAATACGATACAACAACGATAAAAAACTCTGGGGAAAAGATGTGTCGTTAAACCAGGTCCGCTGATTATTTTGATACCCATAATAACTCAAAGTTCCGTTGACCCTCCTGTCACATGGTCACGTATTTATGGAAATTTCGTATAGCTCTGGAGCGTATTGCAAAAAACGGTGACCACCGTCGTATAGCCGTCGACGACTATAAAAACTGCCATTGTCGCTCTCTACTCTTTATTCTTTTCCACCACTTGGCTTTCTACCAGCATTGTTTGAAGGGGGGTACTGGACGCAGCACTCCCCCGGATGGCTCTGTTGGTAGCCCCAGTCAGCTGTATGTCTTTCCCGAGACAAAAGATCCCCCACGAGCGGTAGGGAGATTCACAAAGCAGAGCTTGAGGCGCGGTGCTTCTCGTCATCCCGCAGTCTCCTGAGGCCACCCTTGGACCGGTTATTGCCATGTGGTTCTGGCCAACGACGGACACACTCAGGCGAAGTGGAGGTGGTCTGCTACGTCAGCTCACGCTATAAGCAGGGACATGGACTACCGAGGGTCAAAGACACCTGCTGGGCGATTCCTATTACTTATTTGTTTACTGACGCTACAAAATGATGGTTCTTTTTCCAATCCCAGAGCCGCCATTGACTCCCTGGTTTTGGTGTGACAACGCCTTAACTGGTAATGAGGGTAATCGAGGATTACTGCCTGATGAACCGGCTATTTCGTCGGTCTCAGGGGTATGAGATGACCCGCTTGAGCCCGTGACGGGTTATGGGTTTCCGCGTCGCTACGCTGTGGTTCTGCTTCGCTTTGGGGGTGACGGCTCCCGAGTATTGTGGCTGTGGTTTGGTGACGAGATACTCTCACAGGAATCAGTGGCTGATATAACACCTTCATCTATAAGCGTGATATCCTGGGACGACGCTCACGAGGTTCCCGTCATTATCCTCGTTTGTTGGTATAAATTTAGATGCTATGATTGTGTTGTCACTTGTTCTATTGTAGTTCAGTGGTCAATACGTGAACGCCGAGCGCTAAGATAGTTGCGAGCAAATGCTCTTTGGTGAGGCTATTTCCCCCACTATCAGGGTTGGCCACCCTGGGGATCTAGTAGTAGCCAGGACGTTGCTGGAGAGGGTGGTGCCGGCTTCCACTTGCAAATGTAGTGTTTGTGAGTGGAGGTGGGTGGGACGCTGGTCCGGGGCACCAGTATATTAGTTTGGAAAACTCTTTGGATTTTGACAATCGTCATGTAGGCTCTTTGTCACTTGGTGTATACGCCATGGTTGGATTATACATCAAGTGATAAACAGCTTCATTTTTTCAATAAACTTGCATTAGTATCTATCTATCTTCAGACAAATAGTATTGCAATATTATGAATTCATAAGTAACCGAAAATGAAGTCATACTCACGTTCTATACGTGGTGGTGGGTAATTTTTTTTTCCCATAAACTTGCATTAGTATCTTTTTTTTTTTTCCATAAACTTGCATTAGTATCTATCTATCGTCTGTAAAAATAACTTATAACCTTCACCTAAGGTCGACTAAGAAAAACACATCAAGAATTTGATACCCGCGACTCGCGGAAGTTAACGGGGTCAGATAGCTCTCCCGGATCGTAGCACTACCATCCATTCCAATGTCTCTCCGCTATCTCAGGGCCGACTTTGTGGTCCAACGCTAATTTTAAATGGTTGATCATCAACCTGACCGATCATCTGGCAAGAATTCTCGAGTGCCAGAAATGGATTTTCACAAGTACTTCTACCATGACGTGTACAAGCTTATGCTTTTCATTTCACAAGCGCGCAAATGGTTTAGTGGTAAAATCCAACGTTGCCATCGTTGGGCCCCCGGTTCGATTCCGGGTTTGCGCAAACTTTTTGCTACATGGATTTTCGTTAAGTTATTTTTAAGGATTGTTTACTTAAATGCTTCAGTTAATGTCTCCTGGCGCTTGGCCAATGCCTTACCGATGGTCACAGCGAAAGACGCGCCCCGCAATTCTTCAGCGCCAAGCCACTGCTCGATCAACGTAGCCATCAGCACTCCGTCTAGCTCCTTCGTGGAATTGATAAGCTTGCGAATGAACCGGATGAATGGCTCTATTTGGAATTCATCGTGGTCCTGGAGAGCACTGAAATTTCGTTTGATCGCGTCAAGGACAAATTTAAGCTTCTGGTCAAACACTCGAGCTGTCGTGGTATAGTGGAAAAGCAATTGCTTGTAGAACTTGGTGAAGCTGCGGACATCAAGTTTGGGCCGAGTTTTGACGTTCACCGAAAGGTCGTATGGATTGATCTCTGCCCCCAAGTAGTCTATATGGGTTACGGAGAAGCTCAGCGTCGTGTGGAGCTGAGTCTTTTCGCGGTTGATCTTGATGCCATAGTGTGCTAATCGGTCGGACGTCAAGTGTTGGTAGATCAGCTGAATCATCATTTTGTCGGTTGACACAAACAACAAGTCGTCAACGACGCGAAGAACGAGGAGCTCGGGTCGATGAAGCCACGACTCGAACTCGGTGACTACCATATCGCTGAGGACCAACTCGCAGAAAGTTGCCAGTAAGGGGAACCCTTGGAACACCCCCTTTTTCCGTTTCCACGCGCGATAGTTGACCTCGTTGTTATCGCCTCTTGGAAGAACGCCATCGTACATGAACCCGTCGCGCACCGTCAGTTCGCAGAACTGGAGCACTTTGCCTTTGGTGAGGGCAATATTTTTGCGTTGCGTTAGAATTATGTCGAGGTCAAGCGGATCCGGTTCTACTTGATAGAGCGGGGTGTTGTCTGCCTCTAAAAGCTGGGACGCTGCCATCTTAGCGTCACCGCGTAACCGTTTCTTTGTCACGGGGGCTGGCTTGACTTGTCGTTCAGTGTCACAATAAAAAACGTGGTTATCGTCGACGTCGTCAAACAATTTGGCGAGGGTATCGATGATGACGTCATGGTCCAAACGGTCGTAGCATTTGGCGAAATCCACCTTAAGGAAACAAATACCGTCACGAGGAATGGTCACATTCAGTTTCCACTGGGCAAGCAAACTCGCCAAGTCGCTGGTGCCTTTACATGGAGCCACCACCGGATGGTAACGCTGGGCAATCCTCTGTTGGAGAAGTTTAGAAATTGGAGTGATCCACGTCGACCTAAACATGAAGTACGACGACTCAGCCTCGCGAAGATTGGTCCATGGATGGTGCAGAGGAATGCAGATAAGCCGAAAGTCCAGCGTTTTCGGTTGGAGCCTCATTCTGCCAAAATTGTACTTTTGTGCTGACGTTTTGAAGTCGTTTTTATCTGGATTGTATGGTATCAAAAATTCGCGGGCGTAGGTGTCGATGAACCCGTCCAGAAGCCGGTTCCACGCCGCGTGCTCGACGAAAATAATGGTGGACTTCAGCTCCGCTGCTCGTACCAGGCTTCGAAGGATATAGGCGAGAACATCGCGGAATACCCAAAGCCAGAATTCAGCAATGCCATAATCCTTTTCAGGTTTTTTGAAGACAGGAAGAAAGCACTGGGTGACATCTTCCTCGGCGATTGTCATAGTGGGGGTGGTGAGGAATCTATGGATCAAATTGCAGATTTTGCGACGATGACGGGGCAGGGACCCCCACGCTAGCGGCGGAACCACTAAGCGGAGGGCTTCAAGGACAAATCCAATAACCTTTTTAGGCAGCAACTGGTAGTCGAGTGCACTGCTGGCTTTATTGGCGTTGGTGGTGGTCAGTTGCGACACCGAGAAACTGTCATCGTCGTCTAGACTGCCTAATTGAGCAGAGGCAATGACGTCACAAGTTTGAATAGGGGGAAGCGGTTTTCTTGGAATGAAACGTCGAAAGACGGCATTTAAGCATTTTCCAGTAAGTTTCTTCTCCAATCGACGGTGGCATAATCTGATGATGACATTATCCCTTTCTGAGGGCGTAAGCTGTGGGATACGGGCACTGCGATGTTTATCGCGTGTGCGTTTTGCCGGAAGCCGTTTTTGCTTAGGGGTATACAACGTCGGGCCAAATACTTGGAGCACGGTGCCGTTAGCCAAAGGAACAAACCCTTTATGGTTGATAATCATGGTAATAAAATGGTCGCGTCCCATTATCTGGTATAAGTGGCGCCAGTGAGAATTAGCGAGATGGGTAAGGGCGCGATTGAATTGGGGGCGCAGGTCTCTGCCAGCAGCGGCCTGGGCCAATTCGTTTTTCAATTCTCCCACGTTACCATCGTCTTTAAGAAGCGGGGGTAGTTGGCGAAGGGCGTCGTGGTAGTCGTCAATCGGGGTAATTGGATTATAAGCAAGGCGCCGTTCTTTGGCATCAGGATTAATTTCAAGGTACACATCCCTTAGAAACTGAGAAAATTGAACCGAATAAGCGTCACCCGCAACTTCGGGAAGCCGCTGGTGGAGATAGGCAACTAGGGATACTCTCATGGCGTACGCGCCTTGGGATTACGCGTGGGGGTTGGTGATGTTGGTGCGGCGTTCGGTGCGCAGCGCTCATCGCGCTCCAGCCACCGCTGAGTTAAGAGACTATCCACTATGGGCAAGCTCAAGGTGCGCCCCGAGATTGACGTCGAGCGCGGGGTGGTGTATGGCGTTCTCCAGCAGATCCGGTGGGCCGAGGCTACCGGCGCCACGCGGGCGCCGCCGATGGTCGGGGTGTGGTACATCGCCATTGACCCCCGCATGAGCGGCGTGGTGACGCTGATGGTGAAATTGGTGGAGGAGCCAGAGGAGCTAGGCCATTTGAAGCGGTTCAGCAAGGGCGACGACGGCAAGCTCCGGGCGGTGGTGGGGTCGCACCTGGTGTGGCCGAGTGCAAGTGAGGCTCTCGCATTTATCCAGGCGCAGGCGCCACTGTTGACGGTGGCGGAAGTATACAGTGTCGACGTGCCCCGTGTGGCTCCTTACACCAAGGAGATTGCCCTTGAGTGGCTGGCAAAGTATTGGCCGATGCTGTGGAAAGGGAACCCTAACCACCAGTTCCTCAACCTGGTGGTGAGGGATATTGATGAGGAGCGCCGGCGCCTCGACGCGGTATGTGCCCTCAGCTCTGGTGCCGGCGGTGTTGCTGCCACGATAATGGTGGACCCCAAAATGGGGGCCGAAGTGGCGCTGGCGGTCACGGATGAAACCAAAGGTCCTACCGGCCACCTGGTGATGCGGGCAATCGCCGCTGTAGCTGACGGGGAGCTTGCGCGGCGGCAACAACAACTGTGTCAGGGCGGTCAAGAAGGAGCCAGTGAGGCAGCGCCGGCGCGCGAGGGACTCGGGTACCTTTGCCACAACTTGATCGTGTACACCACACACGAGCCGTGTGTGATGTGTCTGATGGCGCTTGTCCACCTGCGGGTGGGGCGGGTGACGTTCATCGAGCCGACGCCGCTGGGAGGGTTGGCGCTGAACTACCAGCTAGGCGATCGCCCTGGTTTGAACTGGCGGTTTGAGATCTGGCACTGGGTGGGCGAACACCCCCCGGTAACTCCCGCTGACTCTGAACAAGACTATTGAGGCGGTCACTGGCTTTAATCACCTCTTTTTCATGATACCAACCCTTCTAGCATATGACAAACGCAATTTTCAAAAGATAGAATGATAGACCCGCTGATAGGCTTAATCAACAACAAGACTCAATGATAGACTAAGCATGACAATAGGATTGATCAAAACAATAATAAACCTGACACAACAACACACCTGATACAACCGCAGACTTGAAACAACAAGAGACCTGATACAACAACAGACTTGAAACAAAATAGGCCTCAAACAACTACATCAGACCAACGATATCACACTCAGTACAATAGTATAAGATCGATTTGGACACCTGTTTGCTATCAATAGCTAAGCTACCGAAATAAGTTTATTTTGAGGGCTGACCCATTTGCCTTCACCTGCCAACCGATTAACGAACAGAAAACCATATTTTTGCTACTATCCCTCATCGGAATGAATACTGTTTTGATTATGATGCTGATGACTGTTTGTCTGTTTGAGTCTACAAATGTCTCACCAACGAAATACTCGACAATTCTTTGGCAGTAATTCTTGCCATGCCTTCCCCAATCTCCCCTCGGGGCTTTGTGCGCTTGAAAATTAACGGTTTCAAGAAAAAGCAATTTCTCGTATTCATCGCTTAGCTAGCGATAACGTCATGAGATGAGATCCTCGTACATCTTGATGCCACGGTGTCCATAGCCTCGTTTGCCACTTTTCTACACCATACACTCCCGCCAGGTCATCAAGCCACCCCACACCCTCAACCTCACCCCATTTCTTTTGTTTCCAGAAGAATCGGCGCGCAGAGTACACGTAACCCGTGTCATTGCCACCCGGTTATAAGCGCGCGCGTCCCCGCCCGATTTCGCACTCACACCACCTTTCCCTCACACTACCTCCCATCGACTGATTAGCTCCATGCTGCTGATATTCCGCTGGCTGTTGCTACTATGGGCGTGGTTTGCGGTTGCCCTTGGCTTCCTGCCGTTTGACTCCCCCGAGTTCTGTCTGCAAAATATCACCCTGACGTGCAACACCACCTTCCACTACATCGACAACATCAATGCCGCCCTCCGGACCAAAGTGAGCCAGCTCGCCACTACCGACTACGTGCGCTACTTCAAGCTTGATTTGGACAAGCAGTGCAAATTCTGGAACGCCCAGCACTTCTGCGCCACGGAAAACTGTGCCGTGGAGGTGTTGGCCGATGACCAGTATAACTGGACCGACGTTGCCGACGACGACTTAAAGCCCCTGCGGTTGGGCAAAATTTACCAGCCCACCGATACTCCTGGCGGTCCTAAGCACGGTGCCAACACCTGTGAGGATTTGGACTACTGCCACATCGATGACGGCCACCTGTGTGTCTACGTCGATTTGGTGGAAAACCCGGAACGGTTTACTGGTTATGGTGGTGCCCAGCTGTTTGCGGTGTGGAAAGCGATTTATTCCGAGAACTGCTTCCCCAATACTAACCCGATGCTGATGACGCTGGCGACCCCCGAAAAGTGTGTGGAGAAAAACTTATTCTACCGCTTAGTGCTGGGGATGCATGCGCTGATTGCCGTCCACTTATCCAATGAGTACTTGAACCCCACGACGGGCGAGTTCTACCCCAATTTGGCGGTGTTTATGGAGCGGGTGGGCCAGTTCAACGACCGGTTATCCAACATCTATTTCAATTACGCCCTTGTGTCGCAGGCATTGGTCAAAGTGAACCAGTTGGTGCCGCTTTCCCAGTTTATCACCTCCAACGAGAACACGTTGGTGGTGCTGACGATGCGCCACTGCAATGTCAGCGACGCTGTCTACCCCTTTGACAGCGACACCGACTCCGTCGCCGCCAGCCTCGTCGACGAGATCGTCCCCGTGCTCGGCCAGGAGACGCTCTTTGACACCCTGACCCTCTTCAATCCCGCCACCACTCCGCCAAACTTGAAGAACGAGTTCCGGCTGCGGTTCAAGAACATCCTGGCGATCATGGACTGTGTTGGCTGCGACCGCTGCCGCATGTGGGGCAAGGTGCAGACGATCGGTTACGGCACCGCTCTCAAGATCTTGTTTGAGGACGACGTTGACAACTTACACTTCCGCCGTATCGAGATCGTGGCGTTGCTCAACACCTTCGACCGGTTGCTGAAGCTGTTGGAGGCGATTGCCAACTTCAAGCAAATGTACTTGCAGCACCTCGACGACGTGCGCGCGGGCAAGGCTAAGCGGGGCGATTACGAGTCGCGCTCGTTTGCGTTCCCTATGAATGGCGCTCGGAGTCCGTTCACTCTTGATAGCGGTGCCACCGGTAAAGATGAGACTAAGTCAGCTCCGCAAACGTCGTCGGTACCTGACAAAAACCCCGACACCCCTCTCCTGGCGTGGGAGAAGTTTCAAGGGGAATGGGCGGCGGCGATGGATGAGTTCAAGCTCGCGGCCCATTTCGTATTGCGCAGCTATCTCAACTTCCCCCGCTTGGTGTGGAACACGGCCTGGCTTTACTTGCTGACCTACTGGGACTACTTCCTCGGGAAGACGGTGTACGTAGACCCCACGGTGGTGTCGATGCACAGCTAGAAACGATTGCCTCACAAACCCTCGAATCCCGGCATCATTGAACAAAGTGAATCTCTTTGATCATTTGGCCAGATTTCTTACAAACATCGAGACATCATCATCGATGGGCAATTCGTTAAACGCCGTTGAAGCCGCAAAATTGTCACGTGAACCACGATTATTTAATGCTAAAATAGACCCCATAGATTTTTCCAACGAATAAATGGATCCTTTACGAAGTCTCTGAGAGGATTAGGCGGCGGTGAGCAATTACATAGTTAAGGTGGAGGTTGAATGTTTAGTGTGAGGTCGTGTCATTTTTAGCTGTGATTCGGATCGAATACATAATGAGATAAGTCTAAATCTTCAACGTTGTAACTGTGCTAAATTCAAGCAAGATACAGCGTCAATTGATAACGTTGGTGTTATAAAAGCTGAACAGCAGTGCACACCCCCAATGACCTGTATCGAAATTTGAAGGCGTTGTTCTCAACCAACGTTGCGAACAAAGGAAGCAACATGAACGAAGATTTCAAACACTATAATCATCATCGTCAAAAATGTCACAATCGACAATGAACGAGTACTACGCATGCTCAAAAGTGTGCACACTCTAGGTCTAGAGGAAAAACATGAAGTTGGGGTCATCTTTTGCGACAATTCTCTGAAAGCTCCTCGTAGCTTATCACGTTTGTTGGGCATTGAAAACCTGCGATGCTTGTAAGAATTATAATTAAGGTGAGACACTTCGGCTAAGTGAAACAGTACATTGAGAGAATCGCTCTAAGAGTATCTAACGCACTCTATCGACACCATTATAATCTCAAAGCGTGCTTATTTCGTTCAAGAAGTTCGCTTTAAGCTAACATTATTAACTTAGATATCGCGCTTGCAAATATCAAGGCCTGCACATAAGATTTAACACTGCATGCAACATGCATACATTCAAGCAACACATTTGATGGCGTAAATTAAACTCTACAAAGGATTGGATACCGTCACCGTTGTATACACGATGAAAATAGTGTTTCAAACAGCAAATGGAATTTTCTTAAAATTTTGGTGAAAAACTAGAAAGTTGAATATAAAATCAGGAGAAACCGATAAAATCAAACTCTTTGCATCATAATATTTGTTGCAAGCAGAAGTATATTTGATATGATTTTGAATGGGTTGACTTCAAAATTGGTTTGTCTAGGTCGAATATTGTGAGATTTGACGCCACAAAAAAACTTTTTTTTATGTTTAGGAATTTTTTAATTCAACTTCTATGAGTTTGTGGCGCTATATAATACATGTAATGTGCATTATAATTGACCTGTGATGGCTGTAAAAGTGTTAAAAGGGGTGAAACATCTCGTCTTTCTATTCAGTTTTTATATGCAGGTGCATCATAAAATGCAGGAAACAACAAGTTGAGTTGCAACTCGCTCTTACAAAGCGGTCAACTTACAATTTACAGCCAATTGTACTCTTTCAGCATGCCTATCTGGTTCGAGAAGTTTAAGCCGGTGTTCACACCATTACTGGCAAACTTATCATGCTCTCAAGTTCGGGGTCCTGCACATATGAGTTGCGTCTGCAGATCGAATGTGAATTTTCCATCGGGAGTTTTCATCGCGTAAACTACGCTTTGAAAACAATTAGATAACCCCATTGTAATATATACGGTTCAAATAACATGTGTACAACAGATGGGATTTTTTTAAATTCTAATTCGAAAATCTATAAAATGTGATAAAAAATCAGGGAGACTTGATAAAATCAAACTCAAAGCTCCATAAATATTGCTGGTGCTTAAAGTATAATTGACGTGTTTTTTGGTGGAGTTCACGTAATAATTGGAGTAGTTTAAGCGACATCAATCAATGTACGTTACCTGCAGGAATGGTTCGTGTATGCAGTAGACTGGACAATAATGTTGCTCCTTATTACAACGTCAGATGCGTCGTCTCTTTAACCGCAGTCATAACTGTAACACGTTTTGCTACTAAATGATTAGATACACAGAGTTGAAAGAAAAACTGAATTCATTACTGAGTTTTTAAGTGCGTTCAAAGGTGCACCCTGCATGTAATAGAAGAAACCTTCAGATCGAGCTCTCATCATCACCGACACAGATCAATTGAGTCTTGATACACATATCATGATCTGTGTGGCTTATATATATATGTAACAGCTTAAGATGTTTTTCTTCAAGGAAAAAAGAATTTGAAAAAAAATTTGGAATAAATTTAAACGAGTAGCGGGTGTACACTATGTGCAGGATTAGCCGATGCTGTAGATCATTGTTAACGAACGGAGACAGATAGGCTTGAACATATCTTCGTGAGTTTTACGAGGTTCGCTCCACCCACAGGATGACTAACGAGACGGGTTCTCCTGATTTATGGAGAATGACCGTCGCCCCTGAAACCGATAACTTGACGTAAGCGCCGCTGTCGTTGTGACCATGACCAGGGAATGGAATGTAACCAAGTGACATAAGCGCCCATCACCATTGAGTGACCGCAACGCTCATCGCCAAATTTTTGATGGGATCTCCTATTGTATCAAGTTCCAGCCTTCGGCGCATATCTAAGTGGAAAGACCCTTTGAATGATTGTATACTTAGTGTGAAATAGATACCACCTAGAACAGAAGCCTTCGCATCCTATGTTTCGTAGACCCTGACACAACCAGCGTCATTGACTGATTGTGGTAACAATTATGGGTATCGTTCCGGAAGTTTTAGTTGTTCCGGACTCCGCCTGTCAAGCCTGAAAAAATGCGAGGGACACGGGACTATTTACGAAAACATATACGGAGGTGCGATGTGTATACATTATGACTAAAAATTTTTTAAGGGATAAAAAGTAAGGCATATGCGGCCAATTCCGAAATGGACCCTTGGGGACCTTCTAATTCTTCCGTGCCGGATAAATAGGGGGTGAGGTGAGGGTAGCAAGTCACCGCTCCCCTCCTTTGAGGAGGGGGCAAAAACGAAGGGCTTGGCACCCACCACGTGGGATTGCGACGAAAGCAAAAACAGACCTGTTAGCTTGGCAACCACCATCCCACACCATGCGTTTCACTCAAAATTGTGAAACTCGAGCTGCCTGCAGCACAAATGGTTCTTCGAATGCCAACGATCTCTCGGCCCGACTTAGTGGAGGTCAGTGATCACCTGCATCATCACGGGGACGTCATCCCGCGCGTAGCTAGTGTTCCGGTTGCGAGCGCTGACCAGCGACCGGCGCCGGCGCTGTTGACCAGCTTCGATGTGGGTGGTGGTCAGGGCGCCGCCGGCGGCGGCTATCGCCGCCAACACCAGCGTCCCCAGCAGTGGCACCAGCAGCGGCGCCAGCAGCGGTACCAGGCCCACGGGCGGCAGCGACAGCATCACCAGCAGTGCCTCGTCCGCCGGCGCCGCCAGCGCGGGCGCCCAGCTTTGGCGCCAGCTCCAACTGCTGACGGAAGCGGCGCGCGGCTTCGCGCCGGCCGTGGGCGGCACCTCGGGGTCGAGGAGAGCTTCGTGTAACGGCGGCGGAGCCGCCGAGGGGGCGATATCGATCGGCGCCGACGGCGCCGGGGGCGCGGCGCCCAGCACCAGCTTCAGGCGCCCGAGCGGCCAGTACGGGTAGGGCATGGCACAGGTAGGCGAAAATAAGGGCTTAGGGCACGAAAACCGGGGTACTCCGAAGCGACGGTGGGGTAAACAACACGAGTTTTC